CAGTATTGTACGTATAAATGACAGAGACATAATTGCCATCATTTGATTCAAACAATTGCAGACAGGAGGACAATGCAAAGGCATGCAGTGCCAACAAAGCTCTGTCTGAACAACGTTCTGTAAGGCAGCCTGGGGATCGGTCATTGTTCTCCTGTCTTTCTGCACGTCTCCTTCTGTTTAATTAAAACACTGTGATAATGTGACAGACCCAACAATGTTGACTGCAGCCACTGATTCCTGCTGCCATAGAGAAGAGCGAAAAACAAAGGTCAACCTTTTAGTTATACCACACTTGAAGCATGCAAACTTCATTCCTTCATATCACTTTTCAGTGGGATTGTAAATAATTATAAATAATCCACAGCTAAATATTTTATCATGATAAAATGTATGAGCAGTTTAAGGTGTCACATTTATGATATAGATTCAATTAACATTGCTTGATTAAGGGTTTGCAAACAGGGACAATGCAGAGGAATGCAGCACTAACAAAGCTCAGTTTGACTGATGTTCTGTAAGGCAGCCAGGAGGATCAGTCATTGTCTCTCTGTGATTGGTGGGTTGTCTCGGCTGCTCCGCAGCATCATCTCCAGCAACATGGGAATTCTCCCCTGCTGCTGTTTCTCTTTGCCTGCAGCGAGAGAGAGAGTGATTACATGACTGATGACTAAACAAAAGCAGTACAAAAGAAGTCAAATGAGTAAGGTATCTGACAGCAGATATCGAAAAGAATTAGAGAGTGTTTTCAATGATGCCAATTATGGAGACATCCAAAGGAAATGTTGTTGCTTCTATCCACTATAATGTGCAGTATATTGCTGCAAACCCAAGATTTGACCAAAAAGTAAAAGCATCCCTGTATGCTTAAAATTGGATTTCCTCTTCAGAGAATCAATCAGCATGTGGTCAGCTTGACTTGACTGTCAGTCACAGTGATTTGCAATGGTGACACATCAGAACAGTCGCCAGCTCTATAACAACTGCTCACACAGCTCCTGCAGAACTTCTCCACCGTTCACCTGTACGTTCAGTGTGTTACAGCTGCTCTTCTTTTTAGCAGCTATGTATGAAACAATTGAAGTTGCAAACAACAAACGTAAATAGCTTAATGTACAAGCACTGGGTTGTTTTGGCTAATAATAATAATAATAACAGACACATTGTTTTTGGTCCCTGTGCAGGTTCATTAACAGACCAGCACCACTGGAGCTTCTAGACACGCAAAGACTCTTCAGAAGCCCAGATGATATCCAGCAGCATAGCACTGGGACAACATGGGTACTCTGGTCATTTCTCAATTTAGTATTCCTCCCTACTGTCCAGCAAAGCAGGCTGGTATGTATTTGGAAATTTTAATGTTCAAATTTGGCCAATGATAGCTTGGTTTCATGTTATCTCAATGATAGTGTGTATGTGTTATCTGTCCATGGTGGTGTTATATAGTGAATAAATAATTTTCATCACATCAGTGTGTTTTATGTGTGCTAATGATCATTTACTGGCAAAGTTAAGTCAATACAAAAAAAGTATATATATACAAGGGCCATTGAGGAGAATAAATCTATCTATCTATCTATCTATCTATCTATCTATCTATCTATCTATCTATCTATCTATCTATCTATCTATCTATCTATCTATCTATCTATCTCAGAGAGAATTTCACTGTCTCACTTTCTCATCTTGAAGCCGTATCAGTTATTTTTAATATGAATTTGTCTCCTGCCCTTAGAAAGAGCCTTTATATGGGGTGGTGTGTGTACGTCTCTCTGCGTATTTCTTGGGGGTGGGTGGGAGGGTGGTTACATCCCAGACGTGTTACCACGGTGACAAGGTGCTCCCTGCCGCCGTCGGGTCTCGGCCAAGTTGGGCGCCATGGTGACTGGGTGGTGACAGACTTTGTGACGAGTCCGCTGGGACACCGTGGTTGGGTCAACCTTAAAATCACACGCAGACACACATGCAGCAATGCATGCGCTTACACATGCACTTGACACAGGTCTTTATAGAAAAAAAGTTAGGCACACATAATTAACATATAACATGCTTAAACATAAAGTGTGTACACGTACAGTATGAGATGTGATAACACATACAGTACGCACTCTCAGCTCCAACCCGCTGGACCTGTTTGTTGTGCAAGTGTGTGTGTGTGTGTGTGTGTGTGTGTGTGTGTGTGTGTGTGTGTGTGTGTATGTGTGTGTGTGCATGCATACTGATGTGTGCATGCATTTCGTGTGACTATTGTTGTTAAATTAGTTTGTTTTCAAGAGCAGCAGAACGTCATATCACCTGCCTCCCTTTTGCAGTGCCAATGATTCCAAGCTTTTATCTCAGTTATTGCCTCTGGCCAAAACATCCATTAAAACATCCACAGCACTAATCTATTTTTGCTGATGCTATCACTGCATGCGTGTGTGCATGTTAATAACTTGCCTCAGCATTGGGACGCCCTGGTGATTTATATTTCTGTGTTGTTGCATATGCGCCTGCTTGTCTGTGTGTGTGGGTGTGTGTGTGTGTGTGTGCGTTTCCATACATACATAGACTCCTGCATAACAAACAGACACATGTGCAACAACCCTGACAAAACAAAGGCAAGAAAAACAAGCAAATGTCTATCCTAATGCAGATGTAAGACGCATACACACACACACACACACACACACACACACACACACACACACACACACACAAACGTAACGAGGAGGACAGGAGAAGGCAAGGAGCCACAGTTTGAGCATCCCGCTGTGAGGGGTTGTGACCCCTATCAGACTCTGTGTCAGTCTGCCTATTGTGATCTGGATAGAGCACAAACACACACACACATACACACATGCATTAACTTACATGGTCTCCATGACAATAGTGGGGGCGACAGTAAGGCGGCAGGATGGCGCTGTGGTGTTCTGATGAGAGGACCCAACCTAATCATCATAATATATTCACTGTATCTGAGCACAATCTACAGGTGTAAGTACATTCGCTAAGAAGTGTTTACACAACTGTGAGAGGTAGATTAGGACAAAAGAGGGGGCTCATGCAAAAAGTGTGATATATAATGTATATTATATAGAAATGTATATATTCTTTTGTGAATTAAATCAATTATTGTGTAAAATAAACTTGACTTTACCAGTTATTCCGGAGAAATGGATATCAAAAGATTGAACTTTGTGTACAAATAAGTAGAAGTACGGATAAATAAACTTTTTTTTTTCCAATTTTGTCCAAGATCAGACATCAAACAAGTTTAAAAATCAGCAACCAAACCACCAGCGAAGTATCACTAATACTGAGGATTAACTTGGTGGAGGCAGTCAACAGTCAGGCTATAGGTGAATGTGTGCATGTGTGTGCGTGTGTGTGTGTGTGTGTGTGTGTGTGTGTGTGTGTGTGTGTGTGTGTGTGTGTGTGTCTGTGTGTGTGTGCGGCAGGGAGGGAGGTGGGGTGATATCTGCCATTGACTTTGACCATCAAGACCAAATAAATAATAATAATAATAAAAAATTATTGTGAGTCTGTTACCGTTAAAAACGTACATTGTAACTCTTATACATTTAATTCTAATCTTTATCAACTTTGACGGACTAATCTGTGTGAACACTACTCTTTACGAAGGCTTGCAATGGGACAGAGACCCAGAACATTAGTTATTTATGTAAGAGCATGTTATCAGCAGAATAGTAATAGGACCAATGTATAATTATATTTGTTCTGTATATATTATGTCCTTTGTTCCTCAGGGAATACAAAGGCTTAAGTAAACACAAAACACACCCACACACAGTTGCTGAAGTTAACAAAGGGGCAGTATTCAATACTTGCAGGTAGACCTCATCCCGTACCCTTATCCCTCTTCAGACAATGTGTATCTGCTGCCCCCCTTAGGTCAGTAAATGTTTGACAGCTTCTGGCTCACCAGAAATACAGGGTCAGTTTGTCATGAGTGTGGCATCTAGTGGACAACACACAGAAACAGGTAATAAGGAAAAGGAAGTTTGAAGCCATGTTGAAGATGGAGCTAATAATGAGGCTGCACTGAATACTGAAAACAGCCAAATTGTATGAAAATATCAAGAAATCAGTTTTAAAATATAATGACATTGCTATTTGATTTACTTGATTTATTTTATTATCCAAGTTCAGCCACCCAGGACAAACTTGGGATGTAACTGACTTTTGTTCCCTGAGAAAAACCTCCAAGGCTGCCAACAGACTTGTTTTCATTAAACATTCATGAATACGATTGATGAAATTCTTCCAGATTCAGAACAGTTTACCTAGCCAATCTATAACTCTTGAAATGCCCACAAAGAAATCCTGCAGAAGATCAATGTTCCTGTTGTTGAGCTGCAGCTTTTTTGTCTTGCACCAACAAAGGCTGAATTGTATCATTTACCCAGCATGCATTTCGAGGGTTATTGACATTGTTAGTTAGTTTCTGAAAATATTTCACACAAATAAATGAAATGATAATTAAACAATACATTGTGATCTGCCCATGGAAAGAGTGGGCGTGGCTTACAATGGCATTACTACAACACCGAGGCTTCTCTTTGAAGAGGGCACCTTCCTCTCAGAAAATATTGTCGGGATACAGGGAGTCATCCATGCCTACAAGTAACGGGGTTGCATCGGGGGTTAGTAGGTCAACCCTTTCTTTGGCTTACAGTAATGTATTTTCTTACATCACCACATTGCAGGTTTCATAAGCGATGGTGGAACGACTGTCAAGATAGTTCCCCTCTTACTCTTATTCCCAGGAATGGCCTACACCATTTACCACACTGTAACACCATGAGACCATAATACCACATATATTAGAATACACAAAGTAAATCCCATGTGTCTTGGGCTTGGTACACGCAATTCCTCTATCCCTGTTCCCGATTCAGTTTGTAAAATTAAATCTTAAGCAGAAACGGAAGTAGACGACAGTGTATTATCTTGACCCAGTTGTGAGTTTCCGCCCACCGCCTCCTCTGACCAATGAACGAAGCCGGCACAGCATCCTCCAGGGCCGCTGGAGTTCGCGGGAAACCGGCTGTAGTCGTGTTACTTCAAGCATAACTGGAGTCCGGTTTAAACAACAGTCTTTGATACTAAATCAGTGTTTAATTAAACGATACGTTTTAAACTACTGCGCTCGAAAACAGAGCAGTGACACGGTTTAAAACCTCCGTTTGACTGCTGCCATGGCTGCTAGGCTAACGCTTAGTTAGCTAGCTAACGGTAGGCTGTCACATTGGCTAACAGGGACGTTGTGCTTCGCGCGACAGGATAGAGAAAATACTGCCGACTACAAAGAGACAAAGGGCTGCCCCTGTCAGGCACGAAACACCATAAAAAGAGTATGTTCAATCTAGACCGTTTTCGTTTTGACAAGACGGCAGCGACGACAACAAAGAGAGAGGACAGCGGCTCCAAAAGTCCAGAGTCAGAGAAGGAGAACAAGCCAGGTAACTAGCTGATGTTAAAGCTAGGTTACAATGATGGTAGCCAGATGTGTCAGTCGTACTGTTGTTAGCAGGAGTTAAATAAGACGGTTATCTTTAACATGCTGCCAGTTGCTGCAGGCCAGAGTGACTATTTCCTATGTGAGAATGGAGGCTCGTACAGTTTCTGATGTAAATTTGCATTGAATTTGCATTATCTTTATTATTGTTATAAGATAGTGTGCCTGTGTTGTAGCTGGGCAATATTGATAAAGCGTAATATCACTGTACCTTTTTAAAGGCAGCGTTTCAATACCAATAATGTGAAGGTATTTTAAAATTGACTTATTCCACAATGAGACAATGTTATTCTACTCTGCAACTCTTCAGACTAGGAAAAAAAAATTACTCTCATCGTATATAACAATAGGATGAGATCAATATATCACCCAATTGTCCAAGTAAGTTATGTCAAAAAGTGAAATATAGGGGGCATGTACCAATCTAGTAATTGAAAAATGATCCTTAAATCTATCAGAGTTTCTGACCTGGATCCCTAACATCATTTCTAGCAGGCTACAAATCAACATTAAAGGTGCATGCTGCGAATACCTAACACATCCACAGTCTTTAATTTCTACCTTCAGACAGCTTTGGAGAAGGCAGGTGCCCACTAAAATAAAAAAAATTGATAATAACTTGTGAAGACATGGCTATTATTCTCAGGTTTAATTGTTCCTACTGTTGTCACCTTGCTGGTAACACGAACAGTTGGATTAAAGAAGTAGGAAAGCCGAGCCTACAGTATCTGTATATCATGATGAAGATATACTTAAACATGTGAGGCAGAGTTGCTGCAAACTTTGCAAATGAACAAGACAAGATGAAGGGGATGCATCTGTTACTGCCGTGAATGTGTCTGCTAACTTGTTGTTACCATATTGCTTTACAGCTCAAATGAAACCTGTCAAAGTCCCACCAAAGTCCCATGCACGAGGAGTAGTTTTTGAGGAAGTTCTTTCTATCGACTTGGACGAAGAGGACCTCCTTTCTGACAAAAAGACCAAAATATCATTAACCAGGAAATCCAAGTAAGTGTAAAGTAAAATGACAAAATTTAAATTTTTTTCCCTCCTTCCTGCTGAATCGTGGTGTTTTACAGTCTTGCTGTGTTTCTTCTAGCCCCACAGGTAAATCATCCAAAAATGTGGAATCGCATGATACAGATACTGAGGACAACGAATTGGAGGACAAAGTGAGCAGACTACTGGAGATGTTTCCTCAGTTGACGAGGACGATGGTACTGGAGGTGAGTCGAAAAAAGAGCAGAGGCTTTGCAGCACAGAACACATTAGCCAGCTATATTTTTTTGGCTCTGTTCGTAAGAAACAATCCCTTTTAATCTCCTGAATTTCCTTGTTCAAAGCACCTTGTTTTCATTCCATTTTCAGGTCATTGGGAGCACAAGCACACTGGATGGGGCTGTAGCTGTTTGTCTTTCAAAGTTTGGTGACAAAGAAGGTACATAATTAATTTTTGCGTAAGAACATAATGACAGTCCTACGAGAAATACATCGCATAAAGAAGGTTTAGTATGTAGTTGGAGAAAAATAATCTGTTTTAAAACCCTGTAAAGTAAAGAAGGAGGAAAAGGTTCAATTTCTTTTGTGTGTTTATAATATAATCAACAATTATTGGCTCATTCTCAATGCCTGAAAGCAAATTCAAGTTCTTACTGAATCTGGCATACAGGTGCAGTAAAAAATAACACCAGAAATAATTATACCTGCCTAGCTGGCTACTTTCCCCATCAGTTGGCTACTTTTCATAACGCTGGCTGCCATGTCTTCTCAGCCCCAGACCAAGGCAGGAAGAGAAAACAGGATGGATCCAGCAGTTCTACTCAGAGTGGTGAGGATCAACCCAACAAGAAGAGGAGGACTTCAGTGGTACGATTTCTAATGTTACTGTCATGGTTTAAACTGATGGTTTGACATGTACACATTTCCCAGATCCTTGTAATTTAAATACAACTCAAGCCATTTTAAGTAATTGTACCTCCCGGCTGCATCTCTCCAACATTTTGGCACACTGCAGACATTTCACTCATAATGAACTACATAAAAACAGTAGTTTGTTGCTCATTATGCCTGAAAAATGTTTTTCCACACGGATAGAAAATAACAGATACATGTTTGCAAATATTGATGAAAAATAAATTTAATTAAAATGTTATGATGGCTGATGCACAACAAACAAGCCACACGTTCTGCATACAGGTGATCATATTGATGGTTTGTTAATGGTGATGATGTAAACAATCTATATGACCGTTTTGGCTTTCCTTTCAGTGCCAAATGCAAATCTCAGTAGGTTAGTATAGTTCCCTGTGACCTTTGAATTTACCTTTCTTGTATTCAAACCAAAAGGTTTCTGATGAAGAAGATAATGAAAGGAATGAGCCAAGCTGGGAGAAGCAAGAAGCCATGGTCAGAAGACTGCAGAAGAAGTTCCCTGACCAGGATAAGGAGGTGAAGAAAAGCAGACACTTTGTCCCAGACTATAACACATTAAGCCATTACATATTGATATTACTTTAAGTCCAGTCAGATTCACCCCCTCATCATTTCAAGCAGAAGCAAAACAAAATCTATTTACAGTGCTGCTGCAGTACTGCTGCAAAACCGAACTACCAAGCTAGCCAACAGCTACCAGTCATTGTTTACCCGCAGATAAAATCATAAGAGAAAACCTGATCAATCATCGTATCTGCTAGGGTGCTAACTAGCTGTCACTCTGGACCAACTCAGCTGTGAACTGCACAAGTTAATGACCTCCTCAGTTGTTCCTTGCAGCTTAAAAAACTCAGAAGCAAATTCAGATCTTGGAAACGGTTCCTGTTTCCATTTAATGGTGTAAAGTTTTTGTTTTTTTTCTCTTGTGTGTTATCTGTAAGAACTGCAATCATAGTCTGACCAACTGTGCGTGACTAAATTAGTCAGTGAATACATTGTTGAGGTGTGATTCACCCAAACATCCAAACCTCATGAATTTCAATCAACATGACCTTTTTTTAAATAGGTCTATCATCTGTTTTATGGCTGCTTGAAATTATGCTTGACTCTAGAAAATTACTATAAAGCTATGCCAGACCACAATGAGAAAAATTATAGGCTGACCCATTGCTTATGACTGTCTTGTTGCAGGAGCTGCGGATGGTGCTGCAGGAACACGACTGGAATGTTGAGGATGCCCTGCAGGTTCTACAAATGTTTTCAGACCCAGGTGCAAACACAATCTTCTTTTCACTGGCGTCATGTTTATTTTTACTTTTAACTTTAATGTTCTTTTGATATTGATTCAAGCTCAAGTTGTCTTTTTTTCTGTTGTCAGATAATACCAGCTTCAGCTCACCTGAGTCAGAAGAAAAGAAATCCAGTAAATCGAAAAGCAAAGACAAGTCTAGCAGAGACCACAGAAAGTTGAAGCAGCACAAAGATCATGGAGACAATAAAAAAAGGAGAGACCATAAGGACCACAGAAATGATAGTGAAACAGAGGAGAGTAGAGAAGACACAGACGCTACAAAGGACAGTGAAGACTCTGACTCAGAAGACAGCGATGGTTCCAATAAGAAAAGTAGACCTTTTACTCTGTCTTCATGGCTTATAAAAAGTCCTGATCCAGTATCCTCATCCTCCTCTGTCAAGAAAACAACTACCTCTTCCTCCCTGAAGCCGTCCTCCTCTTCCTCTACTGCTCAGATGCTGTCCAAGTTTGCCAGTGGGACCAGTATAGCCAAGAAGCAGGCAGCAGAGAGCAAGAGGAAGGCGCGTGCCGCAGATGAACATGTCAGTTCTGAGGGAGAAAATGACGATGAAGAGGACACTGTTAGCAGTGAGTTTGAGAACTCTGACGATGAGCTGGACTCTAAAGGTGGAATGACAGAACTGAAGAAAGAGATCATCAAATTTTTCCAGAATGCGTCGATAGATGAGCTGTCACTGATCTCTGGGTGCTCGGTTAAAAAGGCCCAGAAGATTGTGGAACTGAGACCCTTTGATAGCTGGGAAAGCCTGGTGAGTGAGTGAGTGAGGAGAGAGAGTGTGTTTTTCAACAAATAGACATAATGCAGGTGATTCCTTTATGTCATATAAAACAGTTTGCACAAGTTATCAATGGGAGAAGTTGTAAAAACAGTCAGTCTGAAATCATCCTGCTGAACACCTGGAAAATGACTTTGTGACCTGTTAAATTTCATTCACACCCTATTTACTTTTTGTGTGCACTACACCAAGTCTTCTGTGTTGAGACATTCCCTTAAAATCTGTTGAATAGCAGAACTCTTTACCTCCTGACATGTCTCAATAACTCTGTAATCAGTTTCCAAACACCTGTCAACAAAGCATAAATATTAACAGCAATGTCATGTTGCAATAATAGGGTAGTGAAATATTGAATATTTGTATATACTAAAGTCAACAATAAGGTAGTGTTGTTAGCACCTTTTTATTATATGGTTGGTTTTATAAGGTGTTCCTCAAGATGGGCTTGAACCCATGCAGAGTCATGTATTTGCTCTGATCATACATATATGAACAACATAACAGTAGGTTCTTTCCTCTTCAGGTTGATGTCTTCCATAAGGACAATGGACTGTCTGAGGACTTACTGCTGGGCTCCAGAGTCGTCCTCAAAGAGCGGAAGGTTGTCCTGGGGCTCATGTCCAAATGCGAGACCATTTCCTCAAAAATGGTCAAGCAGGTCACTGAGGTGATGGAGAAGGGTACAGGGACAATGAAACAGCCCCACATACTCAACAGCCAGTGAGTAAAATGCACATATACACATATTGTTAATTTAGAAAATAATATTAAAAAATCTGGTGTAATCATTATATGCTCAGTTGTGTTTAAAAATCATGGCGGTCTCTGCAGATTTTTCTGTTACATGTTCATGTAAGTGCCTTAATGATTCCTGGGTCAAGTATTTGTTCACCAGTGTTGGTGTTAGGTGTCTGCTTTGCTTTCATTCTCAACATGTAAAGTCAAATGTACACAGATGTGTTGAAATAAGTTTAAGAGAGAGCCCGTCTTTCCATGCAGTGTGTGTACAAAGTCATAGAATCAAACAGTGATAATCCACCAAGAGATGCGCTCACAGTGGGGGGACACATTGTTGTTGAAAGCCAGACCGTTTGCTCAGTTGTATGGCGTGACTAACTCTGCAATGCACAAATCAAACAAAAAGTTTATGAAAAAACTTGTAGCCTTGTAACTGAGCCCTGAGCACAAAGATGTCAAGCTTGAGAGGAGATGTCAATCCAAATGCTATCCCCGCGTGGTACAGGTTGATTATTTATCCTTCAAGGCAGCCTCAAGCATTTGCAGCAAGAGTTAGATTCTTGCAAACACTTCCTTTCTTTTTAACAACTCTGTTACTTTCTGTTTCATAGGATAAACCCTTAATCAAATGTGCCGTTGTCACTGACTGTAGGTAGCAAACAAACTGCCATAGATACGCACCCACATAGACACGCATTCACACTAACGTCGCACATTCACTCGTTCTCCATTCCACTATGTTCATATGCAGAGTAGGTAATCCTCATTATTCATCTTAACGGTGCAGTTGATGGTCACAAGTGCACACTTGGCGCTTCAGCCTAACCAAACGTTACGCATCTCTGTGTTTGACAGTCCAGACAGCTGTTACTATTACTATTGTCAAAGGGTGCATTCAGATGACCAGATTAAAGATGATATATTTCTGTGTAAAACTGAACTTTACAGCAGATTATAGTGTATTCTTTGAAGATAAAGAAAAAAAAATATATATATACATATTATTTTTCTACATAAGGGTGGTGGATAGAGTCAGAGAAGGTACTGTAACATGTACTAATTTACACTTGACTATTAAAGCAATTACAACACTGTTTTTTTGCATAAACAAAAACAAATACACTTTTTTCATCCATCACTTTATCTACAAATACAACTGTGGTATGCCTTTCTAAATACCTCTCTGAGAGGGTCAACGTAGAAGACTTGTGACAGTTTCATTGATGTTACAAGGATGACAATGGTTTTGCATTTTGGTTTCCATAAATTATGTGTTAGGACCTATCTGTGACTTAGAGTTTGTGTTTTCATAAAAATGAGCGCTCCAATTCATCTCATCTGTTATTTATTGTCTTTCAGATTCCAGCTGAAACCCTATCAGCTGATTGGTCTAAAGTGGCTGCTGCTTCTGCATGAGCACAAACTGAGCGGTATCCTCGCTGATGAAATGGTAAGGCACCCAGACTGCGGCCTATGGGAAGTAACAGAGTGCACTTCTAACATTTGTAAGGTGTTGATCACATGCCCAAAGTCAAAATGAACAAAAGATGCTACACATAAATATTTAATAAGCCAAGCAGGACAGAATGCGCTTACAGCTTGTTTAACTCCAAGCTTTAGTTCTATTAAAGTGTGTCAGGATGTTTGCTGTTTGTGATACGAAACACAGGTGTTCAAATATCTTCTTTGTCTGTCCACCTGGCTCTTTATTTATGTCTTTGTGTTTGTCTGACTCTGTATCTCTCTCCCTCTTTCTCCTTCACTCTCTCTCCCAGGGTTTGGGGAAAACCATCCAGGCTATAGCGTTTCTGTCTGAGCTATATCAGAATGGAATAGAAGGTCCTCACCTCATCACTGTGCCATCCTCCACACTGGGTAATGATCTCCACAAACACACTTTTGCTACCTTGCTTCATATTATGTAATCAAACCACCAACACTTAAATAATTATTGAGCATAACAGCGTATAGTGTTGTTTGTCCATGTTTACGTTTGACATCCGCTGTTACATTTGAAAAGCCCTTTGTGGGGAAGAAACTAACTTTATTATTATTTATCAGTGATTTATGCTGATTTCATTCTCTCCATCTTGTAGACAACTGGGTCAGAGAGCTGAAGCTGTGGAGTCCAAGCCTCAAAGTTCTAGTCTATTACGGTAAGACTCATGAATCTCTTCATGTTTTCTTCCTTATGGGATACATACAACTGATCTGACAACCTTAAGTGTGCACTGTGATCAAACGTGTACAGAGACAGCTGAAGAGAACTGTCTTAGCCCATGTTCAGACCAATAACAGCACTGTAGCAAAACCCAGCAAGAAGCTGCAGTGTTATTGTGTATAGGTAGAAGATGGAACACAAACAGAAAGTCCAGTTTAAATGTATTTATTTCATTGTTCATTGTTGGTGTGATGGAAATATTTGAAGATGAATCGCTCACATTTTAAAAGACTTGGATGGCTTACACATCAGAATTTTTTTCTTCTTTTAAGCACAGTGCAGTGCCAACCCAATTCTGAAGGCTGTGCATACATGATGGATATTTAACCTAAACTGTATTCCTTAGAGAACCTTCCCATATCTTATCTCTGAACACGCGTGAGGATCCTATTAGTTAATGGTTTAAAACATGTTCTAAGCTCACCTAACTTACTCTTAACCATGTCACCCAGAGTCACACAAAATGCAGGAAGGAGACATTCTGTCTGTTAGATTTATCTTAACCTTGGGCTTCTATAACAAAGTGAAATTATGATACGCTGAGTGCTCAGGATTCAACCTTATCAGCTGCTCTTCATAGTCTAGTCAGCCAAACAGTCAGAGAGAAAGTGCAGAGTTTTACTAGGAAGAGGCACAGGCTGTGACCTTTGTAGATGACCTTACAGTGGCATGGGAAGCACTATACCACTTCAGTCTAATGTAAAGAAGGAACATTCCTTCACAGTATGAACCTACTGTGACACAGTGAATCCCTTTTTAATGAATGATTGCATTTTGATCTGTACAGGGCTTTATTCTGGATCTTTCCAAAGTTAAGTATAAGTATACCCTTATGTTCTGTACAGGATCTATAGAGGACCGCCGCTACCTCAGACACGACATCCTCAATGAAGATGTTGAGTTCAACGTCATTGTGACCACGTAAGCGCACACACACGCGCACACACACGCGCGCACACACACACGCACACACGCACACACACACACACACACACACACACACACACACACACACACACACACACACACACACCCTTCATCACATTTGACAGATTATTACAGTTACGGTGCTACTGGAAGACTAAAGCAATGCTCCAAGCAACTTGTCACTCACAGTTAAACACAAAGTGAATGAGTCCTTTTTGTTTTATTCTGTTTTGCTTGTGTTTGACTTGTTTTACAGGTACAACTTGGCCATAGGAAACGATAATGACCGCAGCCTTTTCCGTAAACTGCGTCTGAAGTATGCCATTTTTGATGAAGGTCACATGCTGAAGAATATGAACTCTCTGCGCTACCGTCACCTGATGGCTATTAACGTTAGTTTGCTGACATTTTGTAATGTAGTTTCTACCACTGTCATCCCCTAATGTCTGGTGTAGCTTCATACACATCAGCAGAATTCTTTATCTTTCTATCCTTTACATCCACAAATATTGCACATAACAGTTTACAATATGTGTTTCTCTCTCTTTCTGTGTAGGCAGAGCATCGCTTGCTGCTGACAGGAACTCCCTTACAAAACAACCTATTAGAGCTGATGTCTCTCCTGAACTTCATCATGCCCTCTATGTTCTCCAGCTCCACTACACAGCTCTCCAAAATGTTTTCTATGGTAAGTGTGTGTTACACTGTTAGCTCAGTTTGTTTGGACGGATGGTACCAAATAACTGCATGCACACCACTTAGAAATGCAAACCTGTCCTCTTCCTTTTTATCTTCTGTCCTGATTCAGTGATTACTTATAATCAGTCAGGTTTTCTGGTATAAAAGCTTGGATTTGAAATTTTGAATCACAGCTCAGATTACAGCAACAATCCTGGTACTCAGTGGTACCCACCACTGTCTAATGAAAGTATTTGTTTTATAAGAATTTAAAAACAAGAGAAATGTCAACAATATAACCAGCCCAGAAAAATAATAGTTTTTATTTGTTTATTAAAATTATTTATTAATTTATTAAATGTTGTATGTTGTGTGTCAGAAATCCCATGAGGAGCAAAGCCTCTTTGAGAGGGACCGTATTTCTCAGGCCAAACTCATCATGAAACCTTTTATCCTCCGAAGAGTCAAGAGCGAGGTGAGTTGATCTGGCAAAGTTACTCATTTGTAACGTGTAAACATTATGTATATGTAAAGTGTGTTTTGTAGGGAAATCTGGTATAAAATGATCAATCAGATTGACATTTTCAGTCACTGTTCTAATTGGTTGCCCTGCATCCACCTATATTACAAACTGTGATAGTATCCAGTGAACATTTTCATTCAAGCAGAAGATTTAAGGCATCTATATTAAATATAAAAACGTATGTCAGTATTCTGCTATTTGTATTCATTGCGCCATAATGTGAGTAATCATAGTTAAAACCTTTGTAAGTATTGTGAATAACTAATGGTCTTTCCTTTTTCCAGGTCCTCAAGCAGCTGCCAGCCAAGGAAGAGAAAGTAGAGTCATGCTCAATGAGTGAGAAACAGCAGGTTCTCTACCAGAACCTCTTAAAAAAACTCAAGAAGTCCACCAATGGCGAGAGTAAGCCTGATTTACTGCGTGGATCATGATGTTATTTTGTTCAAATAACAGGAATTATTGTGTGGTTAATAATTCCCCTCATGCCTTTTCTCTGCAGAACGCGAGTTGTGTAATGTGATGATGCAGTTGAGGAAGATGGCCAACCACCCTCTGCTTCATAGGCAGTACTACACCACAGAAAAGCTCAAAGCCATGAGCAGACTCATGCTCAAGGTCAGTCTTACTCCCTGACAAGCTGTTTGTCTTTGTCTCTGTGTTTTTTGCATCTGAAGTCTTTTATCAAGAATCTGTCTCTGAGTTGTGCTGTGAGGCTTAGCTGTTAGCTTAACATTAGTTCTTAATGGCTCCTGCAACTTGATTGGATGCTGTCGGATGGGAATAAATAGCGTTAACGTTTAATTGATTCAGGAAATGAAGTATTTTCAAGTCAAAAGTCCAAGTGAAGCCACGAGTCACTGGTGTGTTGAAGTCCCAGTTAATTTGCAAGTTTTCTGTATATTTATCTAAGTCATAAAATGTGTGACTCAAGTCCAAGACATGTGGCTCACCTCTGGTTAGCACTGTATTATATTTTCAGTGTGTGTAATCTGAATTACTCAATCTTTCATTTGTTTGTTATTCTACCCTAATCTCCCTTCTTTAATTCTTTCCACTGTAACATTTTTGTGCTGTTTCTCTCCCTCCACAGGAGCCAACTCACTTTGATGCAGATGCTGCTCTGATTCAGGAGGACATGGAAGTGATGTCAGACTTTGAGCTGCATCGTCTCTGCCAGCAGTACTCCACCATCAGCTCCTACCAGCTTGAAACCAATCTCCTACTTGACTCTGGGAAGTTCCACCACCTTACAGAGCTGCTGGCCTCAATTAAAAACAAGGTATGTACAAATGTGCAAAGCGTGGTACATGTAGGACACAGATGTCTGCCATGTAGCATAAGTTTTTCTCTTTAATCCTGCAGGGAGACCGAGTGGTATTATTCAGTCAGTTCACCATGATGCTGGACATTGTGGAAGTGCTGCTGAAACATCTTAAGCATCGTTACGTCAGGCTGGATGGATCCACACCCATAGCTGAGAGGTCAGAGTGGTACAGTACATTGAAGTCAGATCAATTGTAGGCAGAATCAGGAAGCATTCAATGTTATTAATTCAAAATCTTGTAATAAAGTCATCTCTTCTGCAAACAACTTATTTTTTCTTATTATACTGCATCCTTTGCAGTGGGGCTATTTCATGAGTATATTGCTATTTTGATGCTGAAATGATTCAACAATGCTAGCACACCTGTTATTCTAGCTGTTAATTGAGGATTTAAAAAAATGATGGTATTAAATTGAGGGAAATGGAAGCAATGTTTGGTATTCAACTTCATCAACGTATTATAAATTGCGTCATGTAATGTCTAAAATGATATCCTTGTCCTTGTCCTGCAGGATTGTGTTGATCGATGAGTTCAACACGGATCCTGACATATTTGTGTTCCTGTTATCGACGCGTGCTGGTGGCCTGGGCATCAACCTTACCTCAGCTAATGTTGTCATCCTGCATGACATCGACTGTAATCCCTACAATGACAAACAGGCAGAGGACAGATGTCACCGTGTAGGCCAGACCAAGTAAGATGGAATCTGTAGATAATACACCTTGCCGGATGAGTTTTGAGTCTTATAATTTGATTTCCACCCGTCTTATGTGAGCAATTTGACAGAAAGCCTTTGTTTTATATGCATGCAGATTCTGATGTGATTAATTAGGTATTGATTGCAGTTACAGAACTTCCTCAGGTGAAAATGTTCCCCTTCAGAACTGTGCTCAATGTATTGATTCACTGTAGTGGATAATGGACCTCACTGTTTGTCAGGACTGTACAGGTGATTAAGCTGATCAGTAAGGACAGCATAGAGGACTGCATACTGCAGCTGGGCCAGAAGAAACTAAAGCTGGAGCAGGACATGACTGCTGCTGAACGGGGTAAGATAATGTCTTCACATACATTACATACACACATCTCTGTAATGAATACATTACATTTAATTTTACTTTGCAAACTAAATCATTTAAACTAGACAACTTTAGGTAGTGCCTGAGATATAGCAGTGCATTTTTTCCTGGCAATCTTGTCTTTGTGTTTTTTTTAGTTATACCTCACATAACCGCCTTTTGAAAGACTTTAACAAATCAATGACAAGGAGTTCATCAGTAAGGAAAGAGGTCAAGAAAATTCCAGCACTGCTCTGCTACATCCTGAACCCTGCAGAGATAGCAGTAGTTAAATATTTACCCTAAACAAGTATTTGTTGGTGAAAGTCTCTTAAATAAAAGCTAAAAGTATAGAACAGTGTAATATTGAAGATAGTTGATCAAACAGTTCAACTTGTACATACAGTAAAATTCCTGGGTTAAATAATATCAGGAGTACACAAGAAAGGGGAAATGCTTCTTTCAGGACAGACACACGTGCAATGGATGTTGTGTATACAGAAATAACGATAGTAAAATTACAATGTGGAGAAACAAATTACAATTTTAGGTAAATGATAGCTAACTTCTGAATTACTTACAAATTTTAAAAAATGGTTAATTTGTTCTTTAGGTGGTGAGGGGACCATACCTGAAGATATGGCATCTTTGCTCAAAGCCTCACTGGGACTGTGATACACAAACACATGAAACTTGAGACTGCACAAATATGTTTTTGATGGCATACCTGTGATTCTGGGCAGACTTGAGTGTTTCGACTGAACATGCACTTATGTGTCTATACTGGAAAACTACTGAGAACCATACGCTGCCATGAAAAAAAGTTCTGATATTGAGATCTGATTTACTGTGTAGCAGGGTAGCTGTGCCTAAAAACAATATTTTTTACATGCACACAGTTTTTGAGACCATCTTGAGACCATAATATACAAGGGTCCCAAGCTTTAGAAACTTGGAAGAAAAAGGTGTTAAGCAGTTTATACCACACCATCAGGAATGCAGCATGTGTTGGACTGCACCATCGAATGTTAAGTTCACATAACCCATGTAGTTATTATTCACATTCAAAAATGTATTGTATGCTGGTAAGGGACAGTATGCTTACTGGCGGTCTTTGATAGATTAAATATTCCAAATCTAGTAGGGAAATTGTGCTTACCGACCCAGAGAGGTGGTGCACACATTTCTTTTTCTTTTTTTGCCATACTTCATACAGTGTTACATTTTGTCAGTTTGTATTTCCAATGAGTTTACATCAAATATTTTTAGCTGCTGTGATTCACAGTAACATTAAAAACTATACTTATAATGATGGTATTCACATTTATTTTGCCAACTATCTGGAAAATTGTACTCTGTCACTGTAAGTGTAATGTGTTTAGTTATATTTTAAGACAATTTTTTGGCAATGGCAGACTGATTGGCCTTTTTTGACTGAAGATAAATGGTCGTGTGAGTGTATTCAATGCATTTCATACATAAATACTCCATATTTTCTAGTGTGTAAAACTAGAAAAATAAAAATATAAAATAGAATGTCTTTAATAAATATGGTGCTTGAATTGATTTCTTCTACTCCTTTAATATCTTAAGGCAAGCGATTTGAGGAAGTAGCTGCTGCATTCATGTACTGTATAAGTGGCTAATGTGTTGTGAGTGTACAAGTGTTACTGTAAAAGCTTTTATGAAAGTCATTTGTATGTTTTTAAGGTTCCTGTTTGAAATGAATAATAAAAATTGGAATAAATGCTTGTGTGGCCATGCGTACAGCGATTCGGCAGGGGGAGCTGCCAGTAAGAAAGTTACCTAAATTGTTTTCCAATGGGGTATGAATTATTTATGTGCTGCCAAAGACTTGCACTTTTCTAACACCAGGTTTCACCAAACATCTTGATTTAAAAAGAGGTCTAACAATTATGTAAAATTGAATAAAAAAAAAATAAGTGTGTTTCGATCTAGAGACTGGAAGATATGAAATTAATTATACTTGATCTAATTGTTCTGAAAGAACCAATGTGTGTATATAACATACAAAAGCCACTTCAGCAAAGTGAGTAAGCTTGACAGGGAGTCAATAGGGAGTGTGTGTGTAGCCCTTATAGCTGCTTTACTGATATGTCAGTGCATCAGACTTAAAGCAGCCCAGGATGGCATATAACAGTTAATGTCCCAGTTCAAAATCCCTTTATTTTGGTATATACAATGGATATATAGCTAATGCTGAGACATTACAAGACATTTAAAAAAAACTTTATTTGCAAGTTTTACAACCACCGTAGTTTCTCCAACACCCTTGAGAGGGCAAGGGAAATAACACAATAAAAAAATTTATCAAGAAAATACTAAATTCTGTATCAACACATAATGTAATCTAATACTCTACTCTGCATTGGGGGAGTATCGTCCACACCTGAAGCCTGTCAAGTGAGCGTCACATTTAATAGTGTAGGTGAAGTAGAGAACTCCTTTGCTCAGCTGACAGCTTAGAGAGCGAGTTCCCCGCTCAGGAAAGACGATGCATTTGCCTGCTACGTCATTGTAAATCACATCTCTATCCCACACCTCAAACCTCAACTCCTGACCCAGTTCCACTGATCCAAAGTCATATGTTGCGTTCCACACTGGGTCATTGTCATCCATCACCGTCTCCGTCTCCTCGTACATGCCGTTGTAGAAGATCTTCACGTAGGCGTCTGTTTTTGTGAAAGTGTCTGCCTTCAGACCTGCAGCTCTGTGGATGACCAGGCTGAGAGTTCCTCTGCCAGCCCGTAGGGGACAGCAGTGATGGTCCAGGTTGGGAGCCGGGGAGCAGTTCTTGAAACCAAACTCGTCTTCCTTCAGCTGGTTCTCTTTAATGTACTCTGTGACAATGCTTCTCAGATTAGCACTGGTCTGTGAGTCCTCCACAAGATTATGCAGGGGGAAGATGGCGTAAGAGACCACATCAGGGTTGTCATGGAGGCTGCTCATCCAGCTGTGGTACGCTTCGGATGGGTCCTGCTGGTAGAGGATGTCGGGGAAGTACTTCTCCCCCCCTGTTACCTCAATCTTATGGGTCATGAAGCCTTGGTAGAAGCCCATGCTCATGTTACCCTTCCGGAGGTTGTCACACTTATTGGAGAAGGACGCATTGGCGGGGAGGAAACCGAGAGCCATTCGGAGTTCAGCATTCAGGCAGTTTTTGACCTCGGACTCAGTGAAGCCCTTCAGTGTGGCCAGGCAGGTCCTGAAGGCAGTGATTCGCCTCACCTTACCACCAAGTTGGACCTACGAGGCAAACAAGTAATTAGAAAGAGGCTGTTTTGTAACAAGGTTCATCCCCCCTCCCCATCTTCAGCATTAAAACCTACTATAATCAAAAAAGAGAGTGCACTGCATCAACCACCTGACCTGGTGTATGTAGTGTGTTCCATAGGTGTCTATCAGCCGTCTATATATGGCTCGGTCCTGGCTTGTGTTTAAGCTCAGTGGGAGTCTCTTTAGATGCTTCGTGAACTCTGCACTCAGCTGGGGATGATCCGCCAGCCTGTAGCTGAAAAAAAACAACAGGCATGTGGAGTTCGACCATAACACAGTGAGAATATAATATTGACTCTTATGGAACCAACAATAAACAGTTGAGTTCACCGTAAGGTGTCACCTCAAGCTGTCGTAACTTTGCAAAGAAAAGGTTTCTTGCGTACCATTTATTTGTAATTAAGCCTTTTCCTTAAATGACTGACTTACTTTTCTCACAAACTAAGAAACATCGGCAAGTCATCATCTAAGTTATCATTTTAATCTATTTTAAGCTGTAACCAATATATGCTAACAGTACATTTGCCTTTTACATGTAGGAAAACAACTATGAGCTCGGATCTGCAGACAGAAATGACTCTGTATGTTTAATGTTAATTTTGCAACTGTCATATTAAGCCATACTTATCTAAACAAACAAACAAAAAAAAAAGAATTCCTCGCATTCTCTACTGTGGATCTAGATGTAACAATACTTAGTTGTACTCAGTCCCCTCATCGTAAGAACATACTTTTAGTGCTGAATATCATCTTACTAATTTGATAATCCCAGTAATGCCACATCAACCAGCAAAATACAAAGCACCATTTCTACCACCCCCCTCCTCTTTACCTGTAGTACGTGCAACTGATTTCATGGATGGCAAAAGTGGCCTTGTCCACGCTGTGCTGTGAACGGGCAAACTTTGCCAAGTCTGAGCGGCTTCCTCCCAGCACTGCCTTGCCAATATTGTCTAAACTCAAACCCAGGTCCCAGTTGTTGTTAACCAGGGAGCTGGAGCTGCGCAGCAAGGAGTCCACAGAGTGGTGGAGGGCACTAGACAGCTGCTTGCTGCAGCGGCTGAAGGGACGCCAGTCGAGCACTGCAGCTGGGAGCCTCTGAATCTGAGGAGGAGAGAAATTGCAGGATGTAGAGTGGGATGCAGGTGGGCGGAAAAAATAGTCAGGGGAAACGTTGAATAGAACGGATAGTGGAAAAACACAGGGCAGGAGGGGCAAGAGGGAGAAAAAGTTGTTTGGATGCTATAAAGTGAAGAGAATTTAGTCTGATCGAAGACACCGTGGAAAAGTGTTTTCACCTGTCCTTTCTGGAAGCGGTTTGGACACAGTGTACATGTGCGGTTATCAGCCAGATGACCTTTGACATTGATGACATATGCCCCTGTTCGACGCATCCGCACCACATCAAAACCCTCCCCTGCCAGGTTGTGGCCCGGGACGAAAGGGGCTTTCTCACACTCTGACCCTGAGCCAATCCGACAGCCGCGGACCCGGCAGACCTCCAACATGACCAGTAAAGCCAATATAAACCGGACAAAGTTGCTCCATCGGCCTCTTCCAGCTTGCATGGTTACCTAAATGTAAAAACACACAGAGGGTGAGCATGTAGTCAGTAAAGCCTGTTTTAATGACTACTTCTTTGCTATGAAATACTCCCTTTAACATGAAATGAGTGTCTGATATGAAGCCCACTGTAGGCAGTTACATTATTTGTCTTATAGTTAAAACAACCACAGGTTTACCGGTGAGAAGACTGCAGGGTTGCTGCTGGTAGCAAACTATTTAATAATTGAAGATGAATTATGTCTGTTACACAGTATATGCAGATAAGCTTCTAATCCTCTCTGCTTTAAAAACTAGAGTAATCCTGCCACAGATGTTGTGTCATCTCCAAAAACGTGCACAGCTGACAGACACAGGATAAAACACTTACCTTGGACTGTATTTTATTTATCGTCCTTCAGATTGTGTCTTCGTCTGCTTTCAGGAGTTGTTAGTCTGTAGCTTCCTTTTGCCTTCTAAAATCCCTGCCCAGATTTTACCAGCCAGGAAAAACACATTTGTTGTGCCTCCCTCTCTTTGCTAACTCCATCGATGACACAGCTCACTGTAAACGATGAACTGCAAACGGAAACCCTTGATCCTGCTGGAAATGAAATCACGGCTGAGAGAGCTTTGGCTTTGCTGGCGAACTGCACTGAGAGCCTGCTGGGTGCACTCTTTTGTCTGTCCTCCGCCTTATGAAAAAGACCAAGGAGGGAGTTCCTCTGCTTCAGGGCTGTGTCTCTCTCTCTCTCTCTCTCTCTCTCTCTCTCGCTCTCTCGCTCTCTCTCTCTCTCCCCCAAGGCTTTAACAATTTCCTCAGCATGAGTGGGTTTGTTTTCATATTCCTGACCCAGCTCTATGAATCCCTCACAGCTGTGTATGTGTGTGCACGTGTGGGGGAGGGAGAGTCTTGTATAGTCATAAGAGGAAAGATGCACGTTAATATGAGCCTTCTTTACGGGAAATGGCTAGACGTATGTGTATGTACGTGCATGTGAGTGTACAGTACGTGTGTGTATGTCTGTTGGAGTGACTGTTTTTGTACAACGTCTGAGCCGGCCTGTCTGTGCACTGATAACCTTACCAACACCATGAGGTCAGCTTTGCCATTGTCTATTTATGGATGTGGGTGGAATGTTGGTGGTTTTCTCTGTAAGGTCTCTCTGCACTCTGTGCAAGAGGTTTTATTCAGCACAAGACAGGAAGATTTGTTTTTCTACCCAGATTTGCTCTTTTATTTAGAGAAGCAGTATGTGCTTCGGTGCCACGTTTACAGACTTATGCATGCTTACCTAATGCGATTTGACTTCTATACTAACCATAACATTATAATGCAACTGTCATTTCTGTGTTTCTGTAATGAAAAGTTAAAACTAAATGTGTTTTGGATTTAGCTCAAAGATTCCGCTCCATCTGTTAACCTTAAAAAAACATACATTTCACGCAGACCTGTTATAAGGCCAAGTGACACTGACTAGGGCACTTGTAAAGGATTTAGGGCATTTCTAAGTCTTAACATGAACAGACATACCAAGAATACATACAATACAACATAGTTTTCTTTTTTTGAAATTTCTTTAATTAGTATTTAAGTGCAGTGCAGAAGAGCTTAATAAACATACATTGCAGCATAGTACAAAAATACTGAATTGTGAATTAATATTTAGAAAAAAAAACCTTTGCAAAATGTTAATTATCTGAAAACATATTTATAAACCCTATGTTTTATGTAAATGAACTGTACCTATATAGCACTTTTCTAGTCTTCCGACCACTCAGCGCTTGCTCATTCATACACTATCATAAAGTGATGATGAAGGCCATCTCAAACGGAATTCATTCATACACATTCACTCACCGATGCACAACATCTGGAGCAATATCGGGTTCAGCATCTTGCTTAAGGACACTTCAACATGCAGCAGGATGAGCCAGGGATCGAACCGCTAACTTAAAGATTAGTGGACTACCCGCTCTACCTCCTGAGCCACATCCACTGATAAATGGTATAGTCAAACAAAGCATTCATTTTCTTAAGCAAGGACTAAAAATGTTTATATACTACATGGCATTGTGCATCTTGGCCACATGAGGGCAGTATTGGGTTACTTATGGCCTTTGAAATAACTTCTGCTTTTTGTCATTTGGTGATTTTAAAGGCAGATTGATGACTGTTAGATGTAATATAGTATGATGTTTATAGGCCATAAAATACAATATAATACAACAATATAATAAAATACAAAGTTGACTTAAACAGCTGCTAAAGCACATACAATGTTTTCAGTAAAAAAAAAAAAACTCCAATAAATGTATTGTTTAACTTACATTTACTATCCATAGCACTTGGTAAATGTGTGAATTATTAGTTTCATACACATTTTAGAAGAATCATAATGCAAAGTCCAACTGTTTCAAACTAGAAGCACTTGTGAAACTAGAAACGTGAAACATTTGCCACTTCCGTAAGATGCGTGACAGTGATTTCTGAGGTGACGATCAGCAGGGAAGTTAAAAACTAAATCTGTCTCACCGCATTAACATCCGTCTTCTGCAGCCAAGCCTCTGAGCTGTGTGTTTTTCCTCAAGCCGCATCTTGCTGTGCCTCTCTCTCTCTATCTTCGCGCTCTACTTCTCCCCGTATTTCGTCATAGCCTCTAGCTCTCATGAACCCAGACATCCTCCTCCTTCTCTTCAGCAGGAAAACTGCCACTACCACCAGTGCTATCATACCGATCACACCAAAGGCTACCCCGGCCTTTTCTCCACTAGACATCTGACCCAATTCTGGGTTAAGCTGGCGCACAATGTCATTGATTTCCTCTGGTTTTGCCAGTTTCCATGCCTTGGTCTTCCCCACTCTGACCCAACTCTTGTCTCCTTCAGTCATCACCATGACCGTGTTTGTGGCTTGCATGCTGACTAGTGGGCGTTTAGTGAAAGGAGGCAGATGGATAGGGAGAAGCTGCCCTCCTGTGAACAGTCCTGACTGGACGCAGTAAAGAATTTCACAGCCGTCGCTCACTGTGGCGAGATGCTGACTGAACTTGGGAGGGCAGCGGCGTTGGGACCCTGCCAGTGGGTTGCTTGACTGACAACTGAAGAGGCCTCCAAATGGTACGGAGTATCTGGTGGCAGTTTCATAGTCATTACTCACACATATCACTTGGCCGTCCGAGAGAAACTTTACTGGAATGAAGTTTGAGGGGCAACTTTTGGCATTGGTGAGAGGGTTCAGCAGAGAAGGGCTGTATATGCCTCCAAACAGATACCCTGAGTTGTCTGGGGCCTTTCCATTATTTACAGAGCACCAGTAGGTGTCAATGCGAGCAGAGCGAACGTGGTAGTTGTCCTGACACACTCTATTAATGCAATCTTCAAGCCATAAAAACCCACAACCATAATGATGGTCAACGCAATCGTACGAAGTGTAAGCCTGCTGTCTCACTTCAGATCTCAGTAAAGTGGGGGTGTATGGCGGACGACAGGAGAAGTCACCTGTTTCAGGGTTTTTCTGGGCCAGGGCATCACATAGTGGACCTGCATCTGAGCTGCGCTTAATACACTGTTGGTAGACGCCCCCGAAACTGAGGTTTGTAGCAGGGCCCTCACAGGATGCATCATCAATGTTGGCCTGGAAGTTAAAGTTCTTGGAGTTGACGTCGACACATCCAGGCCGCGTATTGATCGTGTAGTATCGCTCTATGGCCTGACTCAGCGTGAGAGCCACTTTGCCAACTGTAGGCTGTGGCAGATCTGGGAAGGTGTTGGTGTTTATAAAGTAGTGTAGGGGAAATCCTGACCTATCAATAGCAACAAGGTTGTTCCTGGTGCTTTCCTGCCACTTCTGCAGAGTGATGCCGGGATAGAAAGGTGTGCCACCACCATGGCTTTGGGTCAGAGAGTACTGAATATTGGACTGATATGTCTGAAGTGCTGAGCTCTGTTGGGTATTTGTGCTGCTTATGTCAAACTTGAGTTTGTCAAAAAAGTTTAAGCCTGCCTGCGCTGTGATAGTGGAACTTTGCGACACACTGTCCGATACATATGTAGAGCGGAGGTAGTCTTCCTGCACCAAACTGGCCCCGGCATCGACACTAGTGATAACATGGGTTCCATAGTCCAGTACCATCTTTTCTGAGAGATAATCTGCGTGCCTTGTTTGGTTGTTTTCAATTGCATCAGCTATTTCTTTGGCTTGTTGAGCAAAGCGTGAATCCAGATTGAAGTCTGGATAAGCCTTAACTGTGTAGATGAAGTTACGAACCTTTGAGGAAAAGATAAGACGTCATTGTATTATTTTCTTAGTTTTTTAAACATGTGCCATAATTATTTCAGCTTATTAATGTTCTATTCATTTTCTTTATTTGCTTTTTAATGTGACATCTGTAACACCAGAAACTACAGAGAAGAAACAGCCTTCTGTCTCACACTGGCACTGTTACAGTCCTATCAATAAATAAAATATTTAAAGGCAGTCAACATTTTTATCAACCAAATTTAGAAGTAATCCACAGTAGAGTGGTACTTTTGTTACACATAAACATAATTTTATGATTATAGTGGCTTTTACCCACAATAGCAGCCACAACTATACTGTATGTGCTTTTTATTTCATTAATCCAAACGATGGAAAATAAAAAACTTACTTGCACTCTGGTCGTAGTTGAAGAGTCTTTGACCTGATGGGTTTTCATCCTCTGGTTCTCTGTAGAAAATTTGCCATTCAGAACCGAGAAGAAGGATATGTCCGCATTAATGGTCTGGGATGTAGAGCTTTTCTGCTCCAGCCACGAGCTGATTATCTCTGAGTTTGTCTCCACGCCCGTCTCCTTGTGGGGGATTACAAACACCTCATCCGGGATGAGGTAGAGCCCATCCTCAGTTGTCTGGCACTGGAAGTAGCTGAGGTTCATGACTCGACCCACATCCATGTTCCGGAGGTTGTCCCAGCCTCCGCCCGGCAGCACCTCCAGAGCTGTGATGGAGAGGTTGGTGGAGGCACGACATTGTCTGAGCCAGTTGGTGGGTCGGCTGACAGGGACCGAAGAGCAGGCGTGAAGGAGAAAGAGAGCCAGCAGGTTCACTGATGTCTTCATGATGACTGCCTCAAAACAGGCTGGGACAAATACATATAAGGTTCAAGCCAGGTTCCTCCTCCTCTTATGCAGCTTATCATATGACAAACAGGAACATCTTGTTTAACAACTGGTGGGGGTGGGTGTGGTTTTGATTTTATTTTGCGAGCCCCAAAGTATAGATAGGATAGGCAACTTATTAACAGGAAACTAAACTCAATATACCTAATTTATGACTACGCCTATTATTTTCTATGACAGAAAAATAACTTCACAGTTTAATAAAACCTGAAGAAGGCCATCGCCTGGCCATAAACCAGTCCATTGTATGGTTCATATACATGATTTGTTATCTAATTGTTCAAGTGAGTGCAGTACAGTCAGTTCTGAAAGCAGTGTGTTGAACTATACCTCAAGAGTAGTATGCAGAACGTCTTGAACCTGCCTAAACATGCAAAGTAGTAAGTAAATGAGCCCACCATGCAGTCTGAGCACAGATACCTTGTTTGTCTTACCTGTCATGGGTGTCTGAATAATGATAAAGATAGTGTGACACTGAACCAAAACACACAGTAGATAACAAACTGATACAATCTGAAAGCAAAGTGAATGAGAAATAAAAAAGGAGTGCTGAAGTGCACACAAGAGGAGGGTGGAGATGAAGGGGAAAACGAAACTTAAGCATAAAATAGACCCAGCATAGACTTAAAGGCACATTGCTTTGATTAATAAATGCATTTAAAAAAGTTCTTCTTTCAAGATCAAGTTAAAAACGCTTACTGACTTCCTCTTTTAAAGGGAACAGAGAGAAGATGTGAAAACAAGATATACTAAAGGGAAGTTGCTGTGTTTTCACGTGTTTTGACTGTCACATGAGTTTACCTCACTGGGAATTTCCTGAAAATTTCAAATTGACTCACCACTCAACAATTCACCTTGACTAACATCTGGCCAACAACAAAAGAATAAATATAAGCAATACACGGTTAGGAACGAAGTCCGTATAATGTTTGGCCTGTAAACAAGGTTATTCATCTATATGGGAAAATAGTATGTTGGGAAGCATGGCGTAGTAAGGGTTTAGTTTTGCGGATCTATTTGGTGAAGGAGTATTCTATTCCTATAAGGATCTAAAGGACCAATATAATGTGAATGATAAAGGGGTTAGGGATAGGAGCAAAATTACACTTTATAGAAGAATTCATAGACATTATTGGACCCGCTCGGTTTTATTCAAAGCAATGCTCTTGCAGGCTTCCTTAATTTATTAAAGGTGGGGGTCATAGATATGTAAGAGAACGCCTTAATCTATGCCGTGGGATTGTTGTCACTGCACGCACGAAAGCAGGGAATGCTGACATAACAAGAATAGGAAATGACCTCAAAGAAAAGGAAATGCAACTACAACAAAGACTGGAAAACTACAGTATAAGGCATTAGACCTGTGAAACTTAAGCTTCCTTTTACGCTTACTTTATCTACTTTGCGTGGGTGTTGGGAAATCTGCAAATAAAATATATTTGTTTTGTCCCTCACATGCTAAAGGCCTAACCTCTAACCTCAATAGTCTATTGTGTGCTACTGAGATGTCACAGGCTAAGGGGGAGAATAGAAATGTTTATTTTTGACGTTAGACATTGTATTAACACATTTAGACTACTTCACGCCTTCACAAAGGTCTGGGTTAGCCCTGTATCTGACACTGTGTTTTTCATGTTGTATAGAGTGGGGGGAGTAATTTGGGAGAGGATTTATTTTGTGTGGTGTGTATAATGATCTAAAAAATAAAATAAAACAATATTCTAAATAAATAGGTGTTTAAACTGAGCAGTTTGTACTCTCATTATACACATTCTACGCATTTTACAGAAAACTTAAGCTTTACTATTTACCAATGTGGTAACAAAAGTATGTGCTTCATCAGCTGTTGCCTGGCAGAGATCCGCCCTCTGCTGAGTGCACTCTTCCAGTTGTTGCTGAATCCGGCCAGTAGATGGCAATACAAAACCATACAGCTGATGGACTCTACAGCTGTGCGAGTGCACAAATGCCTTCACATTACAATGTCAAGAGCTCACTGCTTCAGCATATAACACCCAGAGCAGAGTGTGTATGAATATGGATCATAGCTTTTGTCATGCTTTGAAATTCCACCTCTTTATTAACCTTCCTCCTCGTGCCAAAACTAACCCAAAAGTCAGCACTATTTCATCTGCTGTCTAAACTCCATCAGACTTATGGATGAGGACGGTATGCCTCGCTCATCGTTTCACCTCTACTGAACCCTGCCATGTGTTTTTCTGCTGGAGATAAGAGGAACCCGAACGGACACGGTTTGACATGCCCATCAAGTGTCACTGTTGGCAGTGACGATTAGCTGCGTTTTGCGCGCAGCAGGCGAGTGTCACAGCCTGCTGTTGTATGACCACGCTTTCTTCTGCTGATGTCAATCTGCACTTCAGATTGGCGCAAACCAAAACTTTACAGACTGCAGTATAGGGGTTTTGAATCCAGATTTCGTTTCAACAAAGTTTTACCAAGTCTTTCTTTTTCTATATTGAAGGGCAGACGCAGAAACACGTTTTCCTCAGGATCATTTAGAGCACAGTGGTGGCCTGTGTCCGCCACTTCATAACAATCACCTTTTAGCGTTAAAATATGTGTGAATACGCCGTGCTGGACGCCTTGGTGCCAGTGCGTAACGGTGCGTAAAGGCGCCACTAAACATTACGCGCGCACTCCAGCGGTATCTTGGGTCACTGGGAATTAAGCAAATCAAGAAACCACCCCCATGATCGCTCATTCACTGCGAGTGGACACTCAGTAGTCCACTGCAGTACATTCAGATCTAACCGTTTGTATTGTTGAGAATCATATAAAATTGCACACTAAAATTGGACACAAATAAAATTCCGGGCAGTACATATAGTGTACTATATGGTAACCAGGTAGTCACAATCCAAACTTGCTTTTTTTTATAATAACGAACTTTCCCTGTTTAAGGCTTCAGAATACTTCTTTGTCTGAGTTGTGCGAATGATCAGGTCATATTTTATAGCTCAATAATGCAATTAGTCATAAATGTATACACTGATTGAAACATATACCCGACAACAGTAAAGGCTGAATGGTTGATATTGTCTACAGCAGACTGGGTTCTTATCCAGAGAGTCTTGCATAAACAGAGAATATATTGAATGCTTATTGTTTCTTGTTCAAAAAATGTAAAGATCACAAGACATGCTCTGTGAATCAAAGTACGTTTAATATTATAACAATTGCAATTCAAGTCTTTACAGACCACAGCAGATTCAAAGAAGTAATGTGTAAAAACAGCAGGTTCAGTATTTTCTACTGTAGAAAAACTGTAAAATAGCAAGCAAACTCAAGTTTTTGGAATGAATGCAGAAGTTTAGTCCACACATAAACGTAAACGCCACCAGAGAGGCGTTTGGTCAGCATTTAGTGTTCATTATGAGAGGTGTCACTTCTTGACAGCAGCTTTGGACCTGGTGGACCTCTTGGCGACCTTGCGTTTCACCTTCTTGGGACTCTTTGGCTTCTTGGGCTTCTTGGCCGCAGCGGGCCTTTTTGCTTTCTTTGGACTTTTTGCCTTCTTCTTCTTCTTAGGTGACTTCTTGGCCGCTGGAGTGGCACCTGCAGCTGCTTTCTTGGCCCTGGTCCTCTTGACCTTCTTCGCTTTGGGCTTCTTTTTCACGACCTTCTTCTTTCGAGGTGTGGGGGGCTTCTTGTTCAGCTTGAAGGAGCCCGCGGCCCCGGTGCCCTTGATTTGGACCAGAGTTTTCTTGGCCACCAAGCGCCTGATGGCGATGAGGATTCTGGCTCTGTTCTTCACCACGTCGTATCCTCCGGCCTTTAAAGCCTTCTTCAGGGCTGCCAGGGACACGCCGCCGCGCTCTGCGGACGCGGACGCGGCCTTCAGTATCAGGTCTGACACTGAGGGACCCGTCTTCTTCTTCTGAGACTTGGCTCTCTTCTTGGGAGATTTGGCCGGAGCCGCCGAAGGCAAAGCAATCGCTGCAGAGGACATTGTGATAGAGGTTGTTGCTATAGGGTCAAGTGAGGGGAGAGGACAGAGTGATATCTCTTCTGGCCCTCTTGACAGATTGAGGTTTTATAAAGCCTCAATGAGAACCGTGTAGAGTGAGCCTCTCCACCACAGTGCGCCCCTTCTCTCTCTCTCTAACTAGATAAAGTTTGTGTTTTTTACAGCTGCATTATTTAGTAAAAATCCTGCGTAAAGATTTGGGAATCCACATAAAAAGCACATCATAAGGATCAGCGCCCTCTTCACTGTCTATATCTCTATTTTTACACCAGGGATTTAGTGAAATCTACTCGAATTTGTTGCGTTATTAGAAGCTGGCAGTTGTAAAGTTTAATTTGAGACTTGTATTTTGAACATGTAAACAAAGTTATACCCTCTACACAATCGAGTACAGAGTTTAATAATTAAACAAGCTTCAATAGTAATGTGTCTGATAAACTGGCTCCAAAACTTTGTTTTATTTCAGCCGTTTTTGCTAATTAAATTCATTTAAAGATGACCAAAGAAACACAGTTGCCTGGCAGCCCCTGCAGACTGCGTCCTGAACATAGATAGAAAATTCCTGAAAAGCAGAAGCAGGGCAGTTTTGATGAATGTCTGAATTTTAAAAGGATAAATAACAGAAAATTAGGTTTTATAACATCATTATAGTGAATATGTTATTGTAGGCCACTGTATGTCTCCTCTGTGGATGGAAATGGACCTCAGCCAAAAGATATCCGCCTGTAAGGAGGGGCGGCCAGAGAAACGAATTTAAGATTAATTTCCCGGGCTTTTTGAACGTTTTGACCCTTCATGAAATGACCAGTGAGAGATGCATTCACATTAGTATGTATATTTGAAATTTGTTTCCTTTTTATTAAGATGCCAGTCTATGGTTTGACAACCATATAGGGCATGATGCCCTAAATAAACTTAATCATTGCATAATAAGCTTTTAACATGCCGTGTCCTTAACAGATTGATTTAATTGCAAAGGAACAAATGAAGCAAAGGCATCATACTGCACTGAATGTTCCTCTGACTGACTTTCTTAAGTCTGTAGTGTTTTTGGCACAATGTGTGGTATGATATATGGTATAGTGGGTTAGTAGACGAATATTTTAGATATGAATTTCAGTCAGATTTCAAAGATGAAATAGTATTTACATTATATTATTTATATCCATTTTGTATTCTTTCACATGTTTGTGCACAATCAATAGTTTAATTTTGACTATATAACAGGTATATTCACATAGATTGTATGATTCAATAGTTTGACATCTGTATTTTATATAATCTGTATTTTTGTGATTTTCACAGTATTATTATTAATTTAGGTCTGTTTTTGGATCTTTAATGACTGTAGAAAACATCAGTAACTTAAATGTATTTGTTGTTTTAGTCCTTGTCAAGTTCATGGATTGTGCCTTTAAAGCACTTTGAATTGTATTTAAATGACTTTGAAAAATAAACTTTAAATCTTAAAAAAGTGATCCAACATTTGCGTTATTCTTTTTGATATAATCAATAAATATATATATATAGATATTATAAACTGGCGATGATTAGTGGATTATTAAATTATCTCTTTTGCGCTTTTTTTCTCCATTAATATTAGATAGAGTGAGTGTGTCTGTGTGTGTGTGTGTGTGTGTGTGTGTGTGTGTGTGTGTTTGTGTGTGTGTGTGTGTGTGTGAGGGAGAAAATTGGCAAATGTACTCCTGCCTTCTGTCGTGCACTGATAGCGCCTTGACCTGTTGCATATGCAAAAACACACATACACACACAGTACAACAGAGTGAGCAAAGCTAGTTTCAATATAAATGCAGTGGGCTTGTCAGTGGCAAGAAGAAGAACTATGTTTTCTGTTGTTGTTTTTATATATTTTCTGTTGTTGTTTTTATATATTTTGGGGTTTTTTTACCTTTATTGGATAGGGCAGCTGAAGATTGACGGGAAAGCTGGGGAGAGAAAGGATGGCATGCAACAAAGACGTTAAAAAAAGTATCTGTAATCTTTTCTCTGAGAATGAAGCAGGTATACCAGATCAGATGAAGTTGTAATAATCTCAATAGGGAACTTGGACTGTGAGTGGGAGAAACTCTCTCACAGGCACACACCTTTCTACCATCTTTAACACTATACTGTACACAGCTTGGATTTGCTTTTGTTTCTGTGACTGGCGTTGTCATTTAGAATATGTGCTGTTAAGGAGTCTTGAGCTGTGTCTCGGTCAGAAAGCAGCTGTTATCTTATGTTGTCCCCCCTCAAAGTTCCATAGTAAGTCATATGTAAATGTGTCTGTATGTCCAGTAGTCTTCTCTTTTGTGACAAAGGAAATCATAATGATTTCTCTCATTGTAACTAACTGCTGAGGAACTGAGTAGGGGGCTATTATCTAATCAATGACCTTCCTGTGTAATCACATGATCATGTTGTCAATATGTGGACAGTAGGTTTGTGGTACTGTTGTGTCAAGAATAACTTCAGTGGAAACTAAACAAAACAACAACAAAAAAATGTCAAAACAAGGTGGAAGCGGTGTAGTTTTGTAGTTTTATCTTTTACAGAACATTCCTAGAAAATGAAATAAGGCATATTAAAGGTCAAGTCTGTAGGATTTTAATGGCATTTAGTCTGAAGTTTCTTCTATTGTGTCGATCATACACTACCTAGGAGAGTCAAAGTGCTCAAACCAGAATAAAAATATATCAAATAGCCTGCTGAATAACTTTTACCATTAAAGTAGTTCCTATTAACCTCCATATCTCTGCGGGGGGGAGTGCAGCGTGATACCCTCCCAGCAGGGAGGGGGGGTGGAAGGATGTAGAACCTGTTCTGTTTCATTGCTCTCCTCCCCAAAGCATGTGACCATGTGATCACAGGCTGAAGCCAGACAGGCTGAGAAAACTTGTGACCAACGCAGCAGCAGCAGCAGCAGCAGCAGAGACAGCCAGCAGCGAGATATAAAGTGGACCGGAGCGACTCCACAGTCCTCCTGCAATCTCTTCACCTCCCTCAGACAACATGGACTGCGGAATCTTTACGTCCAAGACCGTCCTCCTCTTCCTCAGCTTGGTGTTTTGGGTAAGTCGCGATCTTATTTTTCCACCTGCAGAGATTTGAGTTCTCTGATCTGGCGGCTTTCTAGGATGGAGTCAACAGTGCAGTCTTACCTTTTATCTCAGAATTATCGCTATTTTATTATTATTATTATTATTATGATTATTAGGTTTAGGGGAAATAATATTTTTTTTGGTGTGTGTGCGTTAAGGTAAATCAGAGTTATGAGTGGATCAACATCCTGGCAACCTGCCCCAGTTTTCTGGCCAGCACAGTCGCCATCATGATACTGTACTTCCTCATTTTCAGTGAACACCTCCCTTATTATTGCTCAAACCTGCGTTGTTGAAACATATATTCCAGAAAGGCTGTGAGTAACATTTCCCCAAAAATGGGAATTTCCGTCCAGTTTAGTGGAACTCTAACTTAAAGAATTGTTGCTTTGTGTCTGTGAGTCAGCCAGCTTGAACTTTGACTCATTCAGTGTTTGATCAGAGTTTGTACCTTGATTTTTGTTCCTCTCTTTCCATTTGGCCCTCGCTTACAAACAGTTGTCAGTTCTCCTCTGTCTCCCTCAGAGGAAAATGAGTTTTGAAGGGCCTGAGTAAACTTCTCTCCGTGGCTGTGGCTGATGTCTGTGTAATTTGATTACTGTGTGAGAGGACTGGGAAAACACAGGCATGGTTTATTTCTTGAATTCAAACAGCCACACATCCATTTTACTTCCTTACTCTCTGTCAATCTAATGCTTTGTCTCTCTGTTTGTCTCACACGCGCAGGTATACAGGTATATATGGGTCTGTGATCTTTAATTTGTGTACGGTTGGTTGTTTTCTCACCAGCTAGCCACTATACACAAACATATCCCTACTACATGACAAAGATCTGTCACATACATTGCAGGTTTCTAGTGGCAAAGCAGTAGAAATTCAATACGATCACCTCTCATTGATAAAGCACATATCTCAAAGTGTCGCACACATCTGGATTTGTCCTGTTTTTTCAGACAGCTGCAGCTCAGATGTGTAGTCTGAATAATAATGAGCCATTCATGTTTGCTGCTTCCCTCAGATTCTTCAGGCCTTAAGTAGCAGTTCAAATCTGTTAGATACAGTAGGAAATGTCCTCTACTGGTTGTTCATCCATGCCATCATCATCATAACTGAATTTCCAAGCCTCTCAACGATATCGATAAACAACGCTAGTTTACGAGTTTGTGAGAAAGACTATTTGAAAGACAGTTTCAACTGTAACTTGGGCGTAGGAGAGCTCTATTAAGATTTTTTTTTTAAAACCTAATTAAATAAAAATATTAAATTATACTTTTAAACTCTGCCTGACCCACTGTTAGACCTATCTTTATGAGATCATATTATGCAGATAAACATTGCACAAACCCACAAAAGTTTATTTGAAGTCGTTTGGAGATCCTAAAATTTCAAAAGATGGCAAATATTAGGTAGTGAATTCAGTAAAAATGTGTATAAAAGGATCCACTACATTAAAATATTTCCATTTCATGTGATGGTGCTACAGTATAACACGGTTTCTTTTTTTTTTTTTTTAAACAAATGAGGAGATTTAAAGGTAAAAGTTTAAAAGTTCATGTGTCCTGAATGTTTTAGAGCACGTGAGCATGCAAAGCTGGTCGATACAGTACCAGTACGATTCTCATGCAGGAACCAACTAAAATCATCCCCGCAGCCTTAAGAAACATCGCCTCAGAGGTTTCTCACATTCCAGAGAGGTGACACCGTGCACTGGGGCGCTATATGTTGTGTAAGCCTCTTTGTGCTGCTCCTTAGGCACAAGATCAGAGTTTCTGGAAAGATTAGGGGTGAGAGATGGGAGGGGGGGTTGGGATCCCGTGACTATGGAGTGATTAAGAGAAGTGAGTCATGAGGCTGAAGTTGAGGGTGAATGATTGTTCGGCCACACAAAACACATGCAAACAAAGATAGGCACCCAATCTATAACTCACCTCATTATAGGGGAAGTAAAAGTGAAAATGACACTAATGCACAGACACACATGAAGGGGGATTTCTGGATTAATAAGTAGTGGCGTAGAATTTTTGCCACAAATGTTCCATCGACCATGCGAAGGGTAATTTTGCTGATCACATATTGTCTCCTATTCGGGCCGTACCAATTGCATATAAAAACAGAACTTACACAAACCTCTATATTTGACTATGAACACATTTTTTAGTTTATATTTCTATTTTAGATTCCTAATATTTATGTAGCTTTCATCTCTCACCAGTTGTTTTTGTTGCCCCCCCCTTATTGGACTTCTTTTATCACACACTGGAATTTTAATCAAGTCTGATACAGTGAGTTTCAAAGGTCAAAGGGACGTCAGGAGTTCTGATAATAAAATAAATAGTTTAGAGTCACTGTTTTCGTAACAGTTGACTCTTTAGACCAGATCACAGAACAATCACTGCGGTTCAGGTGTCAAAATTGGCCCTTAAACATGAAGTATTATGATTGATGAGCTCACTGCTGAAGCATGACTTGTAGAAGCGTCACGATGATGGTGTGACTTAATGCCTAATCCACCCAGTGACCTTAACAGCCTGTGTTCATCACATGGAATCCCAGCAGATAATGAATAATAAAAGGAGAGTAACTCTCTTTGTACTTTATCTAAAGGCAGCTTTGTTCTCTCTTTACATTAATGGTTCTCGTTGACCATAGGTGGACTACCCTCTGTTTCAATCCCTCTGAACTTTTATTCCTACAGTATGTCATGTTGACAGAAGACCAAACATCAGTGTTCATAAATAGAAGGTTAACAAACAGCTCTTTCCTCTCTGTTGTAGAGAATAGGACGCTTTCAACCACAGAACAGAGAGAAAAACAGATCATGTGACAAATTCCTTCAGTTGTGTCAATGTGTGTTTGTTTCCGCAGTACTTTGGTATGTTAAATGCAAAGTCTAACTATGCAAAGGTTTTAAAAATTGTAATGAGCCATTACTTCATGATTAATGACTCTTTACTCTTTTGTTGTCTTTTGACCCAAATAACTTGGACGGAAATTGTCAAATTTCTGTAGTCAAAAAATATCAACAGTTAAAAATGTATTCATTTCAATAGTGTTTATTTATGTAATATGTATGTTTTATTATATATAAAACAGAAAACTGTTATGTCTAATAGTAATAGTAAACATTTTTCTTTACATTTACTCTTTTCTCATTTGCTGATTATACATGTAGAGAGCTGACAACTGAAGAAATCAAGATAATGAACTGAAGTTTAAGCTGGCTGACTCACTGACAAATGTGACAGCAAAATCCTTTAAGTCAGAGTTCCACCAAACTCAGCTGGACGGAAATTCAAACATTGTTTGGAAATGTTACTCACAGCCTTTCTGGAACACTTTTTCCAACTGAAATGAAGAACGCAGTTTTGAGCAATAATAAGGGAGCTCTACAGTAAAAATGAGGAAGTATAGCTGATGATAGTGACTGGCCAGAAAACTGGGGCAGGATGAACATCCTGCCAGGATATCACCTGTGATTTACCTCGGATTTACCTTCATGCACACACACCAAAATATTTCTTTCTTTCCCTAAACCTATTGCAAACTTGTGAAATTAAACAATTGACACGTAACTTGTGGATGTTTTCTCCTCCATGCAGGCTGCAGGAGCCGCGTTGGCCTATGTCGGTGCCTATATGCTCAGAAGCTATGACAGCTTCGACCACTTCATTCAAGACAAGTACACATTGATCCCGGCAGCTATCATCATCGGCGTCAGTGTGGTGATGTTCATTTTTGGTCTGGTGGGATGCTGCGCCACACTCCGGGAGTCCAAAGTCGGCCTTAGCTTTGTAAGTGTGTGTGTAGCAGGAGAGAGGAGGTTCACATTTTCATTATTATCTGTAATGTGTCTTGTTTTGGTTTTCCCTAAGCTTTTATTTATCCTCTCACTCTGTTTTCACAACTTCTCTCATTTTATTTTATCTCCAGTTCTTTCTGATCATCATGCTGATATTTGCAGCTGAAGTGGCTGCTTTGGTCTTTAGCTTCATCTACCGAGGCAAGGTGAGTCACACATACATGTACTCTTTCACCCAACTGCTGACAGTAAACTATAGTAGATATTAGCCTATATTAGACAGCTGTCGGCATTATGTTTTTTTTTTCTTTGCGTCTGTCCAGATAAGTGGAGACTTGGAGCGCTCGATGAATGATGTCTTCATGAAGTATGATGGACAGAATGCTGAGACCAGAGCTGTGGACTACCTGCAGACAGAGGTTGGGGTTATATTCTACTGTATATAAAAAGCTTTGTCTTCCACTTGTACTTTCATTTTCTTCCACCTCTTCTGCTTTCATCCTCTCTTCGCTTTCTTGCTTTCACTTCCCACTCTTGTACTTTCAACTTACCCCTCAGTCTGTCTCTCTCTCTTGTCTTTTAAGAAAGAAGCCATCTTAAAACAGCAACAGCTAAAAACATGGTGGTATGATGGTATATCGCTCATGCCAGTCTGCCCTATTGTTGGGCTTGAGCGGAAATTAACTGTGAGAGAAATGTCTTCAACAATATAGAAATAACATCCATAAACGACTGCTGCGCTCTGCACCAGCATGCATCAAATTCACACCCCTAGGTCTGTCAAAAGCCATTCTGTGAGTTGCAGGAAATTGCTCACTGAAGTAGAAAGTAGTACAGTACAGAGTGTGATAGTGAAAAATCCTTTAGTAACCTCTGTGCTGTAACTTCCACATTATAGGTTAAAGATGTAAGTTTAAGAGGTTGGTATTTTCCCGTAAGCACTTCTCATATAGTGTCACTCTTTCCATTTCTCTATTATGTCTTTTTCACTGTCAGACGTATTGTTTGGACTCCTTAATAATAATATAATGGAGTCCTTAATAACTCTCTTTGTCTGTGCAGATGCAGTGCTGTGGTGTCAGAAATTACACCAGCTGGTCCAACACGACCTGGTTTACCAGCCACAACAACACAGTGCCTCTGTCCTGCTGTAAAAACCATACCTCCACACAGTGCACTGGCAGACTGGATCAACCGGACCTGCTCAATGTAGAGGTAAATCATACAGAAGCACTACTGGCTCTTTTTGACAGAAATACTGTGTTGGTGTAGGTGTGGTTACATGTGCTTATGTCTGTGTTGTGTTTGGGATTATGATATGTTTATCTGATATTGTCGTATATGTGCTTTTAACTGCTTCTCAAAGTGCAACTTGAAGACTTTAAATGGGAATGAATTTATGCTGAATGATTTTTAATGCTTTTATGATGCATAACATAAAGTCTGCAGAGTCAAATTATAGGCAATAAAGCGAGAACATTTACAGATGTGCATGTGCAGTATGTGCGCTCACTGTACTTGTGTGCATGTATTTCAGGGTTGTGAGGCCAAGCTGAATACCTTCCTACAGGGTGTGCTGGGTTACGCCATGCTGGTCATTCTGGGCTTTGCAGTCATCAAGGTAAAGATGGTCACTTACAGTTTAGCAGCAGTGAATGAGAATTACTGTACATCCTTTTCTCTATTGTCACTCTGCAGTGAGCTACATGTCAATCTTTCTGGAGGAATGGTGGGATATGTATTGTACTGGGTGTGCTATGTTGTCCCTCCTAGCTGAATAGATTTCCTAACCTACTTGTGTGATATGTTAGTGCTTGTCAGGGGTGGAAAAACAAGTTGGTAGTGTTCAATTGAATCACTTGAATAGTCTTCAAATCTACTCATGTAAAAGTACAATGATAGCTCTGTTGAGGGCTACTCCTTGAAACAAAAACAGATCAGTGTGGTAACCTAACAGCCATTTCAGCATTTGTACACTTTGCTGATTTAATTATGCTTCAAAATCAAAGTTAGCTTTCAAGGAAATCCGAACTCAGAGATCTCCTTAGAAGGGGAAAAATAAATGAATGGAATAACCTGATTGTCCTGTAGACTACTTCTTGTTAAAGTACTTGATCTAAACTTTAAAAAAAGTGGTACTGTTGTAAGTATTACCAATTAATTTATCTAAATGTAAGTATTTGAGCTTGTCCCATGAGCACGGAAAGCTCCAGAAAATGAATTCAAAGAGCTAGTGTCTGATTACCTTCATTTTTCCTGTTGCAGTTCTTTGGGATGCTGAGCGTATGTGTGATCACCTGTAAAACTGGCGGCCGGAGGAGTGGCTACCAGCCTCTCTATGCCTGAACCACTTCCTGCATCCACCTACCACCTCCTACTTTTGATTGACTAGGTTTGCTGACTGCTTACAAGGCAGTTTACAGAAGCATCCAGGGCGATCATTGTACAAAGTTTTATTTAAATAATGGCATATACAGTATTCACGTGGGGCAAACCTTGTCTCGGTCTGAAGGAGATCATACCGGAGCATTCTTCCACAGAGGAAATCTGTGTAAAAGTGTTCCTCTGACTTCTTAAATCATCTTTCAACTTTGAGATATTGTCTAAATGTTATGATTTTTATGATAAAGTTTCCATATGGTTACTGTAGGTTCAACTTTGGCCTTCCTTTGGCAGAACACACGTAACATAGCATAGAAAGTAAATAATAGAAAATGTTGATCCCTGTTGGATTTTATTTGCTGAAAGCTCTTACTCTCCAAAGCAGCTGTTTGTTTCTAATGCTGACTGTCAACCTAGTGCAGCTGCCATCACATCACAGGAGAGAAAAGGTGACAGGAAAGAAAAACATTTTGAACATTCAGGCTTCAACGTGTAAATCTTGCCTAGCCTTCTCACTCTCCTGCATCATGTAGATATTCTTTTAAAGAACATTTTCTTTGTAGGTAATATAATGAAGATCTTCAAGTTATATTTTAAGCTTTTTGTGATTGTGAACACAAGGACAGCGGTTTAATGCCTAATTTAGGCATACATATAGAAAATGTTATGGTCAGTTACAACTGTATTGAATTAAGTTGCAGTTCAATAGTTTGACTTTGGTTGTGTTTATTATGTTTCTAAATTAAACAGGTGAATATTTCCCAATATGATGCAGTCCTATCACATTATTGTCTTGCCTTGTCCACTGTGTTTTTTGTGTGTTTAACATATTGTAATGTTTTTTTTTTAAAAAAAGGGTTATTTGCAGAGTGTGCATTCAAAGCATAACACTTAACGTGACACATGCTGGTTATCTCTCTCTCTCTTACCTCCTGACTCTGCTGATAAAGAGGCCCTTAGTGCCATCTTGCCTAAGCCTTGTCAGTGTAAGAAAAGATAAATGAAAATATAAACTCCAGGGTCATCAGGGAACACAGATTAAAGGATAGGTTGCCTATTGATGAGGCTGTAGATACAACTGATTTCAACCATTAGTTTAATTAGAATTGAAATGATCCCATTACCTTTTTCATTAATAAGAAATTCAAAACCTAATTTTCTCCCTGTAATAATCAAATATCTATTATCGCATCAACTGCAACACTTTATTATGCATTTTCACAGTTGTCGCTGTTGTGCGTTGAGGTGCAGTAACAAAAGCACTCCTGCAGGTGGTGTTAGAGAACCTGTAGTTGTGAAGGGGCCCAAAAAACACCTAATGCACCTCTGTCGGGATAATAGAAGATATGTGCGTTCACTTATTGTCTTTCAGTTAATATATAAATATATTAAAGGACAACTATATGAATGCAACAGGTCTGAAATATTATTTATCTACTTCATATTGACAAAACTTGAGTTTGAGTTTCAATTAACTGCTCTTCATGTGAATAACTTCTGTGTGTGTGCTGCTGTATTAATGACATCCGCTGATGTCAATGACCCTGCGGCCCCGTCTCAGTCTGTGTCCCTCTCATATCTCTCCACTGCATATCTTATTCAGGGTATATCCTCACTGCTACAGGCTGTGTTGACATTTAGACAGGCCGGTCCTTTTTCAGAGAGAACGGTTGGCACACGCATGGCTAGATAACCTTGTCGGCTCTGAGACCCGTTTTCCTCCCTCCTTCCTCAATCTGTCTGTTTCTCCTGTCTCTCTTTCACTCTCCTGTCTTTTTTTTTTATCTCTGTGTGCTTGTGTCTGTTTCTCAGCTCACCCTTTCTCTCTTATCACGCATCTTTCTCTGCCTGTTTCTCTTTTACATTAGAGGTGTATTTGCATCTCTATCTCCTGGCAAGACCACCCATCTGTTTTCAGTTTTCTCAACTTCCCTCACTCCGTAGTATCAGAGTAGTGTTAACCCTTGATATCAGGTGGTGCAGCAGGGAAGATAAGTGCTCTTTCTCAGTAATGCTGCGTTCTGTGAATAATGCAGATCAATCAGAACAGAGCAGCTGTTTTTTTGTCCAAATTATGTGAGAACAGAAACCCAGAAGATTTGTATTAATTATTAGTTAATCTTCTCAAACACTGGCAGCTTACTTTGTACAGGGCAGTAATGTGGAGGCTTAGGTGGGGGGGGATTGCATAACTTGTATTTAATTTATTAAATTTACTTAAATTACATATTACATTTTCTTTGCATTTTAGATTAGTTTGACCCTTTTAAGGTGTAGATCAGTGGTGGATGTCGGGATGTAGGGTTATGTTATGTTTTGATGTTTTTTTGCTGGTTTGTTACATGACTGGAAAGCTATAAAAAATACTGTAAAGGAAAGTAAGTCGGAAGTGAAGCTCCAAAAACACTGGATCCTATATTTTTCAAATACCAACACACACACACACACACACACACTCAACAATCAACTATCTTCAAGCTACCAACTCTCTCTGGGAGTACTGTACATGTACTACTCTCAAGATATAGGGAACATTTCAGCCAATATGCCAAAACAATATTTCTATAAAAGTTACCTATTGCAGCTTTACAGGACCAGTGTGTAGGATTTAGTGGCATCTAGTGGTGTAGTTGCAGATAGCAACTCACTCGCTTAACCCTCCCTTTCCAAGCCCTATCTACAGCCAGTTTTTGGTTTGTCTGTTCTGGGCTATTGAAACACCATAGTTCAACGTGGTGGACTCCACAGAAGGTGACCCGCAGCGTCTGAAGATAAAATCAGGTAATGAAAACACAATGATTCTTATTTTCAGGTGATTATACACAAATTAAAACATACCTATGAATGTTATATTCAATTATTTCTGTCATCTTAAGTGTCACACACTTGACCTTTAAGTCAAATCTGAAATAACCCTAATGGTGTCTGGGATCAGGGTTATTTTTCACACTTCAAATGTTATACAACTGTTTTTAGAGTCTTAGTAATACTCTTTGTGACAGGTAAACTGAACTTCATATATAAAATGAATGGACTGCACCATTACATATCAGATTTTTAGACCTCCAAGGGCAATAATAGACTAGAGGAAAGGAGAAATATCATGAAGTTTCTTCGCTCTTTTATAACAACCACTGTGTTCAGCCTTCACTTTCTGTCACCCAAAGGTAAAAACAAAGAACTGAAAAGTGTTGAATTGGGGTGAGAGCAGCTTGTATGATTTGGCACTGTAGCATTTTGCTATTCCCTTATGAGTCATCTTTGCACACCTACAGATGAGCCCTTGTCTGTCTCCTCTTTGGGCCATCACCTCTCTGGAAAAAAAAAATGCAGCACAAACACACAAAGCGAGCTGACGGAGCCAGATGTTGTCACTGGGAAACTTCAGCCTGACCTCTAATTTATTTATTTCCTTTCCTACTTATCTGTTGGAGGGAGGTAACCTGAGGAGGACACACACAATACTGCAGCTCACTCTGTGCTAAAGGTAGATCGACAGAAGGGCAGGCAAGGCAGTTTCTGTGTGTCTGAGGACTCTCCTTTCGTGACTTGCATAACATTTCTTCTGTCATACTAAATGCATTTTCTGGATTTGTTTTGCTTTATTGTATATGTGCCAGCTTTTACATCAAACAAGTAGCAAAGCCCCATGATTTCCACAAGCGGTTTGCTTTTGAAGTGTATTGAAGGGAATGTTTGGGGAACTTTTTCCTTCCTTTTATGAAACTATAATACAAACAAATATAACCAGTACGCTGAAAAGGTTATGTCTGAATTTCTCCCCTTCACCTTCCTTCTCAGGGCAGACCCATATATAATGACACACATTGTCAAGACCAGAAGCAGGTGCTGCTGACAACATGTGTGCCTCTGTCTCTCTGTGTGTGTGTGTGTGTGTGTGTGTGTGTGTGTGTGTGTGTGTGTGTGTGTGTGTGTGTGTGTGTGTGTGTGTGTGTGTGTGTGTGTGTGTGTGCGTGTTTCTGTAAATAGCCACCCACCACCGACACTGTGATGTCTCCATTTGTCAGATGCTATCAGTGTTAATTAGAGGGGGCAGAAATACAAAAGAGAACCAGAAACAGATGCAGAGAACAAAACCTATTTAAATGAGCAACAGCAGTATCATAGTATTATCAATATTATCTATAATTTTCTAAGCTCTTAATCTTCACGGCTCAAGTCTTTACAAGAGATATTCAAGTAGCCTTTCTTTCCTGTTCCCTCTTCTCTTCTTTGTGTACTTGAATTCTTCATTTTCTCTTTTTTCTATTTTTAGTGAATCTTGCGAGCAGTGTTATTTGAAAGATGCCAGTGATTTTTATCTAGTTTTTGGCTAACCTCCAGAGGCTAGTGACTTCCCCTTTACCTCCAGCAACCATTGCGTTTGAAGTACTGAAGGAAATAACCTGTGTTACTCCTCCCCTGGAAATAGTTTCAGGAATTTAAATCACACACGTCCCAAAAGAGTCCAGGCACAGTTTTATTTTCTGCTCTTGTAAATAACGCCAGGTTGTGATGTTGCAGTGTCTCAGAAGCTGTGTTAGTGCAGTATAATACAAATACACACAGGAGACACTGTGTTGTTTCATGCCATTGTGTTTGTAGATACACTTTTGAACTGCAGCATAATATCAAAACACTGCCATAGAGACTGGAAACTGACTGAGGGGGCAACAGCGATATTTTGATGTTAAGCCAGTGGTAGCCTATGTAATTTTAAGAACACTGAGCAATTTTGAGGAGGGTGAAAGAAATCTGAATCTAGAAAAACACTTTGCTGTGACGCAAAAAGCAACAAAAGTATTTGACAATTTCCTCCTCACTACATTCCACTTCTATCCCCGTCTTATCTTGCCGACACACCGGAGCAGATACACCTGGAAGATTGTAAAGCTAAAAGCAGCTTCACTTCAAAGGTACTGTACCTCATGCAGGACCTCCACAGTTGATGTTTGGGAAAGGGATGAGCATTTTTCTGTCACTTTAAGCACCAGCTCTTTGGTTACAACCTCCCCTTTGTAATCACAATGGAGCCGCTGACCCATCATCTAACAGCTTGCATTTAGCAAATTATTCAGCAGATTTCTGCACCTGTAAAATTCCACTAAAAGGGTCCTATGAAATAAAAGACTGTGAGGTCTCTAGGTTGGTGACAAACAAGAGAAACATCCTTAACACTGCTGTCAGGGTCATGCTGGGCGGTGGTTGCCCTTTTCACCTATTATGTCACTTAATGAAGCAGAAATAGCACATGAAATCCAGAACCGTCCCTGTGACTCTCCTCTCCTCTTTACACTGGGTTCATTACATTAGGTGACTCTTGGGTCTCTGTTCTCTCCAAAGCCTCCCTCCTGTCTGTTAATCCTGTAGCAACTTATTATTACATTCTCCATGACCTGCCTTCTCTTTCTTTTTCTTTCTCTCACTGCACTGACCCTCATAGGAACCGTAACCATCCTCTAACCACTGCAGGCTATGGGACTAACAGACGATTATACAATACAGCCATAAGATATTGCAAACAGTGGAGAAACTTCGGTTTTTAAATGATTTGCTGTCTCCATCTTCGTGAAGGCCTTCAGTCCACACAGTGCATCAAGTTTACACAGTTTTCTGAGGTCAGGAGTACTTTTGGGAAAAGTACAAAATCACAAAATGAACTGAAACAAATTTACAAAATGTAAAATAAACTAATATATCAAATCGTAAGAGTAAATTTTGGCTTTAATGTCACAATTTTGCTCCTGTTTTCAAATCTCTACTTTCAGCTAGATGTCAGGCTATTACAACTCATAAATTCATTCACTATAAACAAAGACTCTTATCTAGCTTCCTCTCAATCCAATCTCAAACACACCAATTCTGCACATGTCCGGATGATAGATGACTGATGTAACGGTCAAGATGGAATAAGCTGGAGGCTGGTTCGGGATAGGTTTTGGAGACCAGTGAGTCCAGCACTCCTGCAAAACCGGCCCAGGTTTAACTGAGGTCAGGGTGCTGCTGGGAGTCCTGGAGGGAGAGAGGGGGAGAGAAGATGGAAGAGGGTGGTGGGGAGGAGAGAGCGAGAGAGAGAGAGAGAGAGAGATGGGTACTTAATCATCCATGGTGCAGTGTGTGAGTGTGTGTGAAGCCACTCAGTACTAGATGTATCTGAATCGGGGTGATCCCTCCTCTCCTCCCTCTCTCAGATCACTCCTCTGGAGCGCGGACAGAAAGCGGACAGTCGCCCACAATAACCGGCTCTATAGCAGCCGCCTCTGGTTATCTCATCTCGGCGGATCGCCCCCGGTGCCGACCTGTACCGGCTGTTCCTCTTCCTCCCCTCCCGCGGTATCATCTGAATCACAAAAACACACACAAGAAAGAGAGATAGAGAGAGAGATGCGGTCGTGTTTCACTTTTTTTGCTTCCCCGGATCTCTGTGTGTGGACGGCGGGCTGCGGCTGCGTGAGTACGGACGGTTGCTGTTGTTATCTTTGCGTGGATTTTCTTTCTTCTTCCTCTTGTTGTTGCACACTGCACAGATACTGAGATAAGATAAGATAACGTGATTCCAGTTCAGGGAGGGGGGAAATAAGAAGCACAGGCCTGTCGTTAGTATACTTTTTTAAATGTATTTTTTTTTTTTTGGGGGGGGGGGGGGGGGTGGAAAGGGCTCTTTATGCTTTATTAGATCAATCTCACTGTTTTTGTTCTGTCACAGGGGCGTTACTGGGGTCTGTGTAGACACACAAAGGCAGCTGCATGAAGCCAGTGTGCAGAGAGGATGCAGCGTTTCCCTATCTAAACTAAAACTGCCTCAATGCCTGTTGGAGAGTAAATAGAGTTTAAAAAAAAAAAAAAAGAAGAGAACGAGAGAGAGAGAAAACACAGCCAGGGACACAGAGGCAGCTGCACAAAGTACAACAGGATATACCCTTGTTTGTTCCCATCTACTATCATCTGTGTGTTAATAACGTTGGATCAGTGTAGTTCTCATTTTTTTTTGTCTTATCCAAAATTCAAGGCTATTTCAAGCCAGTGTAATATTTCTAAGACTCTTGACAATGGGCTTCATAACTGCAAATTGAGACATATTACTGCACTGCAACAAAAAATTGCAAATTATTTTTATTTAAAGCGATATGTATTCTTGTTGCATAACCCTGAAGAAATATGCAGAATAAAAGCGCAAAGAGAGCAAGCGCCATCTCCACTGCTTATGCATTATATATTAAGTTAGCCCAGTGCTGCACCTCCCACCCAGCACCACTGTCAGGGCTCCCTCCCTCCCTCTCTCTCTCTCTCTCTCTCTCTCTCTCTCTCTCTTTCTCAGTCTCTCTGTTCTCACCTTACACTCTCACAGCCTCTGACAGTCAGACCCTGACCGAGGCTAACATGAACATAGAGTGTGTGTTTGTAAGTATTTTGAAGGGCTGTTAAAGAGCAGTTGTACAGTTATTGAGTGCACACACACACCCCCACCATTTCTAGAAAGAAGGGGGGGGGGGGTAATACTCAAGCCTGCCCTCAGGCCTCTGACAGCAGAGAGATTTGTTTCATGGATTGATGAATTGTTCGAGTTCTTGCAGCCCAGGAGTGCGATAAAGTGCATTCTTTTGTTTTCTATCACTCCATGACATTTCAAGAGGTGAAAATAGAGCTAAGATATCAGGTAGATTGTTTCAACCTTTAATTTGCTTAACTTGAAATGAGAGAAAATAAAGTTATACTGAGTGATGCAGTCAGAAAATGCAACAAGAAAAGAATATCACTGAAAAATGCCATGACAACTGTCAAGCAGTCTCTCTGCTCTGAAATGTCAACAACACCATCCAGCAGATTCCAAAGCATCATTCAACTGATTCTCCTCATGTAGATTAGGTTACACTACCATTCGGTGTTATGTAATAGCAACTCTCTTGCGACACAGACCCTGTTAACACGCTGGCTCTGTTGCTGTGTAACTTTCATCTTTGTCTTCCGTGTGTCTCTCCCTGTTCTCTTCATGTTACTTCCACTTTTCCTCCCAGCAGCAGGAGCAGTAGATGTGTTAAGCGACGCAGCTATCTTTCCACAGTGACCACGGCCTGATCCCTACATTCATGAGAAGGCAACAGGAAGCAGATTACTGAGGGATTAAACGCATGCACACATATGCACATGCACATGCACACACAGAGAGTACCACGGTTGCAGGATTTGACCGCTGTCCAAATGTGGCTCTCACACTGAATGAACTTGCCTGACTGACTGACTGAGACTCTCTGGTATCATGGAAGAAGAGGAGGAGCAGACAGAGTCTAATTGAATGTTACTCATATGACCCCACCTCCGTTCTCCTGCCTCACTATCGAGGGCTTTGACTGGTCAATGAGGATTAAACTTATAACAAACACAGCGGAGCGTGCAGAGAGAGAGGGGAGTGTAGAGCCGACCACTTGCCTGCTGCTGTCCCATGATGCATCTACACATGTAAGAGCAGGATCATCCTCACAGAGGGCTGTTTCTATGGATACCCCTGCCCTGAGTAGTATTAATAAGACTCACTGATATTCTGACTATTTGTGCGTGAAGAAAAATACAGTGAGAGATTAGAAGAACATCCCTGCAGCACACTGCAGCATTAAATAATATCATTGGAAGCAAAGAAAGAAATCAAGTTTCAAGAGGAAAAACACTAAAGAAAAATTTGTAATGTAGATGGATTACCAACACATGTTTAAACCTGGTTCAGGAAAAAGGGTGATTTGATAAAAATCTGCCCTCAGAGATACCAGAAGAGGAGGTGAAGATGATGCACATAGACACTTCTGAGGCCTGAAGGAAGAAACACCTTTTCTAACCTGCTTAAACTGCAATACTGAGCACAGCTTGAAACTCTGGGCCACAGTTCTGGATAAAATAATCCGACTGGAACGTTTGTGGGCCCCTAAAACTGCCACCACCTCTCACCAGACTTGTTGTGGTACTTGTCTACATGATGAGAACAGACATCTAACATGCACCAGCTACCTAGAGAAAGAGGTAACAGGTCTCTATTTAAGGTTCTGGACTCACCAGCAAGATGTAACATCATGTGCATAAGACAATAACAAAGCACTTTTAATCTACACATTGTGGGGATCCATCAAGCTTCGGGTACCTGGAATCTATCTGTCATCTGTTCCCAAAACCTTCAGACCGATCATGGCCAGACAAGACGCCCCCCTCTTCCTCCATGGCTTTGACCTGGGTGCCCACTTTGTTGACCTTCGACCTCTTGGTATGGGTGTTACAGGCCTGGTCCTATCCGCTGTGGATCAGCGCACTGGACAGCGGGTAGCAATTAAAAAACTGGTGATGCGTGATACCGTGACAGTGAAACACGCTCTGCGGGAGGTCAAAATCACCCGGCTTCTGCGCCATGAAAATGTGGTGAGGGTTCATGAGGTTTTGGCGCCGTATGGACGGCCGCTGCCCAGGGACCCAACCCAGCTGAGTGCCCTGTACATCGTCCAGGAGTGCATGGAGACTGACCTGGCTCGGTTGCTTGAACAAGGCCCATTACACACAGGTATGGGAAGCAAAGTTGACAGTTAAAGTCCCATTTTTACTACAGTATGGTGCTTCATGTTGACTATGGTTTTGTTGTTGCACTGCTGGCTTTGTTTACATTGTGATTTATTGTATTTAGTGACAAAGCTTTTGAGACACCCTTTTATAAGACAGTACTTTATTAACCACATCCACAACTCACACATTACAGTCATTCATTGCCTGTTTGTTTCTTCCTCATAAAAATGCTCAGTAAGTACTAGAGTGAGAGAAACGTATGTGCCAAAATAGTTTTGCCCACAGTCACACAAAGAAGATCAGAACTTAACATAAAATGTGTTCATTTGCTGAGTCTTTCCTTCATTCATTCCTGTTGTGTTTTGCATTGCATTGCATCATGTTTGAAAGGTTCAATTGTGGATAGAGTAACCAGCTGTTCTAGCTTAAATCAATTAAACATAATCAAGCAAGCAATGTGTTTACTGAATTAGGAGTAAGCATTGTTTTTGGTGATCACAAGAGTGAGAATAGAGGCTTCTGTCTTTTGCCCTTGAATAGGTCACGCTACTCTGCTGTTCTACCAGCTGCTGAGGGGACTGAAGTTCATCCACTCTGCTAATGTCCTGCACAGAGATCTGAAGCCTGCCAACATATTCATCAACACAGACCAACTGCTGCTCAAGATTGGAGACTTCGGGCTGGCCAGGATAGTCGACCCTCACTATTCTCATAAGGTGAGCAAGAGACGCCCAAGGAAACCCACCACACGTATTTACAGTATTAACTCTCGCCATGGAAATCTGTGGATTATAAACTATTTTAAATGTGTGCTTCCAATACATGCTTACTTCCAACAATTCAATTCAATTCAATTCAATTTTATTTGTATAAACCAGAAACCTAGGACAGATCCTTCGGCTCTAGGTGGGTGGTCGTCTGCCTCGACAGTAATCTGATTTCAGAAATGTCAATCTAAAAACAAAAAATAGCTTGTTTCTCAGGTTTAGAAATGATGATGGGCTTGGTATACCCAGGGGCGTGTCCAGACTTTTTTTTTTTTTACTGGGCTGGCACAAGTGGGGCACTGACCTATGTAGGGGTGGCCTCAAGTATGCGTCTCAGCTTTTCAGTCATTCCAAATTTATGCAAATACAACACTGTTTGGGAAGCCCAGTATGGAGAAATATTCCAATACACTATTGTTTTTGCCCCAAACTGCATGGGATTAGCATAAAGTCTGCAAATGGGAGACTTGTAGGTTCCCATAGAACCCATTTTCATTCAGATATCTTGAGGTCAGAGGTCAAAGGATCCCTTTGACATAGTACCAATGGATGCATTATGCTCTGGTTATATGTATACACTAGCAGTGGTATGTAGTAGTTGGAACAGACTGAGGACTGAACATGATATAGTTTGTAATAATCAGCAACACGTATACAAACATTTCCAGCCTTAACCTAATTATGCTCAGTGATCTTTTTTGGGGCACACAAATGTAGCAGATATGCCAAGTGTTCTTTTGACTATAGGCCAATAAATGTCTGTGATCATTAATCTCACACTCTCTTAACAAGTTTTATATTAATTTTATTAATCCATAATCTTCAAAGGACAATCCGGCATAAAAGTTTAGATCTCTATCCACATATTATTGCCTGCATCGATTTTGTTAGAGAATGGATTTTTTTTGTTTTAATCATACAGGAGGATTTCTCACTCTCCTCATTGCTCTGACACAATGTGAGCCGTTCTCCTGCTGATGAAGGAATCTAGGGAGAGTATTGTAATATTAAACATTATCCTCGCTCCATGTTATTGAGGTAGAGCTGTTGTCAGGGAAGAGATAGCAACTCGTTAAGTCATGGCCCTGTGTGGTTATCCGGCAGCATTGCACAAACCTTTTTTCTTGCGTAGTAATGGATACACTGTAGATTGGGATTCTGTTGCAATATAATCCTCCTTTAGAAAATCGGTTTGCACACATGAAGTGCAGAATAAACAGATCTGTCTTTCTGGTGTCCTCTCAATGTCTCAGGTCAAACATCTTTGACATCACTTATTTAATTATGACAAAGATCAAACTTTTAAAAAGTACTCTGTCAGGCTAAATACAGCCCAAATTTAAAAGCTATGTAAATTGTATAACTGCTACACCTCTTAGTGGGATTATCCTTGTTGCAACTGCAGTACAGTCAAGTCGTCTTTTTTTTCTATGACTGGCATCTCCAATTACACATCCCGATGTCTAATGTTGCCAACCTGTGTCTTTCACATTAGGCCTCCTCTCCAGACCAAACCCTGCTATTAACGTCTTCTTCCCAAACCTGGTATCAGGTTTTGTGCTTGTCAAACCCTGTGATTAGCCTGTCCATTGTAGTTGAAGGCTTCTGAGAGATTAATGTGACAATTTACTGCTCCATTGTGCTACTCTATTCTGCACGAAGATTCCACAGCAATACTGTAACACTAGCAGGCCAGACTGTGTGTGTGTGTGTGTGTTTTTGTATAATGGTGTATTTTTTGGGCCTGTGCATGTGGAGAGGAGCTCTTGTGAAAGGCGATCTTTGTCAGCTCAGAACACGGGACTGGGGATCAGCTGGGTGCAGACACAGGGGGTGCGAGGGGTAGAAGGGGTGACAGGGGAGGGAGGGGCTGATAGGGTAGAGAACAGATGAGGAGCAAGGGTGAGGAATATTGAGTTATGGAAGGGTGAAAGAAGGAGAAGTGAAAAGTACAAAGGCAGAGGAGGGGAGAAAAAGAAGGAGGGTGAGCAAAAGTGCAAAGAGGAAAAATGGGAGAGAAACAAGTGAGAGAGATGAAGGTAGTTTGGTTCATGCAGGACATCAGAAACTCACTCTGTTCCCCATTCTGTCTGTCAGAGAACACAATGTTCAGGCTTAAACTACTGCACTGTCATAAGAGATAGATAGATAGATAGATAGATAGATAGATAGATAGATAGATAGATAGATAGATAGATAGATAGATAGATAGATAGATAGATAGACAGATAGATAGATAGATAGATAGATAGATAGATAGATCATGTGACTAGTAAATCAGCACCTGCAGATAGTATTTTTCCCTTTTCTGGTGCTGCAGTATCAACCTCTCCCTTTGCAGACATTAGTGTCAAAGCTTTGATAACAGCGATGCATTAATAACCAGGAAGAGTTCTGTCTGCACACCCCAGTTTTAAACTGACTGACGCCAGCACTGCTGACATGGTTTGAATTGTTTTGAGTTGGATATTGGGAGTCATAGTGGAGTCTGTCCCAGCTGATGTGTCTGTTAGCCAGCAGAACATCAGTTTGTCATTGTTCATTAGCATAAGATTGTATTACAGTGCCAGAGTTATGTGTGTGTGTGTGTGTGTGTGTGTGTGTGTGTGTGTGTGTGTGTGTGTGTGTGTGTGTGTGTGTTTGTGCGTGTGTGTGTGTGTGTGTGTGTAAGATGATGCCGGCCTATTTGTGATGCAGTGCTGACACCAAAGCAGATGCCTGCAGTGAACGTGCTAGCATCATCCTCTCTCTCTTATTTAATAATGCAGAGCCAAAGCGCTGCTTTTTCAAACATTTTGTGTTAATGGACGTAGGCAGTCTTGACCTCAGCTGTGATGGAAATTCACAAGTATTAACTTACATATTGGGCCATGAACAAGACTGGTGGCTCTGGTTTTTATGACTCGTTTATATTTCTTTCAAATACGATCCTTGTATCACAGTCGACCTTAATCAGATTTTATATTATGACAAGTTCGACAATGAGAGTTTACATTTTCTCACCACTGAATGACTTGCCTTCTTTTCAATTAACTAGGAGCGCTCCAAAAAATCCCTCCTACCTTTCCTTTGTGCTTCTACAGTATCTTACAGGGTCCATGTGTTATCACAGTGGTTTTGTCAGCACACTGTGACTCTGCAGTGCATCGAAATGAGGCTGTTTGACGAGCTGTCTAGATGTGCGCCTCCGACTACACAGAAAAACATTTACTCAGGCAAATAGAGATGACAGAAAGGTTGAGAGGAGAGAGATGGGAAACGGAGGCTGAGAAAACATTATTTGTGATGTTGTTTACGGTCTACATCAGTAGGAACTTGCTGCTTCTGTGAGTGTGTATGTGTGAGTGTCACCTGCTGAGGCAGCGCTGGATCTGCCCAGAAATTATTCATGACCTGGATGAAGGACAGAGAGAAAGAAGGAGAGTAAAGGTGAATAAGGAGAGAACGTTGGAAAAGAAAGAGAAAAAGAAGGGGACAAAAGGGAAGGAAGTGAGGAAGACATACAGAAAGATATGGCGGGAGTAGACAGGTGAGGATAAGCAGTGTGAAAACTGGCAAGAAGAGAAGGAGGGATGAAACAGGTGAGAGAGGAGGTGAAGCAAGCCGGGTGGCGAAAAGAGACAGATGGGGTGAAGCGCGAAGAAAAGAGGAAAGGAAGGGGAAACAGTCATAGTGAGGACTGCGGATAGTGACGTAGAGAAACACTGAGGTTGAGATTAAGGAGCGGATGGAGAGAAGAGTGGGAGGTGATGACAGCGGGGAGAAAGAAAAAGGGGAGGATGACGAGGAAGGAGTGAAGAAAGAAAACCAGTGTGAAACTGAGGCCTAAATGTGTTTATTTTTCTGTTCAAAGAAACTTCCGAAGCTGTTCAATGATTCACTTTTATCATCAAATAATATTCCACCATGAAAATATTGTAAACATGACCACCCCTGAAAAGTCATTATGTGTCAAATGCTTGCCGGGAAGCAAAAAAAGGGAGAGCTCAGATGTGAGAAATGATCAGCAAAGAGGGGACAGAGGGACAGACAGATAGAAGACAAGGTGAGTGTTTGTCAGACCATCACTGAGCACTCAGCATCATAGTCTGCTCTGTCATCTGCTGGCACAGAGAGGAGAACACACAGCGATAAGGGAGGGTGGTAAGTAAAGTGCAGCGAGAACTGAGAAGGCATGGAGAGAGAGGGAGAGAGTAGAGAGCACAAAAGGAGTAGATTAGGGTATGCATGATGTACGGGTAAAGAGGAGAGGTGGAAGAAAACGGCGGCAAGGCTGAAGACTTTTAACATCAAAAAGCAAATCATTTAACATCTTATATTCAAGGAGTAACATTAGAAAGCTTTCCCAAAAAGACTCAGAGAGCCATGACATTTAAAAATCATCATTTTGGCCAGGATGAATTATATGTAAAGGCACATTGCTGGAAGGGATACATAAGTGTGAACATTGATGTAGGCCCATAATGAATAAAGGCTCTGAGTCATGCCCTAAATCTGCTGATGGAGACACAGTTCACACAGTTTTTTGTACCATCTTCAAATATGAAGAAGGAACTTGCTTTTTGCTGTCAAGTAAAATGTAAAATCATTTTGGGCCAGACCGAAAATCAGAGGAGGCATGTCCTGCTTGTGATGATGGTGTTACAAGTGGCCCAAGATAATTTAACTGGTGTGAAAGAGATCACAGAGCAACTTCTGACATCCGTTTGAAAACTCATCTGAGCCAGGGTAAATCCCCTGCCGTCTATATGGCGTAAGTCCTAAATAGAGTCATTCTGCAAGAAGTACCAGATAGAGAGGGAGAAATGTGAATGGTGAGATGGAAAATGGAAACAGTAGAGGTTTTGGCATCCCTTTTTCAACCATGGAGATAGTTAAAAACATTTTTGGAGAGACGTGAACAAAAATAGTACGCCAGTAATACAAAGGTGAACTTTATATTCCCACAGTCTCCCTATTACATCTGTCATCATGAAGCAATTTGCAGCAGTGAAATGGCAAAGTACTGAAGTGAAATTAGTCATCAGTTCCAAAAAAACATTTAAAAGTGTGTGAGAATGTGTAAGCCTAATTATAAGCATATTTTGTTGTGTGGTTTTCAGTCTTTTAATATCACCACTGTCAAAAAGTTTAACTAACCTGAGGCAGTAAAATTTGGCTCAGGAGAGATACAAGGTCAGTAAATCGTTAGAAATATGCAGTAAGTGCAGAGACTTTGAGATTTTGTTAAGTTGGAGAGTGGAGCGATCACAGAGAGCGAGAGGTGGGAGAGAGATATAAGAGTCGACCAGAGCATTAATGATAGCAACAGGCAAAAACATCTCATTATGAATAAATCTGGTTTGTATGTTAATACGCTTGCTCATCACCATGCACAGTGTCTGTGTGTTATTCACAAGGTGAGCATTTACAAAAGTAAAAGGCAGAAGGGAGCCTTGTTGGAGCAGGCCTAATGAGAGTATGTGTGTTTTTATACAGCAGAGCATCAAAGGCTCTCCGTACCTGCAGGTAGAAATTCAAGGGAATGTTATACTGCAGAGCATATCTAGAGGCCAGCTTCCATCCTCTTGTAGATGACATAAAATGATGAAGTCCTTGTTGGTGTAAATCAAAATATCCCTTGTGAGTCTCATTTTTGCCTTTGCCGACATTAAAAAAATAACCAACACCTTATACACATGCATGCAGACTTACAAATACTCTACTGAGTGGTAACAACAAGCCAATCTGTTGCATGCTCATCACTAATATAACTGCAGCATATCATTCCTTTAACTTACCTCCTTCTCTCTCTTTCTCATATTTTTCTCTCACTCACCCCCTCACCTGCTTCTCCAGGGCTATCTGTCTGAGGGTCTGGTAACTAAGTGGTATTGTTCCCCCCGTCTGCTCCTGTCCCCCAACAACTATACCAAGGCCATAGACATGTGGGCCGCTGGCTGCATACTGGCTGAGATGCTCACTGGACGCATGCTGTTTGCAGGTACCTCCACTGTTTGTCATACACTCTCACACTGTCATCATGACCTTGACATCCTGCAGGAACATTATGACATTGCTGATCATTACTTTGATGACATAATGAAATGTGATCATATTATTAGTATTCAGCACAAGCATCTTATTATTGAAAGTCCTGCAAGATCTTTCTGGGTAATGTGTATCTAGGAATTGGCGATTCCTTGTCTGGTATTTGTTATTTTATATATCTATGTGATCTGATTCTGTTTTGGCTACCATGAAGGACAGGTCATACATTTTTTTTTAATTATTTGCACAAGCAATTGTTATGTGAACATTAAAAACAAACAAATTTTCCTAAGTGTGAACTTAGCTCTCTTGCATACATCCATAGCATCATATCTGCCATATTGGTATGCGCGGTATGAGAAAGTGACACCAGGCTTAGCAACAGTAACACCAGGCTAAATAAGATAGAACATTGACATCAGGCTTCTTTGAGTGGTTAAGTGAATACAGTATACAATCAGGTAAATCAGCTGTAGCAGAGATGATGCTTATAGACACATCACAAGGTGACATCATGTGAGAGCTCCAGAGTGTCCTCCACCAAAGATACTTTACTCTCTTCTGCAGGCTACTTCTTTGCCTGACCAGAATAACAATGATGATAGAGAAATTCGCACTGTCTGGAGCAGAAGTAGTTCCACCTGACAGGCTGATTTGACCTCCATCAGCCCTCTACACCACAGGAGAGATGATGCCATAAACTCAATAGTGTCATCCATTCCCTGGTGTTCCTCTCTGTTAGACTTTCACACATCGACTGTTAGATATGCTTGCCTTGCTTTTAACTTTACCACCAGAGTTTAAATGGCACAATATATTTTTGTTTACCATAGGGGAAGCAATGCGCTCATCCAAATACACTACCACTGCTTGCTTGTTTCTTAGAGTGGTGAATGTGAATAGCACCACCTGCTGGTGTCTATCAGCATGAGGGAAACATTTAAAGGGCAAATCCGCACTGTATCACATCAAACTCAACAAACTCCACTAGATGTGTTAGATTATAGTGGTTTAACATTAGGGGTGGATCATACTTGGGGGTAAATGTCTGCCAATATTTGAAGGATGTGGGATTTAGTGCACAAAGTAATGTAAATACTGCATTGTCACAGTGTGTGTGTAACCAGGAGAGCAACATGCCTGAAATTTCAACCCTTACTATTCTACCAGTACTTGCTTCAGGCTGGATGAAGATGCAAAAAGTTGAATTTTATATGATTTCAAGCAATGGAATTGAAATTGAAGATGTTGTTTTGGTCTTACAGTGGTCATTTCTAGACATGGTTTTAAAGTAGTAGTAGTAGTATTTTAATTGTTAACTACAGAGTATTCCTTCCTATCTGCATAATTTCAATTGAATCTCCTTACCTTAACATTTCTTTCACTTGACAGCATCACACCTCCCAGTTATTCCTGTTTGACTCTAATTGGTCACCTTTTTTCTGCTTATGTAACTGATCCTCAGTCTCTTCTCTGCTTGTCTCTGATTGGTCGGTTCCCTCTCCCAGGAGCTCATGAGCTGGAGCAGATGCAGCTGATTCTAGACACCGTGCCAGTGCTGAGAGAGGAGGACAGACAGGACCTGCTACAGGTGACGCCTCAGTGGCTGCTGCTAGTCTCATGTCTGCAAGCTGATTGCTTAAATATGGAACAGGGTGTGATTGTCATGTTCTGTTTGCAGCTTTAGACTAGGAAATGTAGTCTGCAGGCAAGGTTAAATGTGCACATAACTCTTTCCAACTAGGCCCCTGCCAGTGTGTTGCTTCCAACTAGCATCTGCTTTATACTAGGAGTTAAATAAAGTGCCTTGAATACTCTAACAAAAAGCAGAATTATGTACATATTTTATCCCCACTGTCATCCTTTCCCAGGTGATGCCTTCATATGTCAGTCATGGATGGAGAGTCAAGAAACCCTTTTCTGAATTGCTGCCTGAAGTGGATGCTCAGGGTAAGCGGAGGGAATTGAGTACTGGGAAGAAGAGGAAGGTCAGGCAGTGTGAAATAGAACGGGGACAAAAAAAAAGGATGATAAAGAAAGAGATGATAGAGTACGGTGTAGAGGTTTGAAGGTCTAACACATATAATTTAGCCCTGAAAGAAGAAGATGAATGAGGATATTTTTTTAAGGATGACACACTTGATGGACACTGTATTTTATTTCTCCTCCTCCTCTTCCTCCCTCACTTATCCCCTCTTGTTCTCCTCCTCTCAGCTGTTGACTTCCTGGAGCGTATCTTGACCTTTAACCCCATGGATCGGCTGACAGCTGAAGCGGCGCTGTCCCATCCCTTCCTCCGGCAGTACTCCTGTCCAGAGGATGAACCCACCTCGTCGCATCCCTTCCGCATCGAGGACGAACTGGTGGACAGCCTCATCACCGAGCAGAGCCTCAGCAACAGCAACAGTCAGGCTTCCAGCATCCACTGGGAGAGGTGTGTAGATTTACCTTTTTATACACTGGTGGGGAAGTTGAGGTTTTGCTACTCATTTATTAAATGTTTTCATCAGAATTTTATTTTGTGACAATTTGCCATTGCTACTATTACTCAAATTAACTAGTAACCACTTGTTTCGAAAAGCAAAACTCCCTGGTTACTGAAGTTAAATACTCAACTAACCTAATAACAGTGCCTTTTAGCAGGTCATACACTACATTTATTTGGAGGCACACCACATATTAATCTATCTGAGACACATTTGGAGTTCTGACGTAGTTCTTCTAAAATATGGGTATCAGTTTCTATATTAGTCCTGCTAATCTGTGGATTTAAAATACCAGTGTATACTGACATAATTCTGTCCAAAATTAATTTCTGATTTATAAACTGTATTCATTTAACATCGAAGGCTGACTGCTTGTGTGTTTTGCATGGAGACACACTGGGCTTTTAAAATATTTTGACCACTTTAATGCAAGGTATCCAGGAATCCAGCTACCATTTGCCTACGAGTCTGACTTGGATTTGAATTAGTATTTTTGTTTCGACTTAACCTGGTTAGTCTATGCCATGGTAAGACTGTATTTCCAAATATTTTATAGATGAAGCACTGAAAAAATGGGAAGTCAAAGTGCAAATATTAGATGAAACTGAAATTTATAGCATAATGAGAAACAAGAAACTACTGTACCTAAGATTCCTACTGTAGATAAACATGCTATATCACACTGAATATAGTGCACAGTGAAGTTATTATAAGACTTATAAAGAAACGTAATTTCTGCCTGCAGGTACGAGAACAGTTTATCAACAGACGTGTCCTGGCAGCAGTCAGGCGGGAGGTGTCGCTGCATGCCCCCGGGCCACATTACTTCTGATCTGGGAGACACGACAGAGGATGAGGAGGTGCAGAGAGACCCTCGGGCCAGTTCCACCTCACTATTAGAGGAGGCCCAGGTTGGATATATTTTGTCGTTTCCCTCCGTACTGATTTTTACTTGAGTGTGACTTATATTAATTATTAATTAATTCCCTTGATAGTTATTCTATTTTAATGAAATGCAAAGAGAGGTGTGAAGAAGTTGGCAAAGCTGATTAAATTAATGGTGCTATGTCAACAACACATCAGCTCATGGCTGAGATATTGTAGCCTCAATTTCACAGCAGTGGTACTGTAAGTGATTTAAATGTAAACCCTATTGTTTCTTGTTACAAAGTGGACATTGATATTTTACTCCTTTTGCTGTTGTTAGCGTCTTTCCATTTCTTAAGAGAAAAGCCATTTTACAGATTTTTCCCATAAGTTTTTTATATATGCATATTTCTTGCCACATTCAGAAGCAGTACACACTGTAAATTTACTATGTCTGTTAAATATTGCCATCACTGTCTTTAGTATTTATACTGTCTTGAACTTTATGACGTTAAATGGTATTGTTGTTACAATTCAACTGGATATTTTCTAACAAATTAGAATTAATCAATACATAATACAACTGGAATTAATCCATCACTTCACTGTCTTCCCCAATTGTCACCTTCTCCCTCCCCAAATGCTACTTCCTATCTATCTTATACAGGTCGACCCACGCAAATATTCCCACAGCAGCTCAGCTGAGCGCTTCCTGGAAAACTCTCACTCATCTCTGGATCGGGTCTGTGGTGTGGGGTTTGGGGAACTGGACTGTGGCCGCTCCTGTGACTACAAAGTGGGCTCTCCTTCATATCTGGATAAAATTGCCTGGAGAGATGGCAAGCCTCAACACTACTCAGAGCCGAAGCTGATCCTGGATCTGTCTCATTGGAAGCGTAACACTAACAACCTCCCTGTGCCTGCTGAACCTATTGGTGGCAGCGTGGAGGACCTGGGAGAGATGAAAGAGGAGGAAGCAGAAGAACAGGAGGAGACAGGGGACTTATTCCAGGAGATCTCTCGCTGGGTGGAGAGCACCCAGTCTCGTCTGCATTCACCCAGTCCCAGTCCTTCTCTTGAGCAACGTTCACCCTCCTGCTACACCTCCTCTCCCCCTCTCCCTCTCTCCCCGACTGACCTCCCAACTCCAGTCTTCCACTACGCGCAAGTTGTTCGGCAACCATCAACTGAATATGACGAAGACAGACTAAGCCCATTTCCGCCTGTTACGTCTTCCTCCAATTCCCTTCCCTCACTCCTCCCCTCATCTCCCACCTCTCAACTTCCTCCACAGTCACCTGAAACAGTGTCTCCCCCCACATCACCACTACCTCCCCCCCGAGAATCTCAACCTCTTTCCTCTACTTCCTCCATTTCTCAGCCAGTAAATGAGGACTCCTTGGAGTCACTCCCTGTCAAGCAAAAAGAGCGGCTGTTCGACCTGGATGTTTTCATATCCCGAGCACTGAAATTGTGCAGGCAGAATAAGGAGAAAGCCGATGGGAAGAAAGGAAAAGAAGGAGGATGGAGGGAAGAAAGCAAACCGCCGAACATTAACCGAAAGGTGCCCAGGCTTCCAGAGCACAGGACTCCACCACCACAGACTCCCAATTCTTGATGGTGAATTTGAACTTCAGGTTCTCCGCAGTATAGCATCATAACGGTTAGCACTTTCAAATGCTCATAGTGCTTCACAAAGTGAGGGGTGTCCATGGTTGAATATGCTGCTTAAACATTAGACCTTGGTGTTAGCAGCAGTTGTCTTTTTGGTACTATTGCAACAACACGCTACACGCTGTGACTAAAACCCTCACTTAAACAAGCAATCCTGCAACAGGTGCTCTCAGGCAATAAGAGGTCAGAAAGCATTAGGGTTAAATATAAATAACCATGCTTTAGCACTGCAACTATCAAGGATTTGTTCAACATGACAATATTTAGAAATAGTGGGCTAATTAATGGTTGTGTGGTTTGCTGTCATTTGTCAAGTTAAAGATGGGTCAAACTTTGACTTGATAGTCACTTGTTCTGTGACACGGACAGTCAGCCTGTTAACAAGTTACCCAGGCTATTGTGTGCTGCAAAACCTACTGGAGAGGGATCACTTGGTTATTCTTAAGTTTGCTTTAGATTTGTGTTTCTATACAAGATCCCTTGCTGTATGTCAGTCAGTAATTTTTGCGAAATGTCAGACAGTCTTCCAATGGTGATGTTCACCGAATAATGAAAGCAACATGGGAATTACTTCTTCCAAGTTTCTCTGAATGTATGAACTGAAAAATAATCAGTCAAATTATGCTACACGGTGAACTATAAGGATTTCATTTTTTGCTGTTATAACACACAGTGACTTAATGAGCTTTGTCACTGCTACATGCCTTGTAAACTTGTATAAAACTGTTTTCATATTTAATTATATAGTATCAAGACTGTTGTTAATGATATTCTTGCGACTGTAATATTCTTGTATTCTTTGTTAAATGCTAGAGCACAACTTTATGTTCATTTGGAGTGAGTTGTATTTAGTTTAACTGTGGAATGCTTTATGGTTAATAATTTATGAATATTCAGTAAACTTTGCTCTAGTTCTATTGTAAATAGTTTCATATACTGTCTGCCTGATGCACTCAATGAGGTAATCATCTGCTGTACACTATCCTCTCTGTACTAGACAGCCAGATATCTGTCACCTTTTTGCTCGCTTAAATGTTAGCCACAGAAAGCTACAATGCAAACAACAGCCAATATTTTGGAGAATGTAGATCCTTTACAACCTTTATAGGAAATTATTTGTACTCAAAACTCCTCCATGCTGCCCAGTAACCATATTAATATGGAACAGAAAATAACCAAAACATATATTTTGAAGTACTTTTCTATCCAGCCTGTTAGACCCTCAGAATGTTATTTATTGCAGGATCTGACGTTTCCCTTCAAGGTAACCAAATCAGGTAAAAGATACAGTCAGTTAACAAATGAAGGCTGTTGGCTCGTGCCTCATACATTCTTAATCAACTGCATTTGACATTCACTTCACTTGTTGAACTATTATGTTAATGGAATTCTTCTGAGCTAGCACTGAAAAGAAATACGGTTAAATCCATGGTCTCCATAATCTGTAACGAAGAAGAAATAGGCTTCCACCATTTCTGGTTTCATTGTTTGACTTTTATTGCTCTGCTGTGGGTGTACCAACACAAGGGTCTGGGTATCGGGGATGCCAGAGGCACAGCACTGAGATGTATAAAAAACACTGCCAGCACAGCTCCAACACCTCCAGAATAAGACATGTTTTATCTGTTAGGTGATCTTTCAGTCCAGCCTTTCAAATTTACATTAAATGGTTAAAGGTGACGAATGTTTTTAGCTGTTAACTGTTGCTCATGTAAAGTTGGTTTAAAAATGGTGACTTTCATAATATTTGCATCTTCACTGTAGCCAACATAACCAGGTGGTGAGCAGATCATAACTGGCACAACATGACTTCAGTACAAGCTATGATACAACAAAGCCAGGTATATTCTTTTATATTCACGATAGACATGAAGCACATTTAGAGTCACTAGCACATTCAGATTTTTCTCAGCGACAGTTGAAAATCCACCACTGTCAATGTTCATTTTCATCAATAATGAACCTCTATAGTATTCACCATACCTGGGCTGGACTAACTGAACAACAACAACTAACACTGGTCATTGTCTGATCCAGAGGCATTTATCTATTTCTAGAAATAGATAGAAGCTGTGCTGCAGTCAAACTAATTATATATATATAATTATATTTTTTCAACCTATACAGGTTCAGTGATCACATTTTGCATTATACTTTTACCTCTGCAGGTAACCTAAGCCAGCAATAACATCATTGACAAATTACACAAACGTACTGTAAGACGTGGTTACTGAGACGAAATTAATTGTTTTAAGTGTGTGAAGCAGTGTAGTAAATGTGCCTCAGTACACCTCGATGCTTCCAGCTTGCTGAATGTAACATATCTTCTCCTTTCTGCATGGCTTTCACAACTATTCAAATAGCTTAAAACTTTGTTGTTTTTATTACGTGTCACTTTATTGTCATATTTCTGTGGGCTCTTATTTCTTTTGTACTCTTCATTTGAGAACAGCTGTTTTTAAATGCTCAATATTGATTGATAGTATCTCTTTTTGCAGTTTCTGTTTTTGCTGAAAAATTAATAAAACAATACATAAACAATAATTTGACATCATGTTTTTTCCTGTCATTGTGTAATTCCAATTGACAAAAAACAAAGCTATAATTAATTTTTTACAGGCATTTCATATTTGATTAATAATTATTTGTGTAGGGACAAGTACATTTGATAGATCAATGCACGGCAGCATTTATAGCCAAAGCTATTGACTTTGTACAAACACACACAAGTCACAATTCACACATACAAAACAGCACAGAGCACAAACAGAAATACAATTAAAAAAAAACTAAGAAAAATCACTCCATCATCCATGAACACATGATTGATCCCTCCTTAAAAAATGTCTGAGCTCAAGTTTAAAATGATCCTATTGATCCCTTTGTTGTCTAACTGTTTCTGTAATCGCTGCACTGAGAGAGGGGCTGATCAATGTAATTTGTAAATGTATGGCTGGATTAACCCATTAGGGAGCCTGGGAGGAAAGAAAATACTTGCAGGCATCTACACTGTTATGGTCATTTCTTTTAAACACAAATCTATATAGAAATATGCCCTATGTAGATTTTTGACACAGGACTCCATGAAAATGAACTAGACAGGTAACAATACAAGCTCCGCCTTTAGGGTCTTATCATTTGTGGTATTGTGCATATTGGTATATATTCCCAACATCAACAGCAATTAATCAAATGAACATAGAATCAACTGACACACAGATAAAAGAGAGTCTTATGAACCCTGAAGGTCTGGGAGCCTAATCCAGCTCAGTGTTAATATAATGCTGCCAGTTAAGGATGCCAATTAAAACTAGACCTCCAATTCCCTCTATACTGTTTAGCCAGTAATGTTTGGATCTTGCTGCACTCTGTTTTGCTTATGTTGCACACACAAAAGAACAAATGGACATAACATCTAAATAAAATTGATTTAGAAAAACGCCCAAAAGGGTTTACAGACATAATAATGTGTGCTGCTGAGGTTCATTTATCACTCAACCATAGAAAACAATCAGATAAATTAATTATTGTTTGTCTCAGGACCACAAAACAGACAAAACATGAACAAGTCAACAGAACACGTAGAAAAAAATAAACTTTTCTTATTTAACAACAAAAAACAATCTTAAAAACACAATTTCTACTCAAAATGTGATAACTTCCCTTTACAGTAACTACGGCTAATGGGCTTCTCTCCAAATATCTTGCGCATGCCGCAGTCTTTACGGTAACCAAGAAGGAAATCCCAGCATGTGATTGGACGAGCGGCCAAGATCTTTTCACACTGCGTGACAGTTGTCTCCTCTCCTCACCGCCAGTCTGCTTCATCTGTAGCTGCAGCTACGAACCGAGAGGTCAAACAACAGCCGATTTAACAGCGAACTCCGGGAGAAAAATGCTTTATAAACAGTAAACTGTCCAACGGAAGTGACTGCAGTATTATAACATTCAAGAGCAGGTAAGAGGAGTCGTTATTCCACGGGAAATGAAAGTCTGTGTCATCTAAGAACTTCCCGTTTCTGAGCCAAGGTTTAGCAAGCAGGGGGGTCTGAATGAATGACAGCATGTAACGTTAAGTTAGCTTAACACATTAGGCTAAAAAAACTTTCGTGTTGGAGTGCTGTGTCAAATATACAAAACAATTTTAAACACTTGGACTGTGTGTGTGTGTGTATAATAATAATAATATTTATAACGACGACCCTGTCAATGTTAGCTTGTAGCAGCCGTTAGCTGCTATTTGTGAGTGGCTGTGTATGAGACTGCTAGGCTAATTTAATTAGCTTCCTGCTTCAGCGAGTTGCAGCTCAATCTTTCGACATGTCAGTCTTGATTTTTCTGTGCAAACGTAGATGTTACATGTTCACACTCAGCAGGGACATTCCTTTCCCCCACTCCCATCTTCAAACAGAGGATGGAGGTAGAAATAGTGAGGGGGTAGCCACATATCTATACTAGTTACATATCTTATTCATTGTATTAGTTAAGCACAATGAGACCATAAACCAATAACTGCTACACATGGACTTTGATATTCAATGTGTCAAATGCAGGAACAAGATGGGCAAGTCTTAAGTGTGTCAGAGAAAAGGAGAGTAATAACACCTGTCAATGAAGCCACACCTCGCTGTGTAATAACTATCTTTAACTAGTGTCTGTTTAACAACTTAAAGTGGCATAATTATACTAATATTCTGTAATATTGTTTAAATTGCATTTGCTTTATACTAGTGTACTCTGATACCAGTAAAATTTCACCTGTAAGATCATAAAATGTTTACACAAGAAAGCGTGGGTGTGTGTGTGATTGATTGCTTGTTAGACTAAGAGGATGCATAGTGTACAGAAGAGAGCACCGGCTTTCTTTTGGCATGTGATTTCCGGAGTGAAACCTTTTGTTATTGCATTATGCCTACTTCAGTCAATACAGACATTGTCTGCACAAATTATTTCAACATTAAGAGTACATTCAGACTTAATAGTCTGGCTATATTGTATTGTGTGTCCTGTTGGCCTCATTTGTTTAAATTTGAAAGTTGAAATTTACCAGGAACTAATATGAGATCCATAAAGGGAAAAGTCCCATTTCAGCTGGCATTGAGTGATACACTTTTCAGCAGTTGTCAATAAATCTAAAGTTTATCCAGTCAGATGCAGTACTTCTGAGTACTTAGATTGGTCAAATTCCAGCCCAAATAGGCAAAATAGTAATCTCATCACAAGCTTAGAATAACCAGTTCACTATAATTTTGATTGGAAGGTTGAAGAAATCCAAAGGCACATTTCTAGGTGGGTTGGATGCCTGCTTTTATGAGCCATTTGCATATAATTTCAGTTACAAAAGACTAGTTTCTGACTGTGGAAATCGTCCAGGTAGTGCTATCACAGTAGTCGCTCCAACACCGATACAAAGCTGGCTCATTACGGTTTCTGTGCCAGAACTATCTTGCTACTTGGCAGACACAAAAAGTATGGAACAAGCAATTACAGACACTCAAAGCATGTTTGATTCCCAAAACTTGACAGGCTGATAAAGTCTGGGAGGAAATTAAAAAGCATTAAGCATCTCCACTGTATCAAACACTGACCTCATCAGGTGCTCAGGCTTTGTTTGTCTAGAAACAGGTGGGAATGTAAAGTAGATGTGAATGACCAGAAAATGGTTCTTGTACTGTGTACAACACAAAGACTGGAACTCAAAGAGGCTGCATCAAGGCTGTTTCCCCTTTTGAATATCAAATTAGAGATTAAAATATCTGCTGATTGTTGGTGCCGCTTATACTGTCTGCCACGTTGGCCCTGGCTTTAATGCTGCTTTCGAGGCAATGTTTCCTGGATGTGTAGTTGTAAGCCAAGACTCTGCCAGCTGGCTATGCTTGTAATTTCTTTCCTAAGATAGAACAAGAACAGGCCAATGGCAAAAATCACACCCACTGTTAGTTAAGACGTTAACAGGGTTAGTTGTTCATCAGAAGTAAACCAGTATAGTGTAATTAAACACAGGGTTGGGATTAAAAAAATAACTATTGCAAGCACCCTTTGTTATGTTGTAGCATGTGAGTGGCATTTTGATTGAATCGTTTTATATATATATATAGTTGCTTTATTTATATTTTCCTGTTACTTTGTGTGGGTCATTATTACTATGATAACATGGGTAGATAAGCGAGGACAGAGAAGTGAGGAATGGAGGAGGGCAGGAAAACAGCACAGATGAGTGCTGCTACCCTGTTTGTGCTTTTGCCACCTGAGCTCAGCTGTATTTTGTTCCAGGCTATGAAATCATTCAAAGGAGTTCCTCCTTCATCAAGCCATTGTTTTTACTGTGTAATCGGCCTATATGTATAGATTATAATGAAAATTAGATATGGCTTATTTGACTGCAGCTGAGTGTAGTTTCTTTGTGCATTTCATAGCAATGCTTCTTTTAGAGATCTGCTTGCCTCGGTCACTGAACTATAAAGAACTAAAATAGAAACTGCATGCAATAATGCTCACGTTGCGGTTCTCAACATAACTTGCTTACAGGTCCAGTTGCATTTCCTCAGGGTCAGGTCCTGACATTAAGGGAGGCGAGAAGGAGAAGAAGGTTCGGGCTGGATAACAAAATGAAAATAGTTCAGCCAGCATTTACTCTCTGGTTTCATAGTTGGGATGATCTTTTGCTAACGTAATTATCACGAGGGGTTACAAAGGTATATCAGAGTAGCTTCAAGTGGCCTCTTTCTGCACCCACCACAGCACAGCAAAACACCACATAGCAGTGAATCACAGTCACATGCATGACATGGCTCTTACAATGAAGATACTATTCCAGGCAAACAACAGCAGCTGAAAGTAGGATAGGGGCCCTCATGTACAGTGAAAATGCTGTATTGGTTGTTGATGAGAAATCATTTTAGGTAAATCTATCATTTCACTGTTTTGTGTATTTATTTATGAGGTTAGTTTATCTTCATTCCTAAAATAGTATAAATCATTTATTCCCTCAGGTAGACTCTGAAGATGCCACATAGGATTTTTGATGGTTAGTTTCAGTCTTGCTTCCAACCTGTGATATATGTCATCTGTCTGTCTTCCCATCTTTCCTGTCAACTGATGTCACCATGATTTATCTCGTGCGAAAAGGATTATTACAATCTTTCAAAGCTTTGTTTCTCAGATCACGTACACTAAATCACTTCTGTCCACATCCAGATTAATGACCAGCCACTGCTGTCAGCATTTGTAATCCTTGAGTGCGAGGCTGTCCGTACACACACCAAGTGAATTTGTAGGGTTCTGTGAAGTGTGTGTCAGTAGACTGACAGTCCCTCCTGATAGCTTAATGTCATACCAAAGTACAATAAGAGTCTGAAGATGTCATGTTCAAAGGTTGTGGTAGGTCTTCACTGTCAGAAGCAAGATTAGTTTAACATTAAAGCAATAACTCTTAACAACCAGTTGACACTAAGGAATAGTTTCACATTCACACTATAAGCATTCAAATTGATTAGTGAGTTTTTTTGTATTTGAATCTCGTGGGAAGCCAACTGTAAGACACGACAATACATTTATTTTATAGTTAAGACTTCCTCCTATAATCAGTTGATAATGCACATGTTGGGAATGTTTAGGCTTTAAAACAGGCAAAAGCCCAAAGAAATGAAGTGTTTGTCCATGCTAATATGAATCCTCCCAAGCAGGAAGATGAAGAAGGAAATGGATAATCATGTCTCTGGAAAACAGTAGGTTGTTATGTCAACTTTGTTTCTCTTTCCCTCCTCAGCGGCTCTCTACCAGTGGACCTTCGAGACCAGTGACTGTCCACCATGTTATCCAGGTTGAGAACATCCTGGTCCCTGAGGCCCTGTGTCTCTGTTTGCAGATGGGCACACACCAAAGAGAAGGGCAAACCCCTCATGCTCAACCCTCGCACCAACAAAGTGAGTGGATTACTGACATTGTGCGTATGTGTCAGCATTTAAACAGACATAATCGTTAAAGAGATTGCAGCTTTATTAACATGTCTCTCAACGTGTCAGCCCATTTGGGCTAGATTCATTCCAAACATGTCATGTTTGCTAATTGGCATATGCATTACAATTATTTTCCACCCTGACACACAAAAAGCAGAATTTCAGAATAATTTCATAATATTCTTTGGTTACAATGGATAAATTGATACAAGGAAATGTATTGCAAATTATAACTGGAGCATACCCAATATAAAAAACCTTTTGACCAAGTTTTTGGCTGTTGACAAGAGTTCATTTTCCTTATATTTTTCCATTCTTTCAACCCTCTTACACTCACACATCTTCTAGCTGTTGTCAATATTTCTGTTATCCCTGGATAAGAATAGAAGAGAGCTGTGTTGTAGTATGACAGACAGGAAAGTATTTGAAGGTTCTGACATGTCTTACAGCCTTTTTTAGACTATGTATTTCTATATCAATGAACACAAATATATTACAATTTCTGCAGGCTGGAAGAAATTTGAAATGATCCCCGAAAGTAGAAAATGTCAGCATTCACACGTAAAGAGCACCAAATATGCAGTAACTTGCACAGAGCAGTGTAGTACAGCATTATAAAGTGCAGTCAAGAGCTGCATCTGTTAATCTTCTCCCAAAGCCAGTGATTGGTACTGCTGAAAAACTAGAATAACTGAGTCTGAGTCAAAGGTTTTTCAGCAGCTGAGTTGGAGCTGCTGTTAATTTTCCTCTGCTGTCTGACTTGGTCTCATTTCTTACACATGGTCTAACTTGAGACCTTCAGGGGATGGTTTTCAGGCATTTGGGAAGCTTAACTTATAGATCATGGGATTTTAATCTACCTAGTGCTGCTGTACTTCTACAGAAGCAGAATTGTGATCAGTGCAAATACCAGTGAATAAAACGGACAACATATATTCCTTTTTCTAATTTGCTTTCTAACTAATGACATAATTATTGATATAAACCTGAACATGATTTTTTTTTTTCTGAACCCTTTGCCTTGAACTAGAATTACTGACAAATGCTGACATAATCTGCTCAGATAATATTCATTATTAATAATACATTACTAAACAAATTTGTTATCAAAGAATAGCTTGACAGACGGCTGAGAAGACCTGGCTAACCACACCCAGCATCACAGTGGGTGTTGTCCGAAATGTTCGTTAAATCATAGCCAAAAACCTCTCTCTGTTTCTGCTTCTTATTGAGTTTGGGGTTATTTATTTGTGCACTGCAAAGGCCTTTTAAAAGTGCTATTTTACTCCTTTTTCTTTTCTTTTATATATTTTTCTTTTATTTAATTCAGCTCTTTATATTCCTTTAATGATTTGTCATGCCTTATGTAAAGCACTTGGACTTGTTTTATAGGTGCTATACAAATAAACCTGCCTTGCCTTGCTGTGCACCTGTAACCACACCCAACAGTGGTGTTACTGCATTACTGTGGCAAGGTGGGGACTTCATATGACAAACAATGCATGCTTTTTCAGCTGGTGTAAGTTGCTCTGTAATGTGTATCTTATATCCATTACAGATATCACATTGTTTGGTTTCTTTCCTGTCAGTTGTTTCCAGCTACAAGAAGTTACACATGGCATTTGTAACCTGAGGCTGTAGCTGCTTGAACTGGCATGATCTGACTCTGTGCATGTTATGCTAAACTTAGCTTAAACTGCACATGTTGTGCTAAATATAAACATTCCAACCAACATGTAAACTGGTCACAGGCTAGTTGGCTAATGGTCCTAGAAATACTGTACAAACAGAAACTACACTTACATTGCACTTCCAGCCTGATTCCTCACTATGTTAATTTTTTTTAATTTGAGTCTAGTTTAGAAACTCTGTTTATCAAAACTAACTCAAGTGTGGAAAAAGCTGGAAGTAGAAATTTTAAGAAACTCTTCTAGCGTTAAAGTTGTTGTGCCTTGCATCTAAAAACAATTAAAACTGTATGAAGCCAGACACAAACATCAGCATTCTGGTTACTCATAGGAAGACCATGTCTGCCAGAGCAGATGTGACTCGCATCAGCAGACTACATTGTCATCCCCCAACAGTAAAGGTCATAGTGTTGCACAGCTGCATTGTTTATTACATTACATTGTCAACAAGATTCAAACAAGATTCAATCAAGAATTGACATTTATTTTGTAGGGCATTGAAGTTTATAGTATAGTTAGTTTATAGTATTATAGTTTTTTTTTTTTTTAAAGAAAGTATGAGGTGTTTCACTCCCCTTCAACATATAGAAGCACATACACAAATCATATGATACACAGATTTTAGAATTAGAATCACTCAAAGCACTGAAAATAAATACAAAACAACCATTTTAACAATGAAACCTTTGACATGTGGAAACTTTCAATTCCATGTAGAAAACAAAAAACTACATTTGCACAGGTTTGCACTTTGCAGCATGTTGCATTATGTTAAGAGGAATCACGCACTAGAGTGGAGTGAAGCGAAATGCTCCATCAGCATGACTCAGCATTTTGCCAGGGGAGCCCCCAGCATTCATCACTCTCAACAAAATAATCAGCCCCTTCCCCAGCCCCAGAGGTTATGGCTTCCATGTGTTTCACCCATATTTCATTCATAGACAGGCGTGTAAACCTACATACACATATACTGCAGAAACATGTACACTTCGTATCCGTCCTCCCCCATCCTCTCTTTCATACACGGGGTGTTTCTGCCCAGAGTCCTCTTCATTGGCTTCTTTGAGGCTACTCCCCTCTCTTACCTTTTTTCCTTTCTTTCCCCAACTGCAAAATTGCTTTCATCTGGTCTCCCCTTTTGCACTCAGCTGCCTTTTTGTTTTTATAGGTTAGAGTCTATAGGTTAACCTACCAGTCTTAGGACCACTGGGTAATGCAATGTGCCCTCTGGTGACAAAATTGTATCATGGTATGTGAACATATTCTGCAACAGGTTCTAAAAATGTGTTCAGTTTTTTTGGGTTTTTTTAATTAATTTTTATTGATTTATTGATTATTTAATTCATTATTGTTATTTTTTTTAAAACAATACTTTAAAACAAGTTTTTCACATAAAGAAAACATACAAATAACAATGACCACAGCAATAGCAAATAATGTATAAGTGTACTATACAACAAAACAATCAAAAGATGAAAAAATAAAATAATTGTACAAATAAAACAGTAAGTAAATAAAAACAAATAAATAACCGAAGAAGCAGCAGTAGTGATGATCTTCAAGTTAATGCAACATTCTCATCCTCCAAAAATTCCAAAAATGGTTTCCATACTTTAACAAACTGTTTTCTTTTCCCTCTAACAATATATGTAAGTCTTCCAACGCAAGGTATGTTATATATCTCCTTCAACCATAACTTTACAGAGGGCAGTTATTGTTATTTAAGTATGAAACTTAAAAGTAGCACATGTTTGTACCAGAGAGGTGATATTTGAAACATATTAAGTGAGGTATATAAAATGCATATATAACCTTTACAGACAGTACATACAATATAAAAGACAAAATATTGTATCAAACAACTTTCAATGGCCCTTCCTTTGCCATTGTCCAACATAGAATGCATTTCACTAAGAAGTTTTGATTTCCTGTAAGATAAGACTTATTTGGTAAAATGTGTTGAATTAACAGGAGTTAATACAGGAGTCCTACTTAGAAATAACAGGAGAGCACTTCTCAAAAATGAATTCTGCAAGTTGAACTCTTAAGTCACTTAAGTTAACTTGACTTAGCATTATTCTTTAACAATCAGCAGCTGACACAAGACAGATACCTACATTCTCTTTGTAACCATACTCACGCCTCTCTTTTTTTCTCCCAAGGGCATGGCCTTCACTCTGCAGGAGAGACAAATGTTGGGAATACATGGTCTGTTGCCTCCCAAAGTGGAGACTCAGGACACTCAAGCCATGCGCTTTCAGAATAATCTCAAGAAAATGACTGATCCCCTAGGGAAGTAAGGACATATTTTGTGTAAAGCACTGGAAAGAACAGTCACAGCATGACCTCCTCTGTTTTGTTATCAATCCTAAATTTATCTTGAAGATACAGTTTAACTCTTTCTCTCGGTCTTCCATTTATTCTCCTTTTCCGCACAGGTACGTCTACTTGATGGGCATCCAGGAAAGGAATGAGAGGCTTTTCTATAGGGTGTTGATGGAAGACATTGAGGAATTGATGCCAATTGTCTACACTCCCACTGTAGGCCTGGCCTGCACACAGTATGGACACATCTTTAGGAGACCCAAGTAAGCATGCAGTAAAGCTGAGCCTTCAGTGTAGGTTTTACTTTGGTGGCAGACATACTGTACATGTTGCACTCAGGAAGACAAAGAAGACAAATTTTAACTTAAAGCATGTAGTCTAGATTGCTACCCGCTGTAGGCCTCGTGCACAAAATTCATAATGTTCAGGATGTTATTATAGTGGAGATATGTTTTCCTATTTTGTAGAATCGTACCACAGTTATTAAAGTAGTCAACTATCACCTTGTTTCTCTCACCAGAGGCTTGTTCATCTCCATTCGGGACAGAGGACACGTCCGTTCCATCCTGGACAACTGGCCAGAGACTAATGTTGCAGTGAGTAGACTCCAAGGGTCACTTATAGACTTTAGGCTTTACAGATATGAATAAATGGAGATCAAGTTGTAAATATTATAGTAAGTCTAGGAAAGTTAATTGATCCATCACGGTCAACATTTTCTACATTCGCCTGGCTAAGGTCCAGTTTAATATTGCTCACAGCTTATAAAATGGTAATCTGCAGTTTTGCTGACTGGTGTACTTCTTTTCCACTGCCTCTCTCTCCCTCTGTAGGCAGTAGTAGTAACTGATGGAGAGCGTATTTTAGGATTAGGAGACCTGGGTGTTTATGGAATGGGCATCCCTGTCGGAAAACTTTGCCTGTACACTGCCTGTGCTGGCATAAGACCCGAGAGATGTCTGCCTGTGGCGATAGATGTTGGCACAGACAATGAGGTAGGAAAGCTATGTGTATATTTTCTGTAAACTGTATGTGTGTTCGTGCTTATATATTTACATTTATATTTGTCCTTGCCCTCCAATCAGACTCTCCTGAAGGATCCGCTGTACATGGGCCTGTACCAGAAGCGAGATCGCTCTCAAGCCTACGATGATCTGATTGATGAGTTCATGGAAGCGGTGGTGGAGAAGTACGGTCAGGACACACTGATCCAGTTTGAGGACTTTGGGAACCACAATGCTTTCCGCTTCCTCAGGAAGTACAGGGAGAAGTACTGCACCTTCAACGATGACATCCAAGGTTCACATATAATCCTTCAAACAGCACTTTGGAGTTGTACTTTGTATTTATGCCAGTTAATCTATTCAGTTAAAACCAGCAGTTCAGTTGTATGTTGCTTAGAGAACCATTCTTGACGGTATGTTTCCACCAGTCCCTGCAATTTGCTTATCCCTTTAAATTACACATTTGTGGGGGACCTTTTTAAAAGGTTTTTTAAATGATTTTCTACCTTCTTTTCATTTCACCACAAAAATGCAATGGCAGACACCTGGAATGTGCTTGAATTATGTAATCCATTACAGTGAACATAATTGTGACCTTTAAGTCACATTAGTGCTGCAAGGTGATGCAGTTTGCTGTGGTGAGTTTTTAAAATGTCAAGGAACCATAGCAGCTGTGATTTGAGAACTGGGAGCGGAAACATTCAAATCAAACTAAGACAAGCACAACATAACTTTCTAATTACCATTAAGTGAATGGAGACCCATGCGATCTTCCTACCTTAAAACAAATGATGTGATCTGTTTTTTCTTCTGTTGTCTTCTTTATGTTTGCAGGCACTGCATCTGTAGCTCTTGCTGGTCTGTTAGCAGCTCAGAGAGCCATTGGCAAACCCATCACTGAACACCGGGTGCTTTTCCTGGGAGCTGGAGAGGTAAGATAATATTTATCCATTAATCAGTCAAACCAGAAAATATTCTCATTCGTTCCATGTAATTTATTCTGTTTATTTTACAACAGAAGGTTGCACAATGAAAAAAAAGTTGTAGTCTCTTCATGCTACACACACAGAACATAACAGATAATTAAGTTAAGTTTTATAAAATATATGTATATAAAATATAACTATATATACTATTTCTACAGTATGCAGTCCATTTTTTGAATTTGCACCTGGCGGAATGTAAACAGCAGCAACAAGATAGTGATGCAGTATTGTTAGAGCCATGCTGCCCCCTACTGGCCAGAGCTGGTTTTTCCAATAAGAAATAACAAATTACTTAAGAACTTAAAAGAATTAAAGATGTGCTACGGATTGATCAGAATGTTTATGGGAAAATTAGCTTAGTCATTCTCTTATTAAAAGTAAGGGTTAAAGTTTCACTCTGGATACATTGTCTAAACATTGAATGTTTAACTTGATAAGGTTATTTTCTCATTAGGCTGCCCTTGGTATTGCCAATCTGATTGTTATGGCCATGATGGAGACGGGCATGACCCAAGCTGATGCCAGAAAAAGGATCTGGATGTACGATAAACATGGCCTACTTGTAAAGGTGTGTGTGTGTGTGTGTGTGTGTGTGTGTGTGTGTGTGTGTGTGTGTGTGTGTGTGTGTGTGTGTGTGTGTGTGTGTGTGTGTGTGTGTGTGACGCAGACATTAACGACCAGAACACACATTATATGTCTGTATGGCTTCCTGTCTGGCTCATTGTATAACAGTTGTTTTTACTGTATTTTTATTGATTTATTGTTGCCAACAATGTACTGTATGTGACTCCAGGACAGACCACAGGAAACTGACTCTAACCAGGAGGCATTTGTCCATGACAGTCCCGGGAGTGTACAGAGCTTCCTAGATGCTGTCAACACCATTAAACCCACAGCTATCATCGGTAAGGAACTCATTTTCTGTGTTTATAACTGTAAAACCTCGCAGTACAGTTTGTAATATGCATTTTTAAGCCATTAATCAAAAAACAGAAACTGAATAGAATAATAAATATGTCCTTAATTTTATCAAAGCTTATTATGCGATTATTATCCAAACTCTTAAATCACGCTGTCATGGCTCAGTGTGCTGTAATTGCGAGCTCCCCTTCAGCTTTAATGATTGATCGCAAGCACAGGGTGACCAGCATTTCTCTTTCCTTCTTCCAGGTGTGTCAGGAGCTGGACGTCTGTTCACCCACGACGTCTTAAAGTCCATGGGAACCCTGAACGAACGACCAATCATCTTTGCCCTGAGTAACCCAACCACTAAAGCAGAGTGCACAGCAGAGGATGCCTACACACTCACTGATGTACACAGCTTTTTCTGCGTCACGCTCCCTGTTATTGGCCTTTATTCCCCCCCATCTGTCTTTAACCCTTTTTTTATTCTTTGTCCCACAGGGTAGATGCCTTTTCGCCAGTGGCAGTCCGTTCGGTCCAGTGACCCTGAGTGATGGCCGCGTCATCACTCCAGGACAGGGGAACAACGCTTACATCTTCCCAGGTTTGCACTATGGGGGAAAAAACATTGGATGATAAACAATCCACAAAAAGTAAATGTTTTAAAACACATGCTGTATGTGTGTCGCAGGTGTGGCCTTGGCTGTGATCCTGAGTGGAGTGAGACACATCAGTGACACAGTATTCCTCGAGGCTGCCAAGGTGTGAAATCCTAATATTTTTTTCAGTCTGTCTCTGCCTTAATCTTGCTGAAGTCAATCTTTACCTCGCTCTCACCCCAGCTTGCACTTTCTTGCTGACTCTGTTTATGTATACATACGCTGTATAGGGGCGTTATTAACCCTCTTTAACCCTTCTGATGTCTCCTGTTCCCTCTCTTTCTAGACTCTGGCTTAATAACTAACAGATGAGGAACTTTTAAAAGGCTGTTCCTGCTTTGTACTTCTTGCATCTTTGTTCTTCCCTCTTTTGCTGGGCTGCGTTTGACTTGATTACATTGATCAATTTCTTGCCAGCACTCTGTTTAATACTGAAATGTTGTGCATGAAGAAGACACATTGCTGCATGTTGATTATTAGTAACAGTGATTTGGTCATTTCATGTCAATCACTTCTTATTTTGTCTTATTCAGAAGAACATTTATATTTAGATGACTGAACAACTGAGAGATATGCTGTAGAAATAATAGTAGTAGTTTTTTAGTCTCTGTTTTTGGGCCCCTAGTAATTCATCTTCAACCTAAAGTATTTTTATACTCTTTTCAGACTCTTGCAGAGCAGCTGACGGATAAAGAGCTGGAAGAAGGCAGACTCTATCCTCCTCTCTCCAACATCAGAGAGGTCTCGGTCCAGATGGCTGTCAAGGTAAGTAAAATTTCCAACTGGCTCAATGTTTCGTCTATTGATAAACCTGTTAATGTTAGTCCAAACCTTAACTATTCCTGCCTAAATTTAGCCTCTTCTATCGTCATCTGGTTTTCAAAATCTACGACCATATCCACCACAGCCAGACAAAAATAGTAACGCATAACATTAAGCTAGTTGGCTTTTAATAACTTGTGTCTGACCTTTCTTTTTGTGTCTGCCTCTCAGTATGAGTCAATGCTAAACTTCCTCTTTCTTGCTATAGGTGGTGGAGTATGTCTATGCTAAAGGCATGGCGTTCCGCTACCCTGAGCCAGTGGACAAAAACGCCTTTGTACGTGCCACTGTGTGGGACACCAACTACGACTCCTTCCTGCCAGACACCTACGACTGGCCAGGCGTCAGCTTCACCCCCAAGACTGACTCAAAGTAGAACCGACTCTCACTGTGCCCCATGTCACAATGTCACTCTTCCTTTGTTTTCCACTTAAGTCTCATTCACAGATCTTTTGAGATGACCTTTGTTATCTTAGTGCAAACATCTGCTTATGAGAAAAGGCAGTAGAAGCCCCTTACTGCTGCTTTTCACTTACTGCATTTGCACTAAACCAATCTTATTAGATCTGTGAAAAGGTAGAGTGGGAAATGGCTTCTGAAAGAGGACATTTGAATGGAAATGGTCATTTTCACTTCACATCCGAGTTCTTTATCACCTCTGCATCACATGTAAACCTGCATTGTCCCTGGAGGGCCACCTAGTGGTGGAAAAAGGCAGTGTGGAAATCTGGTTTCATTGTTGAAACCTTGAGATACATTTTAATTATCATAAATAACCTGGGAATGAAATACCCTTTTGTCAGGAAAGGTCATGCTATTGTCAAAGGCAGTCACTCCATGTAATATTGATTCTAATTTGGTGCAAAATTGTTTATGTTGTGTACACTCCTGATGCAGAATGTAGTCTTTGATTAGCACTGAGTCCACTTACTACTATTGTAACTATATGTAGCTACCTGGAAATTGACAAACTTAATGCACAAATTTTAACATGCAGTATAGACATTGCCTTTTTTCACAACAAGTGGACCTCTGGTGGCTTCACTGATCCAACCAATGCCTGGTGTAAGACTCCCTTTTAACCTATGCTTAAATCAGGCTACATTGGTTGTCAGAGAAGGTCTAGTAGAGTGGAGGGTTACAGTACTCAGCCTTTGTGTTCAAATTAAGAGAGGAAGAGCAGAAACAATGCTACTCAGGGGAGAAATGGAGTGAGAATTTAGAGAAAGACCTTAGAAAATGGTTTTATGAAGGGAAATGACATGAAATTTATATCTAAAAACATGTGAGCAACCAACCTCCACTCCAGCATTTTATTTGTGTGAAGGGTTTCAACATGTTGTGTTTGTTCCTCTGAAGTTATTTTATTTTTGGGGGGTGTATTTAGATGTTTTGTCATTGTGCTGTATATTAATTTGAAAGCCTGTCATTGACACTCCTAGAATGCGTTTTGGTAAGAAGAATCTCTAAAATTAACTCTTGGTAAGTGTGATATACAAAATATACCCTAAATATAAAGAAACAATGTGCAGTATCACATGATTGGATAAACATTATTTTCTATTTGAATTATATTTTGTTTACTGTACATGTCCTTTTGTGGAATCTGGTATTTATAAAGTTGTGTTAAGTACATCCGTGTGTGTTGGCAGGTTGGTGTATGGGCTTTGCTCCTTGGAACATATTCAACAAAACAACAGACTTATAGGTTATAATCATGTACTATGATAATTTATAATAACTTATAACACAGTCACATTTATCTAATATTGACACAAGAAAAAGGTAAAGCTTTGCTTCTGCAACTATATTTATATAACATCTTTCAACCAGGCAGTTCAAAGTGTTATACATAAAAGATAAAAGGCATTAACAAAAACACAAGCCAATATTCAAAGAAATAAGGATAATACAGATGAACCAGAAGAATAAAAATTACAGTGCAGTGCAAGATATGAATAAATAGTCAATTTATTTTAATAAAAGGCAGCGGCAAACAGTACAACCATTAAACGTTGATTTAATGCAGAGCATCAAGTTTATAATAATAAACATAACAATAATAATACAGATTTTATTTAAAATTCGTCATTCGGCATAAAAAGATAGTGATCAAGTAGCTATTCAAGGAAACTTCTTGAAACTGACATTTTGACCTTTTTAATGTGGTTTTCATCATCACCACACATTCTGAAAAAACTGTTTCTGCTCATGTCCATGTCCCAAAACCATCCTTACTGGCACTGTTAATGTACAGTACTTGATGTTAAACCAAGTATAATGCTATCACCGTCAGCTATAACTATCTGAAATTTCACTCATTTTTGTATTGTATTGTATTATGTATGTATACAAACATTTGTAGTGAGTGTTTATTTTTGATGTGACAGGTCTAACTTATTATACATTAACCATCCAGTGTTCTCCTGTCAGCTATACAGTTAAATAGTCACAGTTATAGCAGATGGCAGCATCCTCAAGCCATAATGTATTTCAAGATATTTTATTAACGTTATTCCAGTTATGTTTTCCTAATATTTTACATCTATATTTCAGATTAATGTATTGCAATTATTTCAGTGAGACATGTGACAGTCCACCTGCCAAGATCTTTCATTTTGCTCTGTACTCTTTCTGGCTGCAGTCTATTATAATAAGTGAGCTAAAGATCTAAAATGGTGTGTTCAATGTAAAATGTGAGAATTGAGAAACCCTGACCATGTACACAAACACATACAACCATACAGCTAACATGTGTTTAAGTCTGAAAAAGTAACACATTACATTAAAACTACCAATTAGTCTATTTTATTTGTACTATTTCCTTACACACAGCTTTTAAGGGCATTGGCAGTATCACGCTTGAGTCTTCAATGTGTTTAAATATATATTCTAGGCTGCTGTGTAAATTGTAATCTCAGGATATTGTATTAGGACCTTCTAACCACCTGCATTGAAGTGCCTGCACGATGTTCAGTATGTGTTCATAATCACTTAATGTTCCTGATGTAGACCTCACAGCATGCTGCAGGCAGAGCTGAGGAACAACTCAACAGCACTATGAGCAATTGCGTAGTGGTCAATGTGCAGCTTTTTCTCTGATAGACTTCAGGTTGTGAACACATATTATTAAAGACAAAGTTATCTACCTATCTATATTTTTAAATAGTTTTATTTAAAAGAAAGTACTGAGAAACAGTTTAACTGCATTACCTGTTGTGTCACCTGTCTGTCCAGTTCTCAATAATTGTAATCATCAAGTATGAGTTTTTACTGTGATCATGTGACTCTTGTCGTCCCCATAAGGAAGATTTACTCCACGTGTCATTGAAGTGTGCATTCATATAGTGCTGTGTCCTTCTTGTCTGTGTTTTTGAAGTTTATTTTTGTTACACAGTGATATTGCCTCAGTGTTCTTCTATGGTTTGTACTCAGAGAGCAACATATTTGTGCTATGTGCTGTTGAAAGTGCAGAATAAAAACTGTTTTATACTGGCTACCTTGGCTGAGATGTCTTTATGTGTTCTGTGTCTGAGCAGCTGTAGTCCTCCAAATGTAGTTCCGTTTCCCCTGCAGTTAAAGAATTAGATTCTGTTGTGTGTTATTTGTTTTAATCCAGTCCTAGTCTTTGTATGGTTGTATGTTACGAGCCATGAATTGTACTTGAACCTACCATCACTGGGAAAAAATCCGACTTAACTTGAACGCCGCACCGTCGCTCGTGTCGCGTCATCACCGTGCGACTGTTTACAGTGAGCGTGGCACACCGCCTCGGCCGTAGCACTGACAGTATGAAGCCGTAGACAGGTGTGTACCGGTGTAAGTGTAACTTGGAGAGGATGAGTATGGATGTGACCTTCCTCGGGACCGGCTCGGCCTACCCGTCCCCTCACCGCGGGGCCTCGGCCCTGGTGCTGCGGACAGAGGGGGACTGCTGGCTGTTTGACTGCGGGGAGGGGACCCAGACACAACTGATGAAGAGCCAACTCAGAGCCGGTGAGTCACTGCAGCCTTAAAAGTGATTGAAGCTCAGCCTTGAATAAACCTTTATTCAAATGGGCCCGCCACTCAAATTGGTCTCTTTCCACACACACACACACACACATACACACACACAAAATATATGTTAGGAGGATTTCAGGGTTTATTTTACAGAACTTGAGTCATTTCAGTATTTGCACATAGTTACTTTTTGCTCATTGCAGAATGAAAGTTCTTCTGCTATGACTGGACCTCAGAGGTGGAACAGATATTCAGATCAGAAATACTCTGTTAGAAGGAGAAGTATAAAGGTAGTAGCATCAAAGTATACTTGAAGTACAAAAAGTAAATGAACTTATTAAGCAGTCAATTTTTATTTCTAATTATTGGTGTATCGATATGTACATTGCTTTAGTGTTGCAGCTTATAAAGGTGGAGGCAGCTGCTTATTTTTTACTATATACTGGGTAGCTTATTCTTATCTATAATATTTATATATATATAAATATATACATCATTTATTTGTTGATTCAAAATATGTTTTAGTAATCTGACGTGGAATAAAAACTACAATATTTCTCTTGAAAATAAAGTGGAGTAGAAGGATAAAGTAGCAGAAAATGGGGAGTACTGTATCCACCACTGCTTGACCATGACTTTTTCTTTTATCTCAGGCAAGTGAGTTCAGTATAATGCCTTATTATAACTCTGTCACAGTCTAGAAGATTAAAGACAGCAATTCATCACTGATTTAAATATAATCACTTTATTTCCTGCATTTTAATCCAGTATTACTACTTCCAGCGTAATTTACTTCCATGACGTATCATCTATGATTATTTCAATAACCTGCCCTCTCCACATGCCCACTGTAGCACCTGTAATGTGATATAATATGTCATGTTTTCTAACCAGGTCGCATCACCAAGGTTTTCATCTCTCACTTGCATGGAGATCACCTGTTTGGTCTGCCTGGTCTCCTGTGCACTGTGAGCCTCAACACCAACCCGGACCCGCAGCAGAGCCTCAATCGCGTGGACATCTACGGGCCCCGGGGCCTCCGGCACTTTCTAAGGGTGACACTTGGCCTCACGGGCTCACAGCTGCTCTTCCCTTATGCAGGTAGGTTCAAAGTGTATCCATAATGTGTCCACACTGATGCAGTCTTAACACTGATAATAGTTTGCCAAGCAGCAGAGAGGACCCTCACTGTGTTTTATGTATTATCTTAAACACCAAGCATTTCCAAGCTTTATTCAGTTCATACAACAGCAAATCAACCTTTCACCATTCAGTACTAAACCACAGCTATGCTACAGCTATCATGTTTTTATAGATATATGTGGATATATGTGTGTATATACGAAAACTACAACACTTTTCAGCCCTCTTTATTTGCTGTTATTTACAAAGCAAATGAAGAAGTTACTACTTTTAGTCTAATAATTTACTTTATTTATTATTTTTTGTTTTATTGAACTTCATTCTAATGTACTCTGCTCTCATCTCATCTGTATTATGTATGTGGCTGTAGTACATGAGCTGGAGCCTACAACTGACCAGAGTCCAGAAGAGGGACAGCTCAGTCTGGAGGTATGTGATTGATTTTAGTGGTATTGCTGTGTGGTGATAAATCACACCTAATCTCTCTGTATAATGCAAAGCAATGATTACTGTGAGGTCAGTGAATGTTGTTTACTTTATTTGCATCATTTATACAATGTTAATGTGTATAATTTAAAACGTCCATGTCCAAATGTTGTGTTTTTAAGTTTCATGTAATCTTTAGTGTTTTGCTTTGTGCCTCCTCAGATGACAGCTGAGTGCGGCCCTCTGCACCCACAGGAGCAGCCGGGCAGGACCATCTCCCTGGATGTCTCCAGTGACTCTTACCTCCTCTTTGAAGACAAGAAGTTTGTGGTCAAGGCCTTCAGGTTGTTTCACCGAATCCCCTCATTTGGCTTTTGCATTCAGGAGCACGATCGACCCGGAAGACTGAAGACTGAACTTCTGAAGGAATTAGGTAAAAGGTCTTTTTTTATATATTTTTTATTTCCGTATTTCTTAATTTGGACGCTTGTAGTGAAAAACAACAGAAATGTGAAGAGAGAAGATAAAGTAATATATATAAGTAAAGTAATATATATATAATTAAGATTTTACGCACAAGACTTAAGCCATTGTTACAGATTAAACTACAACCCCTTACATATTGACTCATCAATAATAATGTAATAGTGTAACATTGACAGTAGCCACTCAGCATTGTGAGTACTTTTACTTTTGCTACTTTAAGTACATTTCATTGCCAATATTTCTGTACTTTTACAGTTAAATTTTGAAGGCAGGAGTATTTTTAATCTGTGTTACTGCTACTTTTACTTAGAAAATGTCCTCCAAATGAAACCTCTGGACTATTGTGAATGGTGTAGTTTTATGTCTGCCCCCGCAGGCTTGAAACCAGGGCCGCTTTATGGACGGCTGAAAGCTGGAGAGCCTGTAACTCTGGTGGAGAGTGGACGAGTCGTTCTGCCTAGTGAGGTACTGGAAGAAGCCATTTCTGGAAGGAAAGTCTGCATTTTCGGGGACTGCAGCTCAGTTCTCGGGGAAGGACCACTGAGGTTGTGCAATGGTGCAGACATGTTGGTTCACGAGGCCACCCTCGGGAACGAGCACCGAGAGAAAGCCGTGGACCACGGACACAGTACACCTGAAATGGCAGCGGCAGTGGCTCAGGCTTGCTGTGCGCGGAGGCTGGTGCTGTACCACTTCAGTCAGAGGTACAAGCCCTGCTCCCTGCAGAAGGAAGGGGACGAGGATGAGGTGTCAGAGCTCAAGAGGCAGGCTGAAGATGCGCTACAGGACAGCGGTGTAGAAGTGACTCTGGCTGAGGACTTTCTGACTCTGCCCATTCCTCTCAGAAGATGATGGTAGTGACTGATTTAGCTTTTATATTGCCTGTAGTAGATCAGCAGAGCCATCTATGTTTGTATGTTAAAAAGTATTTAGTCTTAGCAGTTGTTAACTTCATACTTGACTGTCTTCATCAGCATATGGAGTCTCCTCAAATTTCCCCATGATTCCGAAACACTTGTATGACTTCTCAGCCACATTTGCTTTGAAGTTGAGCTTCAACTTTCACTCTTGACCTTGGAAACAGCAGCTGACAAGGTCCACTTACATGCAGGCTTTCGCTCAAATCACACGGCCTTCATCAGCAGGCGCACCGTCAAGCTCAACTTTTATGCAAACACGCCCAAATTCAGAAATACTTTATTGATCCCCGGGGGGGAATTTGTTGACAACTGGAGCAATTAACAGGCAGCATGCACTCTCCTAAATGGTAATTTATGGAAATTGGAAATGTTTGCACTTCTACCTACGATTATGTAACAACTGAGCAAACTCCTGCTGCTGATGAAGACTGTGTATTATGTTTAAAAACTCCAGAACAAGCAAATAAGTGACCTTGAGCTGAGTTTTTTTTTTTCCATGTCCTGTTTCCAAAGTCAAGAATGAAATTTTCAAGCTACATGACAGGTGAAGTCTTTTAATCATTAGACCATGATGCATTAATTAGTAATTCACATTCCATTAAAAAAGGACAAAATTTGAATCTAATTTATTTAGTAGAAACCCTCCAATGAAATTGTATGAATAATCACATCATAGGTTTCAGTCTTTCTGGTATTTTGTTTCAGGTTGTGATGTTAAGACTGTACTAAAACCCACGATGTTTCTATATGAATAAGTGAATTTACAGGTTCTGTGTGAAGGTAAAGAAACATGCAGTCATCTCTGAACCTTTTCCAGAGCTTTATTTCTGGATCTGTACACAAGGTATTAAAGTACAACAGAAAATACAAAATAATGTTTAACAAAAGAAAAAAAAACTCAAATGTTTATGTACAATTCTTATAAACAATAAAGATAGCTTCTTGAACATTTCTCATAGTGAAGGTTTTGATTGTCTATAATTCTGGATATACATTTTTAAGTTTTGTAGGTTTTTATTCACAAAGGTGTTTTTGTTTTCGTCAAAGGACTCAAGAGTTTTCTTTTTCAAAACCACAACTGCTATAATTGTTTTCCTTTTTAAACTTCAAAACACAATACAAAATATAAAATAAATTTGTTTAGTGCTTTCTTGCACACACAAGTCTCATACCAGAGATATCAATAAAATATCACATTTTCGAGAGTTCACAGGGTGGTGAAAAACCTACTTCTACTACTTAATGGCCTTTACATTCTGACAGTTTTTCTGAGTCTTTGTACAAACCACAGGTGAAATAAATATCACTGCACTGCTAAAGCTAGAAGAGCTTGGAGGACCTACTGCATTATGCACATTGCATTAAAAGAGAAAACTAGCTCTCCACATACTCAGAGCAGCAGCCATCCCTTTACCATCAAGACAAATATAGACGACGACATGTAAAAAGATTTTTTTCGAGGAAAGAAAGATGAGCGTCTTTTACACATGGCTGCAAGTTTTGAATAAAAATTTGCAACACTGAGTAATATCAATACGTCCTCGGGTAAAGCCGTTTTCAGTGGTACACTTGAGAAAGAGACAGCTGGCATGCGTGGTTTCAGCTGGGTCCTGGGGGTTTGGGTATCATGACTTTCCAAAGAGAGAGAAAAGAAAATTCAAACACCAAGTCAACCGGTAAAATGCAAAACCAAAAATATCTGTACATATCTACAAATTATTGCCTTTTGACAAGGAATCAAATTAAAACCTTTGTATTAACACAGATTCACAAGTGTAAGAGGTCAGTTAATAGACTTTTTAAAGGCTATTTGCTAATTATTTACATGAAATGCAGAAGTGAATACCTTCTCTGATGCTGGGCTTGGAAACTGAATTACTGGATGATAAAACTTAATGATGGTCTATAGGCATGAATCCTGTCTGCGTGCACACACACACACACACACACACACACACACACACACACACACACACACACACACACACACACACACACACACACACACACACACACACACACACACACACACACACACACACACACACACACACACACACACACACACACACACACACACACACACAGGTGAATTACAAGCTCTATGAACATGAAAAACGTGATGTACCCCTGAAACAAACTAATTATTCATAGCACAATGCATAGATAAATTAAGTAAACACTACTACTGCATCCAATCAACTGACGATGACCTGCTAAATATTTTACAATTCACAATTATGGACTTCAGTCAAGAGAAAATGGCTCCATTTCTGCTATTACACTCCCCGTGACCAGATTTCCCAAGGTCTTCTCTAGTCAGTACAGGTTAGGCAAAACAGAAATGGAGTGGCTCTAAATAAAGAGATAATACTGCTAGCAGGTTTACCCAAGCTTGCTAAGTGGTCTGAAAATGTCGTTACTTAATTTAGGAGCATATTCTAACATGATTTTGTTTTACTACAAATAACAAACAGACATATACAGCCAAGCTTGCCTAATAGAAGCATGAGTGAAAGCAATTAGTTCAAAAGGATTAAACAAAATCTCACAAAGATTAAAGTAAATGCAATTAATACAAACTTAACAGTGCTTGATGATGTCTATGTTTAAGTGACTATTAACCCAACCAATATCTTTGCATTGCAATATTGCTGTTATGGTTTTCTTCTCTGACTGATTACCTCCTAGAAAGAAGCAGGCTTTAAACAAAAAATCCAATATCCAGCTGGAAAACCAGGTGACACCCATTATGTTACTTTACAAAGGTATTTTTTGTCACCCATTTTAAAAATGTAATAGAAAAACTATGAATCTGGTACTATAATTTGGGTTTGACTAAATTATATTATTATTGGATAAATTAAAAAATATGTGTTGCAAACATTTGCATGTTCCAGTTTGGCAAATTTGAAGAGTTTTGCAGTAAACGAGCAGAGATCGAACTACGGACAAGCTTCCACAGGAGAACAGAATAAGAAAAGAAAACCAAACTGAAAAGCTTTAGCAGCTGAAGCCACGACACTTCCTGATGTCCAAGCTAATGTCCATTCTAGTGTTGCTCTTCATACAATGTCAAGCCAGGTTTATTTGGGTGCAAAAACAATTTGCACCAGCCTGGTTGCTAAAAAAAAAAAGGTACCTGTAAACCAAACACTAAAAAAAAAAAAAAAAAAAAAAAGTACCACTTCAAACAACAAGACAAGCAACTAAATACCAACACTACAGGCAGAAAACCAAGCCATTTTTTGGCAACTGGAAAGAATGGCAGGATATCGTATTGTAGCTCTGAAGATGTTGTGTGTAGATGTGAGGGAGGAAGATACACAACTCTCCTACTGCAGCCTCTGGGCCCCACTGTACATGGACGTTACACATCTCAAGACCGCAAAACAAAAATAAAATAAATGGCTATATAAACTCTTGAGAGAAATCAAGATTTTAGTTCTATATGATAGACATCACTGATGTCATATTACACAAAAAATGAAAACAAAAAAGTATATTCATATATAATAGAATTTAAACAAATCAAATTCTCCAGTGAGGTCAGTCTTATGTACAAGCGGGTTAAGGGGTTTCAAAAGGGAAGATCAAGGGACGAAGACGAGGAAGATCACTCTGACTGAAGTGCCGCAGTGTGCTGTGTGTGGTGCCGTGCATGTGCTCCCAGAAACCCGTTGGGCTCGCCGCTGCCAGCCAAGCTCCCAAAGTCTGTGACAGACACTGCCATTTTGGCGCCGGTGATTCGGTGGTGGTGCGCCGCTGTCCGTCGTGCTTCGAAGTCCACTCCAAGGTTACCCACAGACACGTCATTGATAAAGGAGTCAGGCAGGGCCATCTTGAGTCTCTTGGAGGGCCGCTCGCAGTCCTTGTTGACGCACACTCCTCCTAGCTGGCCCAGGTCAGAGTGGTAGAAGCCGGCGTCCAGCATGTTGAGGCAGTCAGGGTCTGCACCATTTGAAGGGAACCCGAGGGATTCGTCGTGGTTTAGGGACCCACGATGGAGACTTTCCAGTTGAGAAAGGCTGTAGGAGTCCAGGCAACTAACCTCTGCAGGGCTGCACACTGTGGCTACACTGTTACTCAAAGCTGCAAGGAGACAAGACACTCAATTAACACTGAATGACTGGAAGCAATAAAAGACTGAGGTCAGGAAACACGTTGATTAAGCACTCCTATATTAACTAATGAGGAAAACAAAGTTGTTTTTAATGTTATCAAGTATTTCTTATTCCCATGTTTCTTCCATAACTCCAGAACTAAGTCCCGTGACTGACCTGTGAGGTCGCTGGCAGTGATGGAGTTGAGCAGGCTGAGCTGTTGGTCTGTGGTGGTCTCCAGTCTTCCTCCCCCACCCGCTCCTGAACACACAGAGGAGGAACTGTCCACTGCCAGTCCCTCTGCTTCATCCACCAGCCTGTCCATCAGGTCACTGGATACAAAGAAACATGTTAAAGTTAGTTTCTTGTCAATTATGTGCATTTTCTTTTCAGAGCTCATTGCATTTGCATTGCATAAGCAAAAACAGCGAAAGGAACGCAAACGGATGAATCTTCTTCTGCCACTTACGTTACACCAGGGTAGCTGCTGTACTTTTTCTTCCCGAACCGATTCTGCTGCACGAAGAAATCAAAGCGCTCCGACTTTTTCCACATGTAGTAAAACGCCACACATTCTGCTACTGTTCGTGTTGTGACCTGAGGGACGTGAAGTAAGTAATTAAAAAGGGATGAGAAACGTTCACAGGTTTATATGTCGATCTTTTTGTGCTGGTGTAGAAGGGGGAATATCTCAGCGAATCATGTCTGTTAGACTCACTTTATGCTTCTGTATGAGGTGAAAATTCTTGTCATACATCTGTAGTGCGTGTTCAAAGTTCTTGCATTCCTCCTCCGACCACGGAGGTGATTTTTCTGCAATGAAACAAGAAATACATTGTTATTGTTTTTTCGTTGCATTGTATAAAAGGGGGTTCCTGCAGTTTTGTTCCTCCCTGGGTAAATTAGCTTGACAAATAAACACCACAATATGAGTTTGTCTATACTTTTTGTTCCTGTACAGAATGGATTTTATTTCCATATAAAATTCCCTCTGAGCACAAGTGCAGCTCATCATATACTAATTAGTTAGTTTGCTTCCATTTTATACTAAAACGTGCACATTTGCATGATATAAAATTTGTTGGGGGAAACAGTGATTTACTAAGAGTTCGGTGGTTTGATGAGCAGAATACAGTTAGAATACAGATGGAGGAACCTCATACCACATCAAAGTGAAATGTGTGAAATAATGAGTAATGTTAGAGAATGTGCTTAGACTTTATCACAAGGTACTGTGAGGTTGTTAAGAGAGGGACTATACTGGCTTCCAACTGTGCAGTATATGCATATTGATGTAAAACATTTAGACTGTATTCACGTTGTCACCAATAAATGTGATCCAAATGATAATAGAAATAATCCAAAATTACAAAATGATAAGAGTTGTATTACTAAATGAGACTGGTGTCATATTTAACATCCTTTCTATATGTATTTCACTTGTATTGAAAATGCTTTGCTCTATGATTATAGATGAGATTATAGGTTGGCACAACACATCTATGATAATATCAGATCTCATTGGGCAATTTGAACACATCAATTAGCAACTGTGCCAAATTTAAAAGTTAAGTCTGACAAAATGAAAAATTTGAACACAGTTTAACAACTGTAAGATTTAAGAATTCATTTTGAGAAGACTGGCAGTCCATAATGTTTCTCATGCTTACCTTTCGAGGACCTAACACGGCTGCAGTATCTCTCTAGTGCTTCACGAGTGTTGTAGTTGCACTTGACGAGCTCACACAAAGCCTATGGGGAAAGAGTGGAGTGGTTAAACTTGGAATACTGGCCAAATGGTTGTGCCTAAGAAACAAATAATCTGAAGAATCCAAAGCACAATTATTGTAGAATGTGGTGAATTAATGAAATCCATGAAAAATAAAGTAGACTGCATAAGGTCACATGCATTGCCAATACCGTGTTCATCGTTGTGTTATTAAAAAATAAAGACATGACTGACCTGCTCATTGTCTCGAACATGCATCCCTGGTTTGTCACATCCCATCTTTTCATCTGTTGTCCGCGACAACACTTCAGACAGGAAACTCCTAACCTTGTTTTCTGGCAATTTGCCTGGGCTCCATAATAACTCATCTTCATCTTCATAAGCTGCATAACAAAGTACATTAGAATAAGATTAGTCGCCTTGTGCATATGATCTTGTCTTTATTGTTTGGATAGAAGCATTAAAGAACATGTCAGGCATGTGTGTGCTGTGCTGAAAATAAAGCAGCAGTCACCTTTCTCCCCATCTATGTAGTGACAGAGGCAAGAAGGAACCTCTGCTTGGTACTGTGTTCCCACCATTATTTCCTATGGAAAAAAAAAAAGAAAAGTCAATTCAGAGCATGTTTAGCAATCTGGTGTTGATTCAACTTAAAACATCAAGTTAACTTTCTTTATCCCTCTCGTAATGTGTTCCAAAATAAAAGATGTAATTTACCTTTCTGGAGTCTTCTGGGCTTGGGCCATCTTCATCACACTCTGACTCTTTATCACCATCAGATATAGCGTTGGCTGATAAAGTAAAAACAACAAATATATTACCTGACATGCACTTAAATCAAATGGCACCTCTTGGATACTAAGGCCTGATGCTTTACCTCCCAAACCTAATGTTACTTAAGTACTATAATAAGTAATTTAATCTCCAACACACATACTACATGGATAAATCGTAGGAGTTGTTTAGCAAGCAACAATGCCAAACACTCTCTGGATCTTAAATGAGATTATTTGCTGTGTTTTTATTTGATGTCATTGTTGATTTAATATTAAGGTTTTAGACTGTTGGTCAGAGAAAACAATTTATTTTAAACCTTTCACTGGATTCTGCATTCTGGCAAGTTGTGATCGGCTTATTACATTATTTAAAAGAATAAGACAATTTTTTCAGTAATGAAAACAATCAACTGCATATTTAACGTAGCTTGTTGTACTTACATCGAAGTGTTCTTGGGAAGAAATCGGTTGCCTCATGGGATGTGACTGAAGGGGTTAGATCATCAGCTGAGGACTGGGTCTCCTCTTCATAGTCCCCAGACAGCAGGTCTTTAGCTATTTCCTCCTAGGAAGAAAAAACAATATCCATTGTATGTTAGGGCAGATGAAGGGTGATCAACAGAATACCTGAATATATACATAATGAGGATACATACATTTACTTCTGGTTATTTTCCCAAATCTATTTATTGACAATATGATAATATAATTATTTACCTTGTCCAAAGTCATGTCAGGTAGCTCGTCAGTCAGGTCTCCAGATGAGCTGTCTATACTGGAGCCTGCCGAGGCCTCATAGCGATAGATGGCCAATAGTTCCTCCAAAGGCATGTTCCCCTCCTGGTAGAAAAAAAGGAAATAAGCAAACTTAGCAAATAATAAATTTAGTAAAGCTGTTGTGCATTATCCAAATTACAATTAATAACACTTAAAAACCTATATGCATTCCACTCAACTGCAGATCTGTATGTACATGGTTGATTATTTTTCAAAATGTAAACTCCACAGACAGGTTAAAGCCAATTAGTGCAGCCAGTTTAAAGCCAATTAGTGAACATATAACTGAAATCTTACACTCCAATGCACTGTCACCAAGAGACAATTTATGAATGAAATTAACAGAATGTAAACTTACTTAAACTCAGTTGACATTTATTAATTGACCTCTCTTTTTAATCAGTTGGCCTCCCCATCCTACATGTTACACTAGAATTTGTCAGCGTTACTATACTAAGCTTTTATTTCCATAGGCAACAGTGTCGTTATTTGTAGCCCCACTGCATTCAGAAGACGTTTTCCCTCTGGTATCCACATTAACAATACATGCAAACCTTTAATATGCTCTAATGCAGATTTCACGATTTAATATCACATAACTCATTACATTATACACAGGTAAGTGCCGTTTGAGGAGATTTTGTGCATTTATTTATTTGTTTACCTTTTCCAGATCTGCAATCTCAGAGCGGAAATTACCCCCTCCCTCCAGAGACTCTTCCTCCTCCAGAGTCCTCTCGTCATCATACTCATGAACTAACATTTCTGCCGTTGGGTCAAAGTCATGGTCTTCTGACGATAAAGAGCCAACTGAGTGAGAGAGAAAGGGGAAAAAAGTCATAAATGCGTCAGTCTTATCACAGAAATCAGGGTTTTTTAAACTTTTAAAGATTCATACTATTATTCACATAGTTTCTACATTGCAATTAGAAAAACACTACATTTTGTCAATTTCAAAGCCATTTTCTCTTACAAAGTATATAACTTTATCTTCATATGTCTATTCAATCAAAATATTGCTGAATCGAAATAAGTACATCATGAGCTGCAGATATTAATACTCAATGTATGGCAAAGGTTTTCTTACCTGGACTTGAACTCCCTAGGGAAGCCTGCAAAAAAATCAAATCAGAGCATAAATAAGTGCAATAGTTGAAACTTGGGCTCAACTATTATTCTAGCGTTATATTCAATCAACAAGACAAAGAAAAAAAAATGCAATAAATAGTCTGTATTATGACCACAGAAAACAGTTCGGTAGGAAAGCTGCATTTGCCGCTAACGTTACCTGAAATAGGTGGCTAATACAACGTTAGCCGCGGTTGATCGCTGCCCACTGAGGACAATTCTGAGCAAAATATAGTTTTAAAACACCGGAATTAAAATCGTTCCTTTCGTAAGAGACGATCGAAGTAAAATAGAGGACTATATTGGGGGAGACAGTACAATTTACGCAGTGTCGGCTTCTGTAATAGCTAGCTAGCAAGCTAACCCTAAAGCCCTATGTTAACGTTATGCATCGAAAAATGTAAACACTAATTTCGTTTGCGCGGTACTGCAATCGACAGAGTTGGATGGCCTTTACCATGTAGCTGCCGCTAATTTAGCCGAAACAGAAAAAGAAAATTACATTCATAACAAACACGATATTATCTGTTATTTCGTTTAACCAGCAGGCTAACGTTAAATTTACGTATCAATTTACACAGCCGCTACACCAAAGCAGCTGAGAGAGCGAAGGCGCAGCGGCCTTGTAGTGAAGGATCAGTCCACACATTCAAGCATATTATAGAGGAATTAAAATGACAATTATGACACGAGACACGCTATACAGAAGGCAAAAACCATTGTTTCTTCAATCGATAACATAAAAATGAAAAATATAACACAGAAGATTTAAAAATATCGATTTAAGATCGATTGCTTCTCCCCTGTTTTCCCTCTTACCTCCGCCATATTGGTACCTTTAGCTAATGGGCTCGTTCTAGCGCAGTACCCGGATCAGAGCTCTGAGCCAATCACAGGTCCAGGTGACCGTGGTAGTCGTGACGCCGTTCAAAGCAACCGCTGATCTGACTAACGGTAATCATTTATACACGGTAAAATCTACGGTATGAAAATATAACAACCCGACATTTATAAATCAAATCACCGACATATATCCAATATATATCAGTAACACGGCGGTGAGCGTGTTATTATCTTACACAATGATTTTTACTAGAACATTCCTAGAACATCCCAGCTGATTTCCTTTTTCTCCTCAATACTGTTTATGGCAGCTAGGGCATCTGTGTTGACACCATTAACATATTTTGTGGATATATAGTCTTTTAAGAACTCTTAATTATGATCACAATGCTTTTAAATGCAACTAGTGAAGTTTTCAGTTGTGTCAAGGATCACGGTCCGTGTATGTTTTGGTCATTGGATTTTCCTTTCAGAAACGGGTATTAAAAAACAGAAAACGAGTGCTTATTTGATTTTCGTTTTAAAATACAAAAATTAAAATTGAAATACAAGGCGTTTTTCTTTTTCATTGTCAGAAAGGGATGAGCGAAATTAAAAAAATTATTCGATTTTCATTTTCTATTTCATATAACAAAAAATAAAATCACTAGAAAACAGAAACAGAAAAAAGGCCTGTTGTTTCATATTCTGAGACCGGATGTTGTCATTTACAGGACGGTGCTGTGTAGAAGAAACAGTAGGCTAGTAGACTGCGGTCAATCCAGCCGTGAGTCCGATCTCCGTGGTCAAATCAGCCGCACTTAAATTTAGAGTGTACAAGTATTCTCAGCATTATGGTAAATGCGGAGAAACAGCGTATTTACTTCCGGTTTTCAAAATAAAGGTATTTAGAACAGTAAGCTATAATTAAAATATGTTACATTAAAGTCTTGTGCCCCTGATGAATAAAAAAAAACTTTATATCAAGTATCTTTACTGCACCAGTGTGGAGAAATGCCAAAATAAAAGTCTCATATTTATGCCTCCAGAGATTGCATATTTGACCATATTTGAGGTACTGTAAAAACATATTGCTCAGTGTTTCCTGGCTACTGATGGTATATTTGACTTTTACACATATGAGACTACAAACATACTTAATATCAAGCATTTTTACTGTACCAATTTGGAGAAATTGAAGAATAAAAGTCCCATATTTATACTTCCAGATTCCATATTTTCTTATATTTTTGAGCTACTGTAAAAACATATTGCTCAATATTTCCAGGCTATGGGTGAAGCATTTTCATTATACTTCAATAATGCTGCAGTAATCATGACAAAATTTCACACTAATGTTTAATAACATCTTGATAATATAAACACTAAACACAAAATCCTACACAATTCTAATTTGTTTACTTTTCACACAAAATGCAATGCCAGTCCACATTCTTCTTATTTTGCTGCTCTGCTGTGTCCATTTGTAGGTAAAAGGGAAAAAGAATTAGTTTTAACTTCAAAACACCATTGTACCTACTGTCTCTTCCTCACATATTATTTTTTATATTATTCAGTGTGACAGCTGTTGCAGGTGGTTCCACATACAGTTTTTTTTTACAGTAGCTCAAATATAAGAAAATATGGAATCTGGAAGTATAAATATGGGACTTTTATTCTTCAATTTCTCCAAATTGGTACAGTAAAAATGCTTGATATTAAGTATGTTTGTAGTCTCATATGTGTAAAAGTCAAATACACCATCAGTAGCCAGGAATCACTGAGCAATATGTTTTTACAGTACCTCAAATATGGTCAAATATGCAATCTCTGGAGGCATAAATATGAGACTTTTATTTTGGCATTTCTCCACACTGGTGCAGTAAAGATACTTGATATAAAGTGTTTTTTTATTCATCAGGGGCGCATAAAACACTTTAATGTAACATATTTTAATTATAGCTTACTGTTCTAAATACCTTTATTTTGAAAACCTATATACGCTGTTTCTCCGCATTTACCATAATGCTGAGAATACTTGTACACTGGACATTTAGGTGCGGCTGATTTGACCACGGAGATCGGACTCACGGCTGGATTGACCGCAGTCTACTAGCCTACTGTTTCTTCTACACAGCACCGTCCTGTAAATGACAACATCCGGTCTCAGAATATGAAAAAACAGGCCTTTTTTCTGTTTCTGTTTTCTAGTGATTTTATTTTTTGTTATATGAAATAGAAAATGAAAATCGAATAATTTTTTTAAGTTCGCTCATCCCTTTCTGACCATGAAAAAGAAAAACGCCTTGTATTTCAATTTTAATTTTTGTATTTTAAAACGAAAATCAAATAAGCACTCGTTTTCTGTTTTTTAATATCCGTTTCTGAAAGGAAAATCCAATGACCAAAACATACACGGACCGATCACCAAGATTTCCTACTTTTTTTTTTTTAGATAGTTATTTCCTTCATGGATGGATTTTTCTCTTTGGAATTACAATTTATGTTACTTAAGTTAGTTGATAGTCTACTTTCTCCGGTCCGTGTATCTTTTGGTCATTGGATTTTCCTTTCAGAAACAGGTATTAAAAAACAGAAAACGAGTGGTTATTTGATTTTCGTTTTAAAATACAAAAATTAAAATTGAAATACAAGGTGTTTTTCTTTTTCATGGTCAAAAAGGGATGGGCGACATTAAAAAAATGATTCGCTTTTCATTTTCTATTTCATATAACAAAAAATAAAAATCACTAGAAAACAGAAACGGAAAAAAGGCCTGTTTTTTCATATTCTGAGACCGGATGTTGTCATTTACAGGACGGTGCTGTGTAGAAGAAACAGTAGGCTAGTGGACCTCCGTGGTCAAATCAGCCGCACTTAAATTTAAAGTGTACAAGTATTCTCAGCATTATAGTAACTGGGGAGAAACAGCGTATTTACTTCCGGTTTTCAAAATAAAGGTATTTAGAACAGTAAGCTATAATTCGAACCTACATTTAAAATAAAATATGTTACAATAAAGTGTTTCATGCGCCACTGATGATTAAAAAACACTTTATATCAAGTATCTTTACTGCACCAGTGTGGAGAAATGCCAAATAAAAGACTCATATTTATGCCTCCAGAGATTGCATATTTGACCATATTTGAGCTACTGTAAAAACATATTGCTCAGTGTTGATGGTATATTTGACTTTTACACATATGAGACTACAAGCATACTTAATATCAAGCATTTTTACTGTACCAATTTGGAGAAATTCAACAATAAAAGTCCCATATTTGTACATCCAAGTGGCATATTTTCATATATTTGAGCTACTGTAAAAACATATTGCTCAATAATTCCTGGCTATGGATGGTATATCTTACTTCTACACATCTAAGACTACAAGCATGCTTAATATCAAGCATTTTTACAGAAATAAATTGGAAATGTATTGTTTCATTTTAGTGCACAGGCCAGTAGAGGGCAAACATACCCTTTAAAACTATTGCTGCTCTATTTACACCACTGAGATCCACTTCATCAATTTCCTCCTCCTCCTCCCTCCCTTCCTTCTCATTTTGGATTACTTAGAAACAAACCTCATATTTAATCATAATAACATGTAAATAGATTCACCATTTGGGCAGGTAGGGGTAATCGCAAGGGTGCTGGAAGCAGGGAAGCTGAGGGGGCTGCAACACCCCCTAAAATCAGTCTGTTTGAGTGTTTAAACTTATAATGAATTTCTAAATTTTTACTGGGATTTACAGTGTACACACCAAAATAGGTTTTACCTTGATTTTGTATCAGTTTTTCCACTAAAAAGTTATACAACTAAAATGTGTAAAATAACTATTAAATAGGCTATAAATTATCTTGGCAATTCAAATTAAGTAAAAAAAAAACTATGAATATTGTGCATTTAGCATTCAGTATGTCAATCAGTAACTCTGATTGACTTCCAGTGTCCCTGGGTAATGGTGGTAAGATAGACTTAATTCTGCTCTCTTGAACCCGAGCAATAGCCAGTTTTACCTTAGTGTCTGTTGTGCACCTCCTGCCCTTTAGATAGTTCCACGGTGTTTTATTGTGGACAAAGCTTAAAGTTTACTTCTAGCTCAAGGTGAGTCCTACACCAGCTGCTGCTGGGGATCTAGCACGTCTGTCAGATGTTTACGCACAGGATGCTCGCAATAAACTTCTTCCTGGCTCAACAGATCGAGGACGGTAGGTTGGCATCCTTCCTGCAGCATAACACAAAGTTTCTGTGTTTTTGCTGTGTCAAATGATTACATTTGTTGTAATGGCGGTTCACTTTGTTTTTGTTTTGTTTGACTAAAAACCTCATACTCACACATTTAATTCACATGTAAAAACCACACCAATGTATACATGCGGACACATTGCATGTGGTACTGTTGAATCTATACGTTCTTCTTGCATAAACACATCTTTATCCTGCGATGTAGACCAGACAGAATATATAACTATCACCCATACTGACTCATGGGTTGCAAGTGGTGGGTGTCAAACTCTTCAGTTAAACTTAAGCAAAGATGTCACAGGCTATTGTTGTTTATAAACTGGTCCCATTTAATTTGTCATTGGGATCATATTTTTGTAACCTTGTCGTAGCAAGTAAACACTTCTGTCTTTGGAAAACAGAATCCCCTGTGAGGCGTAGGAAGGGCAGCGTGGGCTCTCCGTTTTGGAGGACTCTGCAAACAAATGAGTCACTGTGTTCAGACAGTTCAGAAGCACATCCCTCTACAGGCCACATCTGTTAACATCTAACCTGAGTTCGACCATAATAAGGACCCTAAGTTGAACCAGATAAAGTTAGAGTTTTAATATCCAAGTT